GAATGAAAGAATCATGAGGATTCTCTGTGCATTTCATTTCTTTCAAAGAGAGCATCAGCCGAATATGTAATTTTAACCAAATATGGGTGGGGGGTTCAAGTGTGGGTCAAGCAACTCCGTCGACGTGTAAATAACCGAATATTTTTGTTTTAAACGCTGTACAATTGCATCTTTTCACCGGGGTGACAGGAAAATCATTTGTTTTTGCGTGAAACAGCTCATTAGGGGAGAGTGGGGCGAGTTGTATCATGTCCAAGTTGTTTCAAGGTGATTACTCCAAATGTATATCATGATGATAGACTTGAGTCACTCAGCTGAGGCACGGCAGCTTCTTCTATTTTTCAGTGTACTTCCGGCTACAACATGCACGCGTCTTGGGACGAGTGCCGCAAATATGCTTTTCCGGATGTCGTTAAAACTATAACGATCGGTAAATGTGTGTTTAAGGGCTCACGGCATAATCAGACCAATCCGAACGCTGTACTGCGAGGTGGGAAATTTTATCTGTCGCATATACTGCGAAGCATTTGGGGTTTGGTTCCCAAGGATTCCGAGGTGGAGCGAACTTTCCTCCGATATGTCGGACGGTACATGTATCAGCTGTGCATGGGGCATGTTGTATCAGTGATGCCATGTGCCGACTATGTCATTGACTAACTTACTGTCAATGATTGGCCGCATGATTGCCATGACTTGCTGTCATCCAAAAAGCAAATCAATGGCTGCATTTTGTACGTAGACCCACGATTTCTACGCGAGCAGCTGAAGCTGAGATAGCGGGAGTTGTAAAACAAACACTGATTGGTAAAGGGGCAAACGTGCGACGTGTCGCAACCACGACAAATTACGAAACAGCACAGACGAGCACATTTAGTTTACATCTTGTAACGCATTCACCCTGCTTGTGATGCGGCTTACTCTCATGACAAAAAAATGATTAAGCATTACTTCCCCACCATGTCATACACTTAAGCCCAGGGTGGGGAAGTTGTCTCATTTTAAAGGAAGTCATTCAGAAGTTGTTTGCCCAAAACCCGAGACGTGCTCTCTAAAGCCTTACCGATACATATGACTGAAGGCTGCCTGCAGATATGCGAAAATTAGTCTTGCCCTCACTTGTTATAGCAGGAAGAGCTCAGAGAAAAAAAAACTGATACAACTCTCCCTACTCTCCTCTGTTGCGCCGTAAGAGGAACCGCATGTAAATATGAACAACTGATGGACATATTGAGCTAGTAGGTAGCAAATCATTCGGATCACTTTGTTCGGTACCCAAAACATTATACATTATAAAAGGCCGGGTGCTCCAAAAAGAAACATGTCGCGAGGCGAAATTTGTATGTGCAGTTATATCCAACAGTTGTAATTTCTGTGAAAGGTATTTGAATGACTTTGGCAATAGCCACTGTATTTATCAATTTCAGAACGTCAGATTTTTAAGAAACGTCTGTAGCACTCTGTATATTTTAAGCCCACCAAATATCATACCGATTATATGCATTGTTTTATTTTCAGATCTGTTTTACACATACAATGTTGTTCCCACTTCTCTCATATCCCTAATGTGCTTGACGAAATTATTCACAAAGCTCGCACTGAGTGATGGAGATAGCTCAAATATTCTATTTTTGCTGCTGCCATGACCTCCGGGACCGCCTGAGGCTACCTTGATAGACTTGCGGCTACCTTCATGGTCCTTCAGGTAACCCCACAGAAATAAATCGGGATGTGACGAGTCAGAGGCTGAGCCAGCCGTTCCAGGTCCAGTCGGCGGCTGATCACCTTGCCACTGAAGTGATCCTGAAGCCACTCCAGTGATTCTTGGGAACAATGAGGCATGGTCCCGTCCCGTTTGAACCACTGACTGGTGCGTTTGTACGCGCGTGTCCTACATAGACGCTACCAGAGCGTATCCAAGATTTCGATACATCGCTGCGTGTTCACTGCAGCCATGCGGCTGTCGTCTTCCTTGGACCAGAATGTTTTGACGAGACCATGTTTGGTCAGTGCCATCTGTGCGGTACACTTCATTGCGTGCTGGGGTCGCTGAGGTACAACGTCGGGCACGGTTTCTCGCCGGTACACAGGCTTATTTGAGCTGGCATTACTGTTAAACAATGAACGTGCCTATCAGTGAACCAGAATCGTAAGGGAAGTTTTATTCCTGTTCGAGTTTCTCAGTGAACGACCGGCATATTGTCATCCACTTCTTCTTGTCTTACGTTCGAGTTTTGTGAACACGCCTTTATGGCGTACGTATAGTTTTAAGTCTTTTCAGAACGTTAGACGTATAGCTCTGGATAGCTCGAGCCCTTGGCAGCAACGGCGAAGAGATTTTGTCAGGCTCCGCGCCACTGACACCGCGACGGCGATGATTCTGGCTGGAGTCCTTTGGGATTTCGGTCCTCCCGAATATGTAGGCCTGCCCGGGACTGGGGAGTCCCGATTGTGCAACGTTCTAAGAGCTCTGAATTTGCGCATCTAACGGCAGGTGGATTGATTATTGAGAGCGTTGCCTTTTTAAGACCAAAACGGTGTGTAACTTTGAAGCGAATCTGTTTTAGTTTTTTTGGCATAAATCTTAAACACAAATTGTTTTTCCTGAATAATTAACGGGAGCAAACGTTTCGGTAAACACGTATTTCGCGGCATGTGCAATGCATGTGTGCTGGAATATGAGAAAATAACCTGCTTATCTTTAAACTCCGTCCTTTATTAAGAAATGTGCCACATATTTGGGGATACCCGATGCGTTCAACACAGTACGAAAACGAATGTGTCTACGCTACCATAAAACTGCACATTCCACCAGGCATTTTTGGTTGATACGAGCCTGGCTTAAATGCAAGCACGAAAGACCAATATTTTTCACGAAAAGCAGATTTGTTCTTGGTCTTGCCATGCGTGCCACAAATTCTGATTAATTTGAACAGGCAGATACCTAAGATGAGTATCGGCGTATTCCAGGGATCCGCACTGAGCCCCCTCATCTTCAGCCTTTTCTTAAACGATCTGAGTTTTTTTTCGTGGAGGACGCTGTGGTGGTTCAATACGCGGATGATACCTAGCTTTTGGTAAGTGGTCCAAAATTTCAGTTACATAACACTATCGCTCGTTTGGAGCGTGTTTTGGTCTCACTTGACGATTGGTTCAGATTCAAGGGGCTTAAAGTCAATGTCGATAAAGTGCAACTGATGCTGCTTGGAAATCAACAGAATATCCGCATCGTACCTTACTTCACTGTCAAATTCCGCGATCATCTTATTGTCCCTTGTTTGGAAGCAAAAAATATCGGACTTGTCTCTGACCGTAATCTGACTTGTCTGACCGTCAGTTCACGCGTCTCAGAATTCACACGTTTCACATATCAGTAAGGGTTTCGCACGTCCCTGTTTCGGTATCCTAGCTGATCTCTCACATCTAAAGCATAGCCTGTCTGAAAGTGTCCTCATCACGCTGGTCCGTCGAAGGTCCGTTACTGCACATCAGTATACGGCAGCGACTCAAATCAATATGTCTAGGATTCAAAAAGTGCTTGGCTTGGCTGCGAAGCTCGTTTCGGCCGGAAAGATTTGATCATGTGTCAGACCTAGACCAGAGGTCTGGGTGGCTCTCCACTGCAGATCCCGGCAACTATTACACCACCCCACTCACCCACAAGATCTTCCATTCGGGGGAGCCTGATTCAGTTGTTCGTATGCTCCGCATTGTGCGTGAAGGGCACGATCGACCAGCAAGACGGGACAGTGATCAGTTCATGCCTCGTTCGCGCGCTGAGATGGAAAAACGACGTTTTTGCATTCGCACACCCAAGATGCATAACAAACTCCCAAACAATCTTTGACTTCTCTCGATTGCCTTTTCCCCAAAACATTTGAAGAGATGTGTGACATCTGAGGATTTCATGACCTGTTTGTGCGGCAGAGTCGTGGCTGGCGTGTATTTTCGTGTGTTCCAGTGCCTCTGTTTTTGGATGACTGTATTTGTCCTCACGACCTATTAGCCGTCCCTTTACGGGCTAACGATGGGATGTGATAGCTCGGGTTTTATTCGAGATTGCCCAAATGCGCATCAATCAACAAAAACTACGAATTTCAATCATATTAAGCGTTATTGTCTGTGTGCACATGTTCTACCAATAGACGACGTCTTCCCGGATTCCGAAAATGTCCAGGGATTCGGTGTGTTTCATTTAAGAAAAAGGCATCGATCTTCACGGGGTAGTGGCAAACCGGAATCAGTTTAAAAACAAGTTCCTCTAAACCGGTGGTGGCGCCTGATATGTAGCGTGAGGTGTGTGCGAAAGAAATCACACTGAAGCAGCATGTGTCTAGTGCCATCTCGTGGCAAATAAGTATTACTAAGCTTCTACGGAGTGTCAACATATGCCGCCAAATTCTACCGAAGCCCGTCCATAAAGCGACGTGCAGCCGATCCTGCCCAAGCAGCCGTGCCCGCGAGGGAGCGGTTGTGGGTTAAGTATGGTGAGAGAAGTGATGTCGGAGAGCTGCCGCGAGACGCCTTTCATTGCAAACCGTTATGGTATAAGCATTATACTCAAAGGTTGTCATGGCTGCCGCTAACCTTTACTATATAATCCAGCATTAATTGTTGCAGAAATTTGTTGAGCGGGCATCCAGAATTACGCGCAACTGTTCCAGTTACACGTGGTGAACAGGACGTCATACTCAATGGCATTAGACGTCAAAATTAGCGGTTGCAGAAGCTGTGAAATCAGTGGTGCCGTGTTCTTTTCGGGAATATTGAGGCCAAGTGCTAGTTCATTGGTTGCCTTTCATTCATAGACATGCGGAAATGGTCACTTTTTCAGAGAGAATGGCACCATGTGCCCTGACGCTATTTCCGCAGACCTTGCCTGTTATTGTTTTCGCCACCCAAATATTAATTTAGTAGCAGAGCTTATTTGAAATGTCGCAAGAGCGCCATTTATATCCGATCGTGGAAGGATGCGGACGGTTTGTCCCGTTTTAATTCTACGTTTTTCCACATCACTTCTATAGCTAAATGGCGTGATGTGTCATATGTTAAGACTGTACTACCGGGAGTGGCTTTTACCTCAAACTGGGCTGCATATTTTCACATCTTTTGACTGTGTGGGTGCATGAGATCGCTTTCCGTACCTCACTGGGTAAGTGGTATCGTACTGCATCCACATATTTGTGTTTCTGTACTGGGTGCCCTAATACGCAGCTGTGGTGTATTTCGTTTAATGTTGTGTCTATATTGCAGTTTAAGGCACTGCCTGCCTAGAAGAATTAGCCAGAAGGATAGTGCCTCATCTGCGCCATCAACAGTGATTTGGGTCATGTTGCATATTTTTGTTGAGTGAAGGAGCACTAGGTTTTAATCTCAACTTGAGTTTTTAGGCATGTGGTTAAAAGCAATGCAATCTCTGAAGAACCATTGAGCCAGCTCAGATGGGGACAATTCCAAGTGGCATTTGCTTATGTAAACATTGATGTTGCTGAAGAAGACTAGTTGCTGCAATCCTTTATTATCACAACATTCAAATGGAAATTGGAAGTGGTAAGCAAAATGATAGATAGAGAAACAAGTGTTCCATTCTGCTGAATTTTGGAAGGAGCCAATATGATGAAGATGAGTTTCAGCAGGTTGAAGGCAAGCATGGAAAGAGGCTCTTCAAAGGGCAGTGATAGGTCCCAGGCTATCACAAGGCATAACTCATATACTTCAAGAACTCAGAGTATGACCAATGTATGCAGTTATGGAAACTGCAAGGACAATCTCACACCTGGTGATGTGCAAAATGGTACATGTGGAGCTGAACAACAGTCCAGTCGGTCAACCAGCACTCGGAGTATTGTAAATCTGTGCAGGAGGAAACCACAAGAATCTAGCTATATGCTCTCTGATTCAAGGCATATTTTGCAAACCCAGAGAAGCTTTCTAAATGCTGTGAGATGCAAGATTGCAAGAAGGCTCAGGCAACCAGCTAATCCTGGTATGGAACAACATGAAGAAATGAAAGCAAGTAATTGGTTATCATCCAAACATTCTCTGGATCAGTCAATACAGAAATCGAGCAGCATGGGGTTTTTGAGAAACAGACATTCACTTAAGAGCAAGGTTCCTGCAGCAAATGCTGTGCATCCAGTTGAACTTGGTGCCATTCCCAAGGATCCAGCAGAATGCCTGAGGGTGCATGGTGCTGTATGTCCCACTGCTGCACTTCCTTTGCAAGAAAACTTGCAACATAGGCAGGACAATCAGCTTGAAAACTGTGGTCAAATGGGGCTCCAGAAAGCTAGAAATGACCTGTTGTCTGCCGCTGGACCGTCTTGGGAGTGGAGCTTAGCACAAGAGCTGAGAAATCTGTTGGTGTTTGGCTGGTACTGGGGTCCAATTTCAAGAGCAGAGGCAGAGGAGCTACTGAGTATTGAAGCAGATGGCGCCTTCCTTGTCCGTGACTCCTCAGATGATCACTATGTGCTGAGCCTCAGCTTCCGGAGCTGCGGCAAGACCAGGCATACACGCATCCAGCACTGCAACAGCATGTTCAGCTTCTATGTGTGCACAGACCCAGATGATAGCTACCCAAGCATTCCGGAGCTGATCGAGCGGTCGATGGAGCGCTCGCAGGGTGGCGGAGTGCTCTGCTACTCCAAGGACAGCGCCGACAGCACCCGAGTGCTGCCCGTGCGCCTCACCCAGCCGGTGTCACGTCTGACGCGCGTGCGTTCGCTGCAGTCGCTGTGCCGCTTTGTCATCCGGCAGCGCGTGCGGCTGGATCTGATCCAGCAGCTGCCGCTGCCCAGCACGGTGAAGACCTTCATCGAGGAGAAGGTCTTCTGAGGACGCCGCTTCAGTGTACAGCGTACCGACGTATTCCAGGCATCAGCGATTTCCTGACCATCGGCAACTTCGATGCGGCCGCAGAGGAATGAAAGACGGTGGTGCTTTTGCTGCTGATTTCGGTGGACGTGTTTCACTGTGATAATGTTGCTTAAGGCTTTTATGTGCAATGATGTGCATTGCAATGCATTTGCCATAAGTCATTGGTTAGCATGGTTGCGGCCTGACTGCTTAAGCCCTTTTTGGTTATTGGGTGCTGTAGAATATCAGGTATGTGAGAGTTTGAACATGTGTGTATTGTCTTTTTCCAGTGCTGTCTGCCATACCTGTTAGTAGGAATCACTTTTCTTTTGGATCTCCTTAACAGCCCTCAATCGTTATGTTACTGCTTTAGATATGGTTCATTGTACTTGTCTGCTTAAGCTGAATGTGGCCTCTCTTGCATCTTATAGCTGTTGGAGATTCACAACATGGAGCAAAACTTAAGGCATATTCCACCGCATTTGTGAACATTCGATGCACTACATTAACTGCTTGTTTTCGATCAGCCCTTCTTACGAATGCGTTTTGTGGTCCATATCTTTTTCTTTCTTTTTTTGCTAGTCTCATGACAACCACAGCTGTAAAACTCTGAGGCGATGTGACAGTGCAATTTTCCCTGCGATGAACGCTGTGGAGACAACATGGTGCTCATAGGACGCGCACTTTGCTTTTATGTGCGTGCGGGTGTCGACGTCCGGTGATTGCGCCCGGTTCCGTCACAAGTACCGTGATCTGTCAGACCTCTTAGCTGTGCCAACTGTGTGCATGTTCAGCTGCAATGCGTACGATTAGTCGACTACGAATGTTGTATGGCGAAAGGCGTCGTCAGTAATCCTCTGAGCCTGGGCGAAGAACCAGTTAGCATAGTGGCGGGTGCTGTAAGGACTGATCTATAGTAGTGGCTGTCGTCCCTTGATGTGTGCTGAACTTCTCGAGGGTGAGAATTTCGCAACTCTGGCATGACTGCACTTTTTTGTGAGTTACTAGCTGTAAATTGTCAGGACGATGTGGCAGTCTCAATCATAAGAACACCAATGGTTTACGTTTGCGTATGTCGGATGAGTTCTTCATTCTCATCACAAACATCCGAATTTATTTAGTTCACGTTCTAATCATCCGTGGTCTGACATGTGGAATTAGAATATGCCGTTGTCCGTCTGTGGATGTGCGCAGGTCATTTGTGACTGTGCGCGTTTGCGTACGGACCGCCTGCCTTACTAGGAAACAGGAATCAAATATATTATCACTGTATTTCGTGTTTCGTACTCGGTGAAAGGTATTGGAAGCTGGAAGCGTTGTCCCTCATGTGATCTACCTATGTTACATAGGTATGGCTATCCAGGCTTCCCGGGTCTCCTCAAACACCGCCTGTGGCATGCGTGGGGCCCCTGTTAGGCGCTGTGGGTCCCTGACGGATCCTAGAGCCCTTACGGACGCTGGGACCCTGACAGATGCTCGAGTCCTGACAGACACTGGGACCCCGATCAATGTAAATCGCTGGCTCCGACCTGAGCTCCCTGCTTGAGAAACGGACCATCAGGTCCATGCCGACGCGGAGCCAACTGTGGGCTACTGGTGGTGTTTGATCGGCTCGGCATCTAAGGCCCTTGTCGACTATGCGGAGACTGATCATCGCTCAGGGCTCTCTTGCTGACATTGGAGCGCCTTGATCTGCGAGCCAGGTCCCCTGAATTAAACTTCCAACCGGCCTTTTGGGCCATTAATGGACGGGGCTCAACGAGGGGGATACCAACGGGGTTCTCGGTAGTGCATTGGTTAACGCGTCTGCGTTAACCACTGATCATCCGGTAACTAGAGGTGCGGAGTTCGATTATCGAAGAATTGATTATCGAGAATCCGCGGTGCCCGTCCTTCCTGCCAGGGCAAGAGGTTGCGAGGGGCTCTTCGAGCCCCTCGGAATCCCGGGAGAGGGGCACATGCCCCCTGTGCTCCCCCCCCCCCCTCCTCTACCTGCGCCACCACTGGTAACGTCCATGACGAGTAAGTGATCAAGCTCAACACCTTATCAGCAAAAGCGTCTGATGACACCAATGGCAACAGAGGAATATGGCTCATCAGGCCCTACGCCCTTAATCGCTTGACTGGGATATTATTGTATGGTTGGTTTGCGTGGGCCTTAAATCTGCACGGTGCTTTTGTCGTTTCATGTAAAGTTTGGTCTCTCTTCATGACCTGTTCCCAAACCCTAACGGAAAAATGTTCTTTGCGAGCCATGAGATCCCACGTCTTCCGGGGATTTATTGCCTGACTCACGTGTTGGCGCTGAGGAAAAAGGCATGGGCAGCATTTTCGGCACGGAATTAAAAAAAAAACAATTTAGTACTGGCGTCCCAATAACGGTATGCTTTATATAGCTTATTTGCTTCAAGTATGCTGCCTGTTATGTACATATGGCCTCGTGTGCTATTTTGGCATGCATTGGTATCGAATCGTGTATCGTAAGCACGTTGTTGGGGTTGGTGGTGACGGTGCAGCCTGACAGTCATTAGAGGCAGGTAATTGGCCTGCCTTTTACAATGTTCTACCTAGCTCATTTTGGTAAGCGTAAGTGTGCTGTGATATATGCGATATCACTTCAAGGAGTTGTTGCCTGTTGCAGCCAGTTTACCGAACCTACAGCTCGTTTTGTGTTTCATTCATATTCAAGTGGTGGCATTTGTGTGTTTCATGAACCTCATTATGGTAAGTTTAGTTAGTTGCATTATTAAATAGCTTGAATTGACATGAATTCTGTAAGTTATGTGTGTCATACTTTTATGTTGCAGAAAGAATCAGCATTTGCAATTAACAGTTGACTTCAGAAGAAACAAGTCAAGAGCATTAAAAGTGGAAGCATGAGGAGATTTATTGGTAAGATTTGATACTGTAAAACATCACCCTTATCTTTGCAGTTTCAGGGTTTTAAGAAGGAATAACTAACACTAATTTTGCATACCTGTATCAGTACTGGATCATGTTCTTCCTTTTTGTATCTTGTGTTGTATCAGTGTTTTCCATATACCTGTGTCTATACCTGTGTCCCACTGAACCAGTTTGGTTTGAATGAATGATTTTCTTCATTACATCATGAGACATTAAATTATGTTAAGTCTATCTAGTCTTAATAAAGTCTACCTGTGCGTATGAGCAGTGGACAGAATGCCTTTTACAAGCATTCTGATAATTTGTGTTGTTGGGCAGATATTGGAGCCAACCTGACAGACTCCATGTATCAAGGCTTTTACAATGGGACATCCAAGCATCCACCAGACTTGCCTAATGTCCTTGAGCGTGCATGGAATGCTGGGCTCAAGAAAATCATCATTACTGCTGGCAGGCTGCAGGAGACAGAAGAGGCTCTAAAACTAGCCAAAACTAATGGTATGCACTCTTATCTCTGTATTACTGCAGGTAAGAAAAATGTATGAAGGGAGTATCCCACCTTTTTTGTACTTTTGACTTCTAAGCTTTGTACTCTGAATGTCTGAGTGATCTCTTGACAGTGCTGCAGTGGCACTATGCAGTACTATTATTTGATGATGCTTGTTCTGAGGCTTCACTGGAGCATGTTTTTGAAACATCCTCTAGGGTGGGACACCCCTTTTAAAAGAGTGTATATCATTTTTTGTTTTGCATTGTTCTGCACAAAAAGGTGTAATTTGTACGCCTTTGGATGTACCAATTTTATGCTTATATTATAGGTAACATGCTGTGTTATAAATATTGTGCTACTTTCAGTGCCAAAGTTGTCTTAATTTCCTTGTGTTTTCCCATTCTGCCATCATAATTTTGCTGCAAGCATGCTTTTCATTCACATAACATCAAAGAGTTGTCTTTTCATGTCATGGTTGTCACGACAGATTTCAGCGAAATAGGGAGAGAGTTGAGGCTAACCCCAGCAACCGATGTCCGTCGCTAGATGCGCTGTTCACCACTGTGGGCGTGCACCCGACGCGCTGCGGCGATTTCGACGCCTCCGGCGATCCGGACGCCCACTTGCGCGCCCTGCATTCGCTCATCGACGAGAACCGCGGGCGCGTGGTGGCCGTCGGCGAGTGTGGACTCGACTATGACCGGCTCCAGTTCTGCGACCAGGACACCCAGCGACGGTGAGCTGTCTCCGTCTCGTAGCGTGTGTTGGCCCGGTGACGGTGACCTACTCCTTCGGCTGGCGCTTCCGAGGCGACCGGAGGAGGATACCCTAAGGATGCTGGAAATTATTGCCAGACTTCTGGCGTGATATGGAGAATAGGCATGACATATTACCTTTTCTCCGATTAAAGATGGTGCTCATGCCTTCGCCTACGCATGCATATCCTGGCGCACGACGGCCAATATTAGGCTCGCTCAAATGTAAGTAATAAAGATAAAAATTATGGAGCCTTCAATGCCTTCAAGCTTCTGGCGCCGGTGTAATTGTATTGTCCTGCGTGGGATCATGATTCTTTGTGGTATTAACGCAGCTCCCTCCTCTCACGAAATGAGTCTCGAAAAGTATTCGTTGTTGCTGAGTGGGATATTCTTGTTTTTTGTGATCTTGAATTAGTGTTGTAAGGTGGTGACCACACAAAAATGCATGCAATATTAATGATGATGAGGATGCAAGTTAGGATCTGTGGCTCGTACGCGGAGAATCCGGTACAAATGTTAGTTGCGCCGTCGCCCCTTACATTGATATCATCATCGTAGTCACTGGCGTTCCATGAAAGGCTTCGCCGTGATATTGTGCGTTGGGCTGTCCTGGGATCTCTCTGGTTAGGGATGATTTTTATTTGTTGGACCGGCTTTATGCATGATGCATTTGAATGCAACCCGTCAAAGGTGTGACATGCAGCATAAGCTCCCGCACTCTCCAGATACTTCGAGCGGCAGCTGAGTCTCAGCGAAAGCTCGCGACTCCCGCTGTTCCTTCACTGCCGCGCTAGTGCTGCCGACCTGGTGGACGTGCTCCGGAACCAACACGGACCGATGTTTCGGGGGCGTGGTACATTCGTTTGATGGAACGAAGGAGGAGGCGGAGAGCATTATGGATCTGGGATATTACATTGGAATCAATGGCTGGTAAGTAATCTATGTCATGTGCTACTCATCTATGCAAAATGTTTGTATAAGATGGGATGCAGATGATGGAATGTCGTGATCCCATCATCCGACCGTGAAATTTCAGCTCAGCGGCGAAATTTTGTGGCACAAATTTATCATGCCGCAATACTCGGCACGGTGCCTCAATTAAATATACGCACGCCTTTGCATGCTGGGAAATGTTTTGCCATCTAGAAGTAGAGTTTTGCTTGTGGCTCTCTTGTGTAAAACGGTGAAATATACTTGCAGCGAAGTGTCCAACAATCTGGGGTTTTGCGGATGTGGAACATTGAACGTTGAGAGCTACCTGCCGGCAGCTCACTGAAGACAGCAGCGAACCTGGCGGTAGCCGCCGCACTGCCGGCCGACCGGCTGCTGCTGGAGACGGATGCGCCCTGGTGCGAGATTCGGCCGACGCACGCGGGCAGTCGGCACGTGCGGCCGCCGGCTGCGACGCCCTGCAAGAAGGAGCGCTGGCAGGCGGACCGGCCCGTCAAGGCGCGCAACGAGCCAGCCAACATCACGTGAGAGGGGAGGGACTGGTCGTGGGTGGGCCTGTCTGGAATTATCTGAGTGTAGAGCTTGGTGGCCTCCTATCTGTGGATGATGCACCTCTTATTCCGAATTCAGATGTGTAAAATGTGACATGACTCAGCCATCATAGAGCTACGAGACGCGTCTCAACGGCGTCCTGCTTTGTTTTGCCATTTGTATGGTTCCATTGTCCCATCTTAATCTTGTGGCCTTTGATTAGTCTTGAACTGTGGTCTTCCCTGCGCAAAATGACGCCGGAAGTCGGCGCGCCCCAATCGTCATCATACTACAGCGGACTTCCATGTCCTGGCGACACATTGCACTGTACACAAGTTGTATCTGTTGTTGCAGCCAAGTGCTGGATGTGCTGGCAGCAGTGAGAGAGGAAGATCCGGACACGCTGGCAGAGCAGATCTTCGTGAATACGACGAAACTTTTCTTTCCAGACCATGTGTCTGACCACTGAACTGTGATATGCGCAAAATACATGAAAGCTTCTATGAGCACAACTATGGTGGTTTAACTGCTAGTGAATGATAGCCTGAAAATGTGTATTTTGCCCTTGGCACGTTTGTGACCCATTTATGTGATTTCGTAAAACCTCATTGGCATCAAATTTGTTTCGGTGTTTGGTGATTAGCAGCCTTGTGCGGTTCTAACACAGTGACGAGCTGGGCAGTGGCTGCCACACTGCCAAACCATCCATGGCCCTTAACGGTAAACGCCCAGCATTCCAAGAAGATCTTGACGTCAGTGCGTTGGACGCAGCACAGCCTGCTCGGTCGTGCCACGGTTTTTTTTTTTGCTGCCCAATTTGTGCTATTGTTGGTCATTGGAACGAGTGACTACCTCAGGTAGTATGAAGGTCGCGCCGATCATACCCACATCCCTGATTCGGCCCTGGAGTTTTAACACGTCCGTTGCAATACAGGATAGAACCATCAATTTTTGGGACGCTATTGCAGGAGAAAAAGGCTTGGAGGATGTATCCTCTTTTCCGATATCGAGACCACGACCATGTCTTGAAATATATTTCCTCACTTGACCCATTGCATGTCACGAGCAAATCCGGCATGCAATGTCAGAAATGGGCTTAACGAAGAATGAGGGAAGCTGATGAAGCACGCCTTACACCCTCTGCTAGCGGGCTTATCGCGTATAGGTAGGTTTATGAGACATACAGGCCAGAATAGATCAGAACCTAGCCTACACTAGTCCAGCCCAACCTAACCTAACCTAACCTTACATAACCAGCCAACTTAACGTAACGTAACGTAGCGTAACCTAGCCTAGCCTAGCCTAACCTAACCCGACATAACCTAACCTAACCTAACCTAACCTCCCTACCCTATCCCCTTCAATCCAGTGTCCCATTGGCGTCCATGTTCCATGTCATGTATATGTATCGTTTTAAGAAGTTTTGTTTCGCCGCCATGTTGTCATTTTTCTTTTCATTGCCCACCCAAACATGTCATATTTGTCGACCAATGTACAAGCAGTACGGAAGACTGGAGGACGCAAGGAACGTTTCATTGGATTCTTGTTACCTTGGCCCGGTACATTTTTACGGTTCTTGATGCGCAGTGATTTGAGCACACGTGGCAATGGCGCGGGGGTCGCGGTTAGGTGTGTTTGCAGCGCTCGGGTGTTCGCTATCGTAGTTATTTAAGCTCCAAGGTAAGAGTTTAGACGAGCTGTTTTACGATTATTTACGATATGTTTTATCTTAAGAACGGCGATTGATGTACAATGCTCGTTTTTAACATAGATGCCAATGTATAGATGGGCGATGCCCTTTTTAACATTAGGGACCAACGTATACCACGACCTAATAGTCATCTCAGCTACATTCAAAGTGCAGAAAAAGTCAAGCAATTTCTGAGGTGTGAGTTAGGTCAATAATGATTGCCAGGGATGCCTTCTACGCACAGAATGTTGGGCTGTGTGATGTTTAATGTGCTTCTTAGTTGCCAAAGGAAGGTTGTGAAATGTGAACTGTGAAGTATCTGCTTTGATTGTGTAATGTCATGAGCCAGGCATTTATAATGATTGACAACCAGCATTATATTTTGTAACCAAGGAGACGGACAGGCAGGGGCAATGCCAGTGACTTCTGTAAGGGGATGGGGGGCAACCTGATATATGTGCTTTGTAAGAATATGTGAGCAACTCACTAGTTTGTGGTGCATTAATTGCACAGCATGCTAAATTAAATGATTGCTTTCTGCTGTTTGATTGAATGCTTCTGCATGTTGGCAACCTTTCAGATGTATGTTTGTTTAGTACAACTGGGATTTCTGCACCATTTTGAGTCAGCATAGTTTTGTTGTTATATTTTGTCCTTAGTAATTGTGCTGCCTTGCAGTTATAGCCTGTCTTCTGGTTTCCTGTGGTTCATTCACCTAACTTCCCAATTCCTGCTTCTCATTGACACATACATAAACATGATCCTGAGCTACCATTTAGTAATGGTCTACCATTAGAGGTATTTTGTTGGTGATAAAAAACATTCTGTGCATATTTTGCAGCATTTGCTTGTATCATGTGCATAATAAAATGCACCCTGTGGATACACACTGTTCCCTGACCAGAATTTCATGTGCTGGACTCTCAAATCATTCCAGGTTGGATTTTGGCACTTCCTGGACTTTTCACTCTCCAGGCTGGATCTTGGCTCTTTCTGGATCCCTCACTATAATTTGAGGCTGCATACTGGTTCTTGTTGAATCCCTGTGCACATTTGGAGTAAAACCTTGGTTTATGCTGATTTTTTGGTTTTTTGGCTGAACATCAAGTTGGATCCTGGTTCTAAGTGGAACCCCAGCTCATTTCTGGCTCCTTGGTTTTGCCTGGTTCTGAAACCAATGTTTTTCCAAGGAAGAAATCTTAGAAATCAGGCACAAGTCTGAAAATAAGTTAAAAAAGCTGCAGGTTTCACTGAACTGTGTTTGATTATTTGATCCACTTTCTCACATGAAAAGTGATTGAGAACACCTTGTCTAGCATATCAGTGATAGGTAGTTTGGTTTGTTAAGAACAATGATGCTGTTGGTTTGTGATTTTATCCATGTATTCATGATCATATTTTTTCACAGACCTGAACAGGTGAGTCATGGCCGAGTTCGTGCAGAAGCGGCTGGAGGAGTCGCTCCCAGAGCTGGAGCAGCTGGAGCGTGTCCAGCTGTTCACTAAGGAGGAGGTGCGCTCGGTCATCAAGAAGCGCAAGGAGTTTGAGTACCGACTGCAGCGTAAGCGCAAGGCCAAGGAGGACTTCACCCGCTACATCGAGTACGAGCGAAGCCTGCTGCAGCTAATCTGGAAGCGGCGGCAACGGCTGGGCTACAAGCACAAGCAGGCTGACATCGACCACAAGATCGTGACTCGCATCTCGCAGCTTTACCGCATCGCCTGCATCCGCTTCAGCGACGACGTGTCGCTGTTCTTGGCGCACGTGGCGTTCTGCCGGCAGATGCGCCAGCTGGCGCAGGGCAGCCGCGTGTTCACGCGCCTGCTCCGCACGCACGGCCACCGGCCCGATGTCTGGGAGGCGGCCGCGCTGTACGAGATGGACGACAACAACAGCCCCGAGACGGCGCGCCAGCTGATGCTGCGCGCGCTGCGGCTGCACCCGGAGTCGACGGCGCTGTGGACGGCCCACTTTCGGCTGGAGCTCGGCTATGCCGCCCTCCTGCGCCGTCGTCAGAATCTGCTCGGCGTGACGACCAAGCCGGAGAAGGCGACGGAGCCGGAGGAGGCGGGGGAGAAATCGGGGCAGGCGCCGGCCGACCCCGTGCTGGAGGGCGCCGTAGCGCGCGCGGTGGCGCGCCAGGCCGTGCGCCGCCTGCCCGAGGTGGACCCGAAGGCGGACCCGTGCCGGCTGCTGACCGGACTGCTGGCCGTCTGCCGTGAGTTCGATTTCGCCGCCGGCCTGGAGCGCGAGCTGCGCGACGAGCTGCGCGCCTCCTTCCCGCAGCGCGCGCTCACCTACGACACACTGGCGCGCGCCGCGCTGCAGGGTGACCGTGCGCCGACCAAGTTGCGACACCGCCTGCGGGCCTGCTGTGAGCTGTACGAGCATGGGCTGGAGGCGGCGGCGCCGGCCGACGAGCTGTACGAGCTGTACCTGAGCTCGCTGGTGGAGACGGCGCGCGCCGCCGCCCGCCATCGTCACCTGGTGCTGCCGCGACTGGAGGAGGTGTTGGGCCGCGCCGCCGCCGCCGGCGCCGTGTCCGAGTCGGCCTTCCTCGGCGTGGCGGCGCTGTACGCCGAGCTGGGCATGGCCGACCAGGCGGCGGCGACGCTGCGGACCGCCACGGACGCGCACCCGGCCTCAGCCGCCCTCTGGTGGAAGCTCGTGCAGGTGAGCGGCGCCGGCAGGCGGGGCTCGGACGTGTTATGCTGCGGCGGCTGGTGCGTCCCGCTACCCGGCGTAAAATGTGTTCCTGGCTGCGAACGCTTGTGCTGCTGTCCACTTCATGCGGATGTCGTTCGCTGGTTGCGAAGGTGTTTAGTTTGAGTGTCCTGCAAGGGTTGGAGTAAAATGATTCGCTACACGATTGGGTGCAGTCATACGAGGCACGAATGAGTAATGTCAATTTGACAGTTAAGGTATGTTAAAATTTAGTTTGTCATGGAAGAGAATGAAAGACACAGGTCATGATTTAGTTTGTCACCCACCATATTGTATGTCCTGTGAAGTAAATATGCGTTTGTCTGCGCCGATAAGTGTGATGTGCCCTCTTGCAATACGTTTGTAATGTGCTTACAACCGCTCTGCATTTTACGACACCAGGCAAGCATGTTGTGCTGTGCACCCAGACCCCGTTTCACTATATATTCGTTCGTGCGTACTCGTGCGTCCTGTCCTTGCTCTCAGGGTTTGTTGACGGCAGTCCTAGTTAGCCTCCCAACGCTCCCGAGCAGCCTGTGACGTTCCCTCTCCGACAGGCGCTGGCCGACTCCGGCGACGATGCGGCCGCGTGCGCCGCGTTCGAATCGGCCGCCGTGGCTGTGCCCGACTCGGCCCCGGCGCCGGCGAGTTGTGGCGCGGCGTGCTGGAGTGGGCGGCCACGTGCCGCCCCGACTACGTCGAGCACGTCTTCGCGGCGGCGGCGGCGCGCGCGCCGGCTGTGCTGCGGCCGCTGAAGGCCACCTACCTGCGCTGGCTGGCGGCGACGCGCGGCATCGAGGCCGCGCGCGAGATGTTCGCCGCGCACCACCTGCGACCGCCGGTAGACGCCGAGTTTTTCCTGGCCATGGTGGCGCTCGAGGCCGAGCAGCGCCCCGTGGACGCGGCGCGCCTGCGGGACGTGTATCGCGCCGCGTGCCGCCACGTGGGCGCCGACCGCGCCGCCCTCTGGATGGACTACGTGCGCTTCGAGCGCGAACGCGGCTCGCCTGAGCTGGCGGCGGCCGTGTACCGGCAGGCGGTCAAGTCGCTCCAGCCTGAAGCGGCCGACGAGTTTGTGGCGCTGCACGCCCGGATGGTAGCCAACGTGGTGGAGTCTTGATGCGGCGGCGTGTGCCTGCTGGTGGACATGTGCTGCTTTGTAATACAGTATCGTGACGGGTTGAGTCTGTCTGGCAGTGTGTGGCGGGAAATCGATGACGACAATGGGAGGTGGATGTGCACGTCGCCTGGGACCGGGCGCGCTCACTGCTCCGTTGTATTCATAATTTGAGATGTCATGGTCTAAGCACGTGTCAAACATCTCCTGGGATAGAAGATTCCGAGGATTATGGAAGTGGAAAAACAGAATATGTCAAATACTATGCGGTGGTCCTGGTGGACATGCAACGATATGCTGTTGACCGCTGCATGGCAAGGTAGAACATCCGCAGTTTGGACAGCCTGCCAAATGGGGCAGCATTGTGCCGTGTCGGGTATCACATGTGAAAGGTAGGGCTGATGCACTATTAGTCAACAGACCACCACACAAATTTTAATCCAGGGCTGTGTGTACTTCCGATGGTATTCGCGCAAATGCAATTTTTTAGAGAATCCCTTCGCAAAGAATTTGGTTTGCTATTTAAATAAATTTGGAAGCACTGTTAGGCGGGTAGCATGGCGCAGCAAAGACATTCATGGGATTCGTCAAGCGACCTATACCAAACGCTCTGCTTAGAAGACATGGGATTGCCGTTGTGAGGATTCATGTAGGTGTGCGTGAGTCTACGGCATTTCTGTAGGCAGCTTTTGTCTCGGAATGTTTTAATGTTACGTGTACTTGCCCCGTTAATGGCGTATATGATGCTCCAGTGCTATGCTACTATGCTAATGTAGAGCATAGCTCAGTCCGTCGCGGAAGCTCCAGTTCAGTCTCGGTCATTTTATCACAAACCAATGTAAGTGATAATCGGTTGTATTGAATGCATTGTATTAGTATGCTTTTTAATCCTGTGATTGCTTTGGTTAGCATGCAAAACACCAGGTCACAGTCTCAGGCCACAGCACTGCACCTAATATTGCTGGGGTAGCTTGAGTGCCTGACCACCAAAAATATGCTGTGTCATTCTTTGGCAACTCTCCTTCATGCCCAGTGATAATATTTTATCAAAAATTGCAGTCAATGCATGCCTTGAACCTAGGTGACCAGAGTTTGGTGCATGGCCTGTCCTCACCTCCATTGATGGAGGCCAGTCTGCTAAAAGGGAAAGTCATTTGCAGAGCTTGGACACATACACAATATATGTGCACTGAACTTCATGTTTGGGCTAGGCAGAAATCAGGCCAGGCTTAATTTTGCTGAATTTTCAAATCATATGTTGAAAATGCTTTTGAAGTATTTTTCCAGAAGTTGTGTTTGAAATATATTTTCCTTGAAACATTGGTTCCAGGCTCTGAAATTGGTGCTAGCCATGCTCAAAGCACTGAGCACTCAGATTAACTATGCATGCACACTGAAATTGTTCATTGATAGTTGTTGAAATTGAAAATTGAAATTGAATATCACTGTTACCCTATATGTATTCAGTGGAGCATGCATTTTTTGTACTCTATCATGAAGGCCCAAGGTTTCAGGGAGTTAGAATGTTTTAATGTTAAGTGTAATGGGTAACAACTCAAAATATCCCAAGATATGGGCTGAAACAAAACTGCATCGAAATTTGAGTCAGTTTAGCATGGGCTGAGATATATAATATATATATATATATATATATATATATATATATATATATATATATTTAATGCCACACCATTTATTTAACATCATAATGTTGTGACCAGTGATCACACCTATGCCACTTACATGTCTGGTACACTGATAAATCTTTTCACAATGATTGGAATGTCACATACCATGCTCTGATCTTTTTTTAGTCTGCTTGTTTCCAATAACATGCACAGACATTTGCTTTAGAGATTAGTTTTGGTTTGGTGGAAGCTGAGTCCCCCATGGCATGCATTTGTAGCTAGGGATAAAATTTTGGTTTTGACCAGTTGAATGCTTGCCTAGTATAGAAACTAGTTGGTGCAAGTTGTATCTTACTGTTCACCAAGGCGGCACTAACAGAGAATAAGACTAGCTAACTGTGTGGACCTGGTGGTGGTGGTGGTATGGTGACTGGTATGCACCTATTCAGTGTGGAAGCTTTGATCATTATTTCATGCACGACAGAATCAGCAAGCTCTATTTTGGGAATGTAAATCTTGCTTAAGTGGTTATATATTTTAATCACCTGCTTTTGATCTTATTTGTTGGTAGCTTGTCAAGAGTTTTGGGGTATTTTTATTTCAAATGCATTGTGCTTTGGATTGTAACCAATGGTACATGTCATACACAGGTTCTAATGTTGATGTTTGCTTCAGTGTGGGGTGGAATGGTTCCAGTTCCGGCCTCAATCCAGGAACGGCTGCAGAATTTAACAGACTATGTGAAGCCTATTGTTGGTGAGTTTGATGTATTTGTGTATGTTTTGTGAAACATTCAATTTCATTTGGGACGTCCACATCAATGCGTGTTTTTTGTGTTATTACCATGATTACAGCCTATTGGGGCTATGGGTATCTGTTCACTGTGGTACTTACCTGTACTGTTCAACAGTGTTTGCTGTGAAGTATAAGACTACAGCAAATTGTGCTCAATATTACCAGCAAGGATAAAACAAGCTAACCAGCAAAGATGCTATGTTGCTGCATTACAAGCCTGTTTTTCCTGTTATTGGGCAATTTTAAGTTGCCTGTCATATGTGATATATTCTCCCCATCTCAGGTTTGATTTTGATCATGGCCAGAAAACCACAGTAGGCCTGCAGGCTTTTTTATCACGATAGCCAGCGCTCAAGTCCCAGCTTCGGGCTTTGACGAATTGGATGGCCCTGCCCAGTCATCTGACCATATGGGACATGGTATTCCAGCGGTGGAGCCATGTGGAGCCATCGTGTGATTCGTAACCAGTAACCAGTGGCCCTCGCGCGAATCTTGAAAAGGCATGACTGTCTGTCGGTGCAATCTCACGGCCGCTGATATCCACAGACTGGCCTCTGACATCAGCTGTGAGAAATATTCGTGTCTGCGTAAATCCCCACATAAGTAAAGTTGTGACGCTGGTTAAAAACACATACTATGCGATTGTTTTCTGATATGTAAAAGTGGGCAAAATCTTGGGGAAGTTATCGATCATGTGATACGTCTTTTGACCTTGCTCGACGTATTTTCTCGTCGCTGTGTCGATCAGTACGCTGCAGACTACGCTGGCCTCTGTTTGGGTAAGCATTGTTTTTACGCAAGGAAGAAGTGGGTCCGATAGATGAGTTTGCAGTTTGATCGAACGCCACGCACAGAACAAAACACATTTGATGGATGGTTGTGTTTATTGTTCGCGAGTTTGTAGTCATGACCTCGTATCCAGGTGTCCTATGGATGTAGCTACGTCCCCGAGGTGTGAAGGACGAACCAGAACATGGGGCACGGTCTGAGGAAAAATTGCGTTTAGGAGCGAGCTCCAGGCCGAGCGAGGCGCTCTGTAGCAGTGAACTAATCCAACTTCCGCGATCTTCAGCTTCAGCAGCAATCAGATCAGACGACCTGACCTGACCTGACCCAGTCTATACTGGTCGTCATGCATTCCAAAATTGATACCCTTTAGTCATGGACCGCAGGTTCATGCAGTTTTCACCGGAAAACGTAATTCTTAACTTAATGTATTGTATAGGTGATAGCTTACACAGCGCATGCTTGTAAGTGGTCGATCAAGCGTGGTGTTTCTGCTACACTGCACTGAGAACCTAAATTGACAGCTCCCCATACGATTACACAAGCAATGTAAAATATTGTTAATCCCAAAAAGTACCACAGCATAGCTGGCCAGATCTTGAAGGCAAGACTGCAGCAAGAGGGTGAGACTAGCGCCGTTTGGCGGAGAGGGTAAAGGGCCATTGTCCTAGCAGATGTGTCGGTTGATGTGTGCGGTCGGTGGCGATGACTCGAGCGCAGGTCATGGATCCGCCGTTTTGGTTTTGGGAGATGTTATCTTTGGTTTTGTTTTCAAAATCCGAGCGCCAGAGCAGATAATGACACGAAGCTGTCCGCGCTGTGCGGGTGAATGCTCTGCCCACCAATCACCGGACAATCTCTGCGCTGTCGGCTCACAAGTGTGCCAGGGATCGACCGGAAAGCGGCCAGTGGCTCTTTCGCAACTGGTCACGGATACAACACGCGGGCCATTTGGTGAATAGAACACGCAGGTGTGACAGTTATGTCCAGTTTTACTGAATTCAGCCCAATTTGTTTGCACTTTTTTAAGAATGTAGTCCCACTGCCTGAAACAATTAACAAACTTTTATTTTTTAATTGTTTTTTTAAGTAGGCTGCGGCTGGTGTGCCCGCACTGGGCCTGATTTCAAGCAATGTGATTTTGAGTTGCCGAGCGAACGCTGCATTAGCGCTCGTCAAACTTCCATGAAAAAATTCCGATGTCTGATTTCATTGTCTGGGGTTTACACAAATAACTCGTCTAAACGGGGATGGTGAGCGAGGTTGAAGACCAGACCTTTCACGCTATCCAGCCATACAGGTCGGGCATGGCCGAGCCAGGCACGCTTTTTGGGGGCTTGTGTCTTCTGGGGTGTCAAATCCGAAGGGTAAAACGGATATGATCCCTTAATGGAGCCGCGATATGGCTCCAGCGCTGGAATTCCATGCCCTGTAAGGTTAAGTGGTCGGACAGAACCATCCATTTCCTCCAAGCCTGAAGCTGAGGTTTGAGTGCTGGCTATTGTGATAAGTGAGTGGGTATGGATTGCACGGTTGTCATAAACTCTGTTTACATTCAACTCAAAAGCCCACGGGTTTGTTGTGATCTTCTGGGTTATTTGTAAGCATTTGTGTCTTGCCACATCAATGACCGTGATCGAAATCAAACGTAAGACAGAGAGACTGTATCACATGATGGACAACTTAAAATTAGTGAAATAACAAGAAAATGAGGTTTGTAAGGTAATCTGCGTTTCATTTCCGTCGGCAATCAGACCGGATAAAGACGTGAGACAAATGGCGCAGTGCAGACGAATGTGCCGTCCACAAATCAGTAAGCGAAGCTACGCTTTCGGACCCGTGGGTGCGCCGGCAGTTTACCCAGGAACTTCCAGGGTCACCTTTTGAAACCGACCGCGAATGGAAAATTAAATGTCTGCACCGAGGGAGTGGGCCGTGGAGAGTACACATGTGTGCAGCTCAGTTTACTGTGGCTAGTATTCACCGAAAATATTTGCGCTCTCGACAAAGCTTTGGTGACAGTTATTAAAACGCCATCATTACAAGAACATCGACAATGTCCCCCGTCGCATCAGGCGAATTGGCCACGGGCTAGAACGATATGTGGTGCTGGCGTCATTGGTTTGAGCTGCGACCCGCACCATGGGTCGTGTCCACATAGCACGCCTTCGTAATATCTCTGGGACGAGTGTCCAAGGTCTGCTAGCGTCTAGGGCGCGCTCATAGGCTGTTGGCCAGCGCTAGAAGTCATGGAAGCGGAGCAAGTTGAGTTGTAGCTTTACGGAAGGATTGAGACTAGGCGTTATGATCACGAATGGAATCATTGTTCTGGCTGTCGTCCCGGCCTGGTGTGTTAGTTTGCACACAACGTTTCGGCCGGCCGTGGTGGGGTGTGGAGTGTTTAAAAGGACTGGATTATGTTTGACTTTCAGCCATGCTCGCGTTACAGTTCGAATCTTGGCATCGCTGAGATTCGAGGCAGGGTCTTCTGACTTCCAGTCATTTCAGCGCTCTCAACTGAGCTAACCGGTAACGATAATACCTCGGTGTTAAAACTTGGCGCATGGCCACAAAGGCGAGTTAAAATGCCTTTCTAAGGGCTCCACGACGCCTGACGACGGCGCGAGAATTAACTGGCCGAAACGTTTTGTGCATACTAACGCACCACACAAGTGCTATAGTCCGAACAGTTATTTCACTCATGGCAAATGGAGTCCTTGCGGAACCCGCTGGACGGTGAGGTACAACACCCTTGTGGATTTTCTGGATTGATAGCCCGTGTGATGCGTTGGGTTAGTGGCCATGGAAAGGAGTGGGACGTGACACGCATACATTTCGGCCGCGGGTCCACCTCAACGCTTGTCGTGGTGTCTGTTTGGAGCGGGCAGCCCCCGACACTTGCCGCGAGAGGCGCTGGAGGGCGCTTTTAGCCGGGACATTCGCACGTAGTGACGCGGGGCATTCTAGAACCGTCATCACAACCTAACATACAGGCCATGAAGCCGGAAAAGGAAACTGAAAAGTCCAGGGTGTGCGTATGCGCCTATGTGCTTCTATGCTGCGCCATTTTCCCTCACCTCATGGTGACCAGCAAAGTTCTTTCAGAAGCGTTCGTTTTTCACGCGTGCACGTGTTTCACCTTGACACGAAATTATCCCTTAGTTGCGTCTAACGCACTCATCGCAGCCCGCGTTAATTTTTTGTCGGCCACGATGTGGATGCACTACAGCGCACGCCACACTCCGGTGACTCAGAACGACGCACCTGCGCCATAACGACGACCTCATTTTGCACGTGTCAGACCTGCGCCGCGCATTGTGACCGGCTGGTCACCTGTCGCGGTCAGGGCCGGTGGTGCGCGAGCGGCCGCGACCCCGCGCGTCGCTAGCCGCCCACCGCCCGCGGCTGGTGCTCACGTGTGTGTGTGTGTGTATGTCTGTCTGTCGCAGGCGTTCGCTCGCCCTGTGCACGTGTTGGTGTGGTGAGCAGGCTCGTGGGTGACCGGAGGGTGTTACCATGCGTCCGCCGCTCTGTTTACGTTCTTCTCGGTCGCGGGGCGTCAGCGTCGGGGGGGGGGGGGGGCAGTGGGCGGGGCGGCGGTCGGTGGTCGCTCAGGTGCCGGTCCTCGGCACTGACGCGGCGGAGGTTGGCGGAGGGACACCGCTCCAAGTCAGGCTGACGTGCCGCGCCGTCCCAGAAGACACCGCCGCCCCGCTCCCATCGCCGTCGCCTCCAGTCATCTCCCACTGCGTGAGGCGTCGCGCGCCCTGGCCGCTCCAAACTCTCCCGCCTGCCCTGCGCGGTGCTGAAAGTCGCAGCGTCGCTGCGCGCGACAGCACCGGTCGACTGACACTGCGTCCCGTCCCGTCCCGTCGCTTCCCGTCCGTCAGTCCCCTACGTTCTCGTCCCTGCCCGCGCTCCGTGTTCCGACCATGCTGCCGTGGCCGTCCAAGTCGGCGGGCGCCGACGCCGTCGACCTGATGGCGGAGGCGGCCGCCCATCTCTGCCTGGCCGTGACGCTGCAGCGGCTCATTCCAGCCGGCTACCTGGACCTGGACTACGCCTGGTGGCAGGTGTGGCTGCTCTGGCCGGTCATCGCGCTGCTCGTGCTGCCCATCTCGCTGCTGATCGCCCTCTTCCTCTCCGCCTTCTTCGTCGAATGTTACCGGCACTGGTGAGTGCTGCAGCGGGGCAGGGGTGTGTGTGTGATCGAGTGTTTTAGGATAGCTGGTGGCATTATGCGATGATAACAGGGCCGAATGATAATTCTCCGATCTTGGTGACTGCAAGGGGTCGGTTTTCGCGGATATTGTCCTGAAGTGCTGGACGTCATTATTCAAGGGAGTGCTCCACACGTATGGGGGGAGGGGGGGGGGGTTGAACTGAAAATCTTCTTGAAAACCTTTCGGTATTGTTCACAATCCTGCCCTTCTTAAGACCTAAGCCGCTCTAGGTTCTGAACGATACGCCCGCGAAAATGGGTAAAGGAATATCGGGGAAAGTATGGCAAAGGTACCTCGGCGTTCATGACGTCATAATAACGATATTCAAGTCCTGCCATTCCATAAACCATGCGGCGATCAAGGCCAAAACAAAAAAATGTCGAAGCGTTCACACCTGGCGCTTGTGAGCGCGATTTCCAGATATTACGGCCGTCAGTTAGTTCTCTATCAATGTTGTGCAAGGTACGGGGACGCAATCAAACTACGACGCATTGAGGAGCACATTTACTAAACAGAGAATTGTGTTATCCAGGGCAGGTCGTTTCCACTTCAAAATCATACCGAATGTTATAAATGAGCTTGTGTCATGTCTGATGCCTGTTTCAATGTTTTAAAGTGTGAAACATCCCCTTCAACTTGACCATAACACCATTATTTGGTGCTCTCCCTTGTCGCCAGTGCTGCGAATGGTCCTCGCGTCCCACGCATCTCCTGTGATCTATCCGTTACTTAGCAGTAAATGCTGTCATCGCACGTAGAGCGCGAGGCATTGGTTTTGTCGCCTATTGAAGGATGCTGGCGTCCGTATGCTGTTTACCTTTCACACCTTTTTGTTCCACTCTCAGTCAATGCCAGTTCTTTGTTGAACCAACACATCTGGTGGGAAGTTCTTTACTAGGTTGTGATGGAAAGTTCTTGGCAGTCACATGGGCTCCAATAAAAATGGAGTGTCGTCATAAGCAGGCCATATGTTTCGCATCCGTTCGTAGGTCGCATAGAAGCAGCTAACCGATCGGGTCGCATAATCCGTCCCTAGCGTTACCGACTCTGTCCAGCCCGCCTTCTTGTGGCGTGAGTGCTTACCGTCCCCGCTCATGTGAACAGCGCTCAAGCCGTCTGGACCCGTGCGTTTGTCGCCCACCGTCTGCTTACCTCGTAACTCCGCAGTATTGAAGTCTGTCAGAGCAGCGTTACAGCACATTCGCACAGTCGGGGGTGCCGTTGTGCAGTGGTTAACGCGTCTGCGTTAACCGCTGCGCGTCTGGGAAACCAGGGGTACGGGGTTGGATTCCCCGCGGTGCCCGCCCTTCTTGCCAGGGTGAGAGGTAGACCAGACCATATAACCTCAGCAGCTGAGTGCGTCGTAAAACCCCAATGACACGCACGCGCGCACGCACACACACGCACGTAGTCTGTGTTCGTACGTGTGTACACCGCTCACGTCGCGTGAACACGTGCCGCACATGTGTGCACTCGTGCCCCCGCCCGCGCGGTGTTTGTTGAGCTGCCTGTGACCTGGCCCTGGTCGCCGCCAGGCACGGCCTGAGGGCGGCGTACGAGCTGAGCATCTGGGACGGCGCGCGCTACACCGTCGCCGTCTGCTGGAAGGTGCACGGCAAACTATGGCACGGTGAGCACACGGTGCAGGGTCTCAGGGCTGTGGAGGGTGGGTGAAATATGGCCCGGTGGATGCTGGAGTCTGTGGCGTAAACCACGGCGTCATGAAGCGCGCGAGGAAAGCAGCTGCCGGGGTGATGGAATGCGTGCTGCGCGGTCTTTGCGTGGCCCGCGTAGTGTTTTGATGCGGTTTTGTGCACTGTCGCTGTTCTGGCGCGCCAGAGGCTGTAGGGGTGGCGGTGTCGGGTGTAGTCTGTCACCGGCGCCGCCCCCACCGCTGACGCAGGCAGCGGATCACCTGCGTCGGATCACCCGCGCGGCTGAGCCTTTCGCCGCAGGCGCCGGCTGGCCCCAGGCCGCCGCCGGACGCAGCTCGCCGCCCAGGCAGTGTCTGACCGCCGCTGCCCGGACCCGGCAGGTTACGAGGTCAGCGGACTGGAGCACATCCCCAGCGGGCCGGCGCTCATCGTCTTCTACCACGGCGCCATTCCGATCGACCACTACTACCTGCTGTCGGAGGTCATCACAGGCACGGGCCGGCTCATCAAGACGGTGGGCGACAAGTTCCTGTACAGGATACCGGGTCAGTTCACGGCGGCGGAGCTGTGAGGGGCGGGGTCGTCTCCCACACGGGGTGGCGGGTCAGTCGACTCCGGGGCTGTGCTAGGTGGAGAGGTCTGCTGGGTTTGTGGGCGAGCGGCTGGGTGACTTTGAGACCTGAGCTAGCAGCAGGTATCTGAACCCACCAACAGAGAAGCTTATCGTCTGGTGCGCGCATGGTTTTGCTTCAGCTGCTTGGTCACACAGGGTGACTGCAGGGGTTCGCGATTTTGTAACGGAACACAGCGCACGTCGTCACGCACCCTGTTATTGAGCGCTAGCGACTGCGCCGGCCATAGAAGTGTTCAAAAGCCATGGCGCAACAGGGTTTTGAACCAGCCGCCCCCCCCCCCCCCCCTCCAACGTGTGAGCCGAAGCCGCCAAGCACTTGGTTATTACGCCCCCCGCCGGATGAGGCGTTGCCAGTTGAATGGGCGCACTCGTCCTGACATGAAAGCACGCTGGTTGGTACGCGCACCTTAAGAAATGACAAACGTACATGCGATATGCTTGTGAATAAATTGGACCGATGATATAACAGGCCAATTTTGGGTTGTACTTCCTTTCTTTTGAAACCCCCGCACATGTTTGCGCTTTACGTTGCATACAAATTGGCATTTAGCTGCATCGCACGTCGTGCATTAACCGCGACGAGACTCGTGGACGCGGTCACCTGTGAGAACACAGATCGCTTTGATCCGTGTGAATGGTACGGTCCCGATCGCCCGTTGCACATGAGCAGGGTACAGAAACCGAGGGTTACAGCTGAGCCCGTGTGCCCCCTTGAGTCCCCCTCCCCCTCCCTCCTGAGGCGCTGTCGTCAGTCGGAGACAGTCGCGCCTGCCTGGAGTTTACCCGGCTGAAATGAGCTGACGCGATTATTTACGGTTCGAAGGCTGTGATGTTTTTGTGTTGTGTCGGGACCAGACTGGGGCGAAGTGTGTGTGTGTGTGTGTGTGTGGCCTTAAGACCGCAAGCGTTGGCAAATTTGCGCGTATAGCCAGTCAGGCATCCCATGTTTGCTTTCTTGTTTCAGCTGTTTTTGCAATATCCGGCTTGAAAGCAGCTGCCGCGCGTATTCCGCGAAGCCCTGTGCTGAAGTGCTGTGTGTGATGCAGATGCCCACATTCATCTAGTTCGGCGGGGGAAATGTAAACATAAGTGCATACCGCTGCCTGCTGGAGCTGTGTTATGCCTCCATGCATGTTGCTGCCCCTTGCCCTCGAGAGCAATCAATCACCACGGAGCAGAGGACGTTGCTAAGCGGACGCCTCGCCGCCCCATGCAGTACAGTTCGGAGGAGCAGGCCACTGCTAAGGGGCCCGAAGGGTACAAGGTCTAGGCAAGCCCTAGCCAGTAGCCGGAGGTGGCGAATCGGAACCGTGGTATCTGAGTAAGTCACAGGACAGGTCCTTCAGCTTACACCCATACCACCGAACTGACTGGATGCTTCAGCCCTGTGCGCGATCCCCAGGTTGGAAACACCTCTGGCGCTCGCGTTGTGTGCGCGTGATCCGGTGATTCCGGACTGACGTGGTGGGTGTGATCCGCAGGCTGGAAGCAGCTGATGCACGTCTTCTGCGTGATCCCGGGCGGCCAGCAGAACTGCGTGACGGCGCTGCAGGAGGGCCACCTGCTGGCCATCTCGCCAGGCGGCGTTCGCGAGGCCTTCTTCGGCCAGGGGTACCGGCTGGTCTGGAAGGACCGCGTCGGCTTTGCCAAGGTCGCCATCGAAACTAAAGTGGTGAGCAGAGCTCTGGTGCGGGGGCGCGCTTGGATTGTCGCTTCAACTGACAGAGCATTAGTGATGCCAGTGAAAAGGTTAAAGTGCATTTCATCTGTCCTTTTTAGAGGAGGTTTCCTGAACGCAATACTTGAAGCGGTGGAGAGGCACTTTTGAATTGTGATTTCACTCTGTCGACGTTATGTAAATACACTTTTGCGTGCGTGCCGCTGGCGTAGGTTTTGAATCCTGAAAACATCGAGGAGCAAGGTGGCGTCCGTTGCCTGCTGCGTACTCATTTTCTGCAGCCTGCGCCTTTTTCGTGGCCGTTTTTGCCGATGGGGAGCAGTGTCGTCACCACCGCCTGCGCCCCCCCCCCCCTGACCCGATGTCCGTCCCCTGCAGCCAATCATCCCCATGTTCACGATGAACGTGCGCGAGTCGTACCGCGCGTTCGTGCTGGGCCGCCGCTTCTGGACGTGGCTGTACGAACGCACGCGGCTGCCGCTGGTGCCCATCTACGGCGGATTCCCGGTGAAGCTGCGCACCTACCTCGGCCGGCCAATCCCCTACGAGGAGGGCGTCACGCCCGAGCAGCTGGCGCAGAAGGTGCGTGGGCGCGCGCTGGCGGAGAGCGCGGCAGAGGCCTGATGTTTGGGGTACGGTGCGTCGGGCCAGCGGTTTGTTTTGGGAAGGACTAGGGAGCGGGGCGGGTGTGGTGGTGTTTGCGTGTCCACTTGTGAGTTGGCGAGGTGACTCAGAAGGCGGTGGCTGGTAGTCAGGAAGGGCTCCGTGCAGATTGGAAGCTTCGAGGCGAGTTGATGGACTCCTGTTATTCATTCCCTGTGAAACATGAATGGAGAGTACGTAAGTTTTGATACAGAAAGTTTTGATACAGAGCATTATGCGAAAATATTTCATGAAGACTGAGGCACCAGGATAATCAGAATCAATCAACTATAGGTGTCATTTGACGGAATTTTCTAGGAAAACTAAAAGGCACGTGCAATCGTGCAGAAATAAGATGTGTACTTGCTCATACCTACATAACGAGCGGGGCGCACAACTTGTTTTCGGCCGAGCCGGCGTTTGCCGGCACACGGCCGGCGGCGCTGCGTCTGCGGCCGGACGCTCATCCGCCGTGCCGTCCACGTCCTCAGGTGGCCCTGGAAATCAACCGACTGATCGAGGAGCACCAGAAGCTGCCTGGCAACATCCTGCGTGGCATCATGGAGCGCTTCGTCGAGTGGCCCAAGGCCAAGGCCTCGTAGCGGCTGCCGCGCCGCCGCCACGCCCTCTCGGCGGGCCGGTGCTGCAGTTTTGCCCCGCCCGTCAGCGTCTTGAGCAAAGGAGACCGCGAGGATGGGCAGTCGTACGCTTGAGGTGGCTGCGTCGTTTTGAGTGTTAGTTTTGTCTGAGGCGGAGCAGTGTTGGGTATGTGTGAGCGGCGCTACTGCAACCGCGTGCAGCGTATGCGGCAGGTATATGCATGGTGCGCAGCTGTGACGTTCATGTTTGGACGCGTTTGGCAGTGTTTTAGCCGGCGGGCCATGCAGTGTTAGGAATGTCGCTTGCCTTAAGATTACACGACAACGGCACGTGCGCTGTACAATCTGTGAGATGGTGTCATTCCTTTGACGGTCAGGTCAGCCAGACACTCCTCGCTCCCAGCATTTTGTCAACCGACGAGCTTTACGGAACCCCGCGCTGGCTCCCACCAGACCAAAGCCGTTTCTGGTCTCGACGCCAGCTGGCTGCGGTCACCATGTATGACCGCGTGGCCCCATGGTATGTATGCGTCATGCGTTAGTTTGCGCCCTCACTCCGCGGCGTCCGGCCAACAGGAATGTTCTTCGCTATCTTCGGACAGTGCGAGGTTGTTTTTGATTCGTGCACCCGTACCCATCATTATTCGGTAGGCCCGCACTTTGGTGCTGTAACGTGGCCCGTTGGATGATACCGTCATGATGATAAACCATCGCGTCAGATGGTAACGGCATTCGCCGGATTATAGTTTTCCATCGGATGATAATATCATCCACCTTGTGATACTCTACCGACGCCGATCGCTTTGCAACACCTCGAAATGCGGGGGCATTTGAAACTAGGATGCGTGGAAGCGGACGCCCCGTACCTATGTTGGTATTTGCATCGCACAGCAATGTAATTCCCGATAGTGTAGTTCCGAGTAATTTCGAGAGCAGATCTCATGTGAGACAGCCCACGTGCATTTGTACGCCATTTTAGATGTGCGATGTGTCGGCGGATTGGGTTGGGTCCAGAGTGTCCCCTAGGATTGCTTAATCGGTCAGGGAATTTCGGTGAAGTTATTTTTACATTTATATCGTTCGTAAGGCGCGGCCAGCCAGCTGGGTGGCACCGTTGGAGTATGTAGTCCCTGTTACGCTGCGCCCCATGTACCTGGTGCGGATCGACGGTAGACCCAGTCATCGTGTTCACATACCGCGCGTCACCGCGATGACGCCTCTCGCGCCGCGCCTGTGCCGCCTGTGTGTTCCGGTCGTGTGACGTCACGGACACCTCGCCCGTCACGTCCGCAGACTTTTGTGTGGTTCACAGGCGCGTTAAAGTGACGTTCAGCACGGCGCCGACAGCTCAAATATACCGATTCCCGACATGATGCGGTCGTTTTCAATGGACGGCGGTGCGCCCTGGAGACGCGCCGCCTCGGGGGGGGGGGGGGGGGAGAGGGGACAGCCTTAGCCTCTGGTCCTGATCCCCTGTCCGCTCCTGGGCCCGGGCTGCCGACTCACACAGCTGGCTCGGGCATGCGACGGGTGGCGACCGTGCGGGTGGCCTGTGCAGGTATGACTGGAGTCGATCTCGCTTTGCGTCTGGTTTTTCACTCAGCTGGAGCAGGGGAGTTCATATGGGAGGGCCGGATCACTGGGTGTCTTGGAAGCGGTTGCTTGCGCCGTGCTGATGGTTGCGTTCTGTTTTGACATGCTTCGCTACGATGCATGGTCCCGCCGTGATTCGTGAGCGTTCTGTGATCCGGGCAGACCCAGAATGTGTGAGCCAAGAGTTGACACACCTGTTGACGGGACCAATACGTCACTTCACATCGTGACTTGATAATGGGTACCATGGCGAGAAGCACTAGGCCACTTGACATGCCATCTCACGAGGTAACTACCGTCATCGTCCCTAGCGGGAATGGGATCAGTAAAAGTTTAAAGTTTCCTGCCGCTTGAATCGAACCGGGATCTTTAATGCAGCGGTGTCATGCCGCCTGCTTCGTCACTCGCTCGCGCTGAATCCGCATCATCGGTGGCGTCGGGGTGGAGCAGTGCACCGATCATCGTGAACGTCGGCGGCAAGGTCGCGTGGAGAAAACGGTCTTTGGCCATTTTTTCAACTCCCTCTCCCTTAGTTACGCACTCCCTACGTTTGGTGCCCTCCCCCCTCTTCGTGTTTACACTGTGTTCAGCGTAACGCTCTGGAAAGGGAAGTTCCAATCGTAACATCCCAAAAATGCAACGTCCCTTTGGGCCCGCTCTGAGTTGGAGGAGAACGAGACAAGGACGGGCGTGCTGCTTATCACGAGAGGAAGCTAAGGGTATCTGGCTTTGACGTTTCAGAGCACTTTAAAATGACTTGCGCATGATTCCCAACCACAAATGAGCGTAACGCTGTCCGACCCCCTCCCCACTATTACGCTTTGATGCACTCCCCACAAACCTCCCGCCCCGTGCGTAGCCCAGTACATGGACGGCTCCTTATCGCAAATATCTTCCTCCTTATATCCTTATCCTCCGAACCGGGATCTTTAATGCAGCGGTGTCATGCCGCCTGCTTCGTCACTCGCTCGCGCTGAATCCGCATCATCGGTGGCGTCGGGGTGGAGCAGTGCACCGATCATCGTGAACGTCGGCGGCAAGGTCGCGTGGAGAAAACGGTCTTTGGCCATTTTTTCAACTCCCTCTCCCTTAGTTACGCACTCCCTACGTTTGGTGCCCTCCCCCCTCTTCGTGTTTACACTGTGTTCAGCGTAACGCTCTGGAAAGGGAAGTTCCAATCGTAACATCCCAAAAATGCAACGTCCCTTTGGGCCCGCTCTGAGTTGGAGGAGAACGAGACAAGGACGGGCGTGCTGCTTATCACGAGAGGAAGCTAAGGGTATCTGGCTTTGACGTTTCAGAGCACTTTAAAATGACTTGCGCATGATTCCCAACCACAAATGAGCGTAACGCTGTCCGACCCCCTCCCCACTATTACGCTTTGATGCACTCCCCACAAACCTCCCGCCCCGTGCGTAGCCCAGTACATGGACGGCTCCTTATCGCAAGCTGGGACACACCATCAGGAAGCCGAGCATTTGTCTTCTCTACATCCCAACCGCACACGAGATCGTTGCATTCCGCTGTTCGGTCATGCCACTTTGCGAAAAGGAAACGCGGCGTCACGCGCTCGTTACGGAGCGCCAGCAGTGTCAAGAAACGTTCAGGGTTCGACGCAGTCGGAGTTCGAATTCAGGCCCGCGTGTGAGAGCGCCAGGCGGCAACCACTCGGGCAATACGCACCGATACGCTGCGGCAAACTGCTTTCGCAGGGGTGATAAATACAAAAAATATCGGGCATCTAAAACATCTGTAGCTGTTGTGCCTGGTGCCTCCTTGAAGACCACAAAAACTGACGACGTATTCCTCTGTACGAGGAATTCAGTCACCGTTCGTGTGGTGATCTGACAGTCACCACGGCAATGTATTATTCCTTTTCTGACGGGCGTAAGCTTGTCACGTTATTCCACACAGGCACCACCGTTGCTCAGTTGGTGAGAGGGACACACCACTATTGAATCATGATGACGTAAAACCTTCAGTTGATGCCAATGCGTGCAAAACGCGATGCACCCATAGCCCACTCATCACTTTCCGATTCACGGAATGCACAGTTGCACAACTGAAAAGCCGTGAAAACCACACAAACTGATGACGGATGACCGTGAAAAAGACGAGGTGATGAACGTAACACATGCCGGCGTGCGCACGTCTCCCACCAGCGCGCGGTGGGCTCCGCTGTTGAAACAATGGTACCGCATCCCCGCACGCCGGAACTTGTACTCGTTTTGTACAGTGATTCCGTTCGAGGCCCCGTCAGCAACGATCAAACTCCACCCGGAGAGCACAGATCCCCTCCGCTTCAGCCACGTCTGCCTGACTCAGGGTCCACGCGCGCCGCCCGTCGGTCCCAACAGAGGCAGCTGGAGCGGCGGGACGACGTCCACCGAGGCGCGCGCTCGGCGTGGACACGGCCACGTCCCGTCGGCCGCTGTTGGGTCGACGCTCAACCGTCCGCCTCCGCCCCGTAGATGGCCTGGTTGCGGCGTTTGAACTTCTTAGCGGGCGTCTGGCTCGGCGTGGCGGCAGTGGCCGACCCGGACGTGACGACGGGCGTCGCCGGCGTGACACCTGGCGAGGCGGGCGTAACGGCCAGCGTCACCGGCGTGACATCTGGCGAGGCAGGGGTAACGGCCAGCGTCACCGGCGTGACACCTGGCGAGGCGGGCGTAACGGCCAGCGTCACCGGCATCACACCTGGCGAGGCAGGGGTAACGGCCAGCGTCACCGGCGTGACACCTGGCGAGGCGGGCGTAACTGCTAGCGTCACCGGTGCCACGGCCGGCGAGGCGGGCGTAACGGCCATTGTCACCGGCGCAACCGCTGGCGAGGCGGGCGTCACAGTGCCGGTCGTTGCGTCGTCCAGCGGCGCTGCCTTCTGCCTGACCGGCGGGAGGGTGAGCGCCGTCCGCGGCGCGCCCGTGCCGCGCCGGTCGATCACGAACATGGCGTCTTCGTCCTCATCCTCGTCCTCATCCTCGTCCAGCGCGATCTCGGCCGGGTCGCCGCCGCCGTCCGGGTCTAGCGTGCGGTCGCAGTCGAGCGTGATGTCCGCCTGCGCCGGGTCGGCCGGCGCCAGCAGCCGGGGCGCGCCGGCCGCCGCCTCGCCGCTGCACAGCAGCCGCATCGGGTCCTAGCGGCGGGCAGGCCGGCGTCAGCGGCGGCGCCGGTGAGTGGCGCGGTGAGGACTCGTTACCGGCCAACGTCGCGAGAAATGATCGCGAAGGATGGCCTGCATATGACACGCCGCCGAGACAGCGGAGCGGTCCTCCAACAGGACTGACTTGCGGCAGTGACGCCGTGCCAGAGAAAGACGCATGAACGTGACAAGACAAACACGCACGCAGAGATATTTTTATGACAGACTTAACACATCCGCAGCTTCAGAAATAGGCAAAAAATAATAACACGACCGGCATCAGAACAAAGTCAACGTCATCACGAGCATCCATTTTATTCATGTATTATCATTATAAAAGTCAACATCACCGTCTATAACTCGCTCGCTCGCTCACTCACTCACTCACTCACTCACTCACTCACTCACTCACTCACTCACTCACTCACTCACTCACTCACTCACTCACTCACTCACTCACTCACTCACTCACTCACTCACTCACTCACTCACTCACCCACCCACGCACGCACGCACGCACGCACGCACGCACGCACGCACGCACGCACGCACGCACGCACGCACGCACGCACGCACGCACGCACGCAACGCCACGCACGCACTCACTCACTCACCCTCACTCACTCACTCACTCACTCACTCACTCACTCACTCACTCACTCACTCACTCACTCACTCACTCACTCACTCACTCATTCCGTCATTCATTCATCCATGCATTCATACCACCATTCAACATTCAGCATCGTCAACAGCTTACACCGCAACCCTGTACACACGACCACATTTCACCGCTCCACGTAAAACCCCCTTTCTCTCAGCCCCCTGCTCCACCCAACCCAGCCCGCCGGACCCCTCCGCCGCCGTCACTGACCCGTACTCCGAGCCGGGCGCAGAAGCGGCTCGTCTGCGGGTCGGTGGCGGCCGCCGGCTGCCGGCCGCACCGGATGTCCGAGTGGCCGTCGTACGGCGGCGCCGTGACGGCGAAGTCGCGCGGCACGAGCAGATCGGCACCCCAGGCGGCCGTCGTGGCCGCCAGCTCCTCCGCGCTCGGATGAAAGTCGAACCTGCAGCACAACGACCAGCGCGACGGTCAGAGTGACACAGGTCGCACCGGCAGCGGGCAGGGCAACGCGGCCATTGGCGCACAGGAAGACGCGTGGGGCACAAGCAGGGACAGCAGGGAGCGGAGTGGCAGGTCAGGTAGTCAGTCGGAACAACCAGCTGATCGATGACAGGTCGGAACCCGTTGCAGTTATATACCAGGCCTCTTACCACTATTCCCATCGTTGGGGAGTTAACCTCTGGTTACGGCAGGGTCCGAGCTGGCCTCGCCTTTGGTTACGGCCGGGTCCGAGCCGGTCTCACCCCTGCTTACGGCGGCAATCGGGTCCAGCCGGCTTTTGCCCCGCGACAAACAAGGGTCCAGCCGTTTCTTACCCCACTCCCAGCGCGCCACCCTCGGGTCGGCTCATCTCTGACGACAGGCGTGGGTCCGGTCGTCTCCCTCGGGCCGGCGCTCACCTCTGGCTACAGCCGGGTCTCACCTCTGGCGACAACCAAGGGTCCGGTCGTCTCCTACCCCACTCCCAGCGCGCCACCCTCGGACCGGCGCTCACCTCTGGCTACAGCCGGGTCTCACCTCTGGCGACAACCAAGGGTCCGGTCGTCTCCTACCCCACTCCCAGCGCGCCACCCTCGGACCGGCGCTCACCTCTGGCTACAGCCGGGTTTCACCTCTGGCAGCAAACAAGGGTCCGGTCCTCTCCCACCCCGTTCCCCGTGTCCCCTTCGGGTCGGTGCTCACCTCTAGCTACAGCCGAGTCCCGTCGTCTCTCACCCCGCTCCCAGAGCGCCACCCTCGGACCGGCGCTCACCTCTGGTTACAGCCGGGTCCGGGCATGTACTGGGGGGCGGCCGACACGCTGGTCAGGTGATCGGTCGTCCGCAGGACAGTCAGCCACTCGAGGTCGTAGCTGAGCTCGGTCGGTCCGTCGCCCAACTCCAGGATCTGCCGGCGGCCGCGGCGTCACGGCTCAGTCCCCGGCCTCACGTCAGCCGAAGTCGACGCCGGGCAGCGCGCGGCCGCCGCGGGGATGAACAGCGGACCCGGCTCGAGGCGAGGACACGGACCGATGGCGCGCCGGGCTGCCGCGGGGACGAACGGCGGACCCGGCTCGAGGCGAGGAGGACACGGACCGATGGCGCGCCGAGCGTCCGCGCCCGCAGTCGTGATGGCTCGGGTACGCAGGATGCAGGGGGCGCTCCATTGGTCCTCCGATCGCACGCACGGTGCGGCCAGAAAAGTGACATCACTAAGGCCGAACCGTCCGCCCCCCCCCCCCCCCCCCTTTCGTGACCGATCCTGGCACGTCGACAGTCAACAGTCGCATGGATCATGTGTCGACAGAGAAAGTATAGCCGATCAACGCAACCAGAACAACGCGGAGCACGTCCCCGAACGCCCCGAAATGGTACGGCGAGCGCTCTGGCAGGTCTCGGAGGCACACACCTGCATGTATCTCCTGCGCGGCAGACACTTGTCCAGGGCCAGAAACCGGGTGGTGCGCGCTGCGGCGGCCGTGCCGCTCGTGGCTGCCTGCAAAGAGTGGCCTGCATGAGACATGGGAACACCAAACACCGAGAGAATTGGACTATTGGACTATTGCGGCCGTGGGGTCATGCAGGAAAAATATGTTGACTTGAGAACACAAAGCCGATAAAATGCAGTTCCAATGGGCGGAAAAATAGCCAATGTCTCAGCCAAACTAGAGTCACATTTGCCAGCTACGTTGAGCACGAGGACGTTTGCACCAGAGCTGCAGCTCTTTAAATACCACCATGCGGCGCGGCCGAAGACCGCTCCCGCACCTTCTCAGCATCCACGTCGCCTGCCCGGGAGGTGTCGGCCGCGTTCGCGGCCGAGCCATCGCCAGCCACCGGTTCGTGCTGCACCAGCGCCGAGAACTTCACGTGCAGGTGGGCGGCGAACCAGAAGCGTGGCTGCAGCCGCTTCAACAGCTCCTCAGCCGGCCGCGAGCCGAGCTTGTTGGACTCGACCTCGTCGCTGGCCGCGACAGCGGACGGGCGTTAGGAGGGCGCCGGGTGACGGCGTTGGGGGCGGGCTGCCGACTCGGTCTGGTCACAGCCTGGCACGGGCGGACGACAGCGGACGGGCGTTAGGAAGGTGCCGGGCGACGGCGTCGGGGGCGGGCTGCCGGTTCGGTCCGGTGACAGCCAGGCACCGGTGGAGGACGACAGCGGACGGGCGTTAGGAGGGCGCCGGGCGACGGCGTCGGGGGCGACTCGGTCTGGTCACAGCCAGGCACGGGTGGAGGGCGCCAGGCGAGAGCCGGGTGGTGGCGTCGAGGGGGAAGCACAGACCCCACCTCCTTACAAGCTGGGTCAAGGGGACATCATTGGGAGTCCAAGGGAGGCGGCGTCAGGTGCGAGCGCAGGATCCACCTGCTCACTGGGCGAGGCAGGGAAGCATGCCGATGGAGTCAAACAGAGGCACCAAAGGTGGGACACAGGCTCAAAGTACGGACCCAAGAGTTCTGAATATGATGTTGCGAATGAAAAATACAATCTTTCACTATTTCGCATTGGAAGGGGGGTCCGACCAGTCCGGATAGCAAGTGAAGATCACGTTCGTTGCATCTTGACACAGCATAAGCGTACAAAGCGTCGCCAGTAGCGAACGCATCCACCAGCTGATGCCACTCGCAATAAGGGGTGAATGTTCGAGGCACAGCATGCGTCCGCTCAAAATGGACGGCGAGGACTGCACGATCCTTACCGGAAGAAGGGCTTTTTGCTCAGCAGTTGCTCCACGTTACCATGGTGATAAACACCGCGAGGCCAGTCGTGTGATATAAAAATGTCCATATCCGGAGTCAACTGGAAACGGAAACGGACCGGTTCTAGCGCGTGGCCGTACGTCGCACCTCACAGACCAAGCTGCCACACCTTGGCCGCGCCATGAGCGCGGACACAATGTCCCACATCGCAGCAAACTCTGCTCCGGCCACCACCGGCGACACGGTGGCAGCCCGTGCCACCGCTCCGTCCCACCCTTGACCTTGATCTCCAACGCCATCGCTCTCAGCCTTGCCTCCTGAAGACCCCCAGCGACGACCGACCCTCCACCGGGCCTCACCTGCTTCAGCCTGAAGGTGTCGACGTTGCGCACGTGGTAGGCGGAGCGCATGGTGCTGCGGTCGTACGGAGGCCGCTCGTGGTGGCCCTTGAGGTAGTCGTGGCCGTTGTAGATGCCGGACAGCGCTCCAATCCGCAGGCTGCCGAAGCGCAGCACGGACGCGTAGCCGACGAAGTAGATGTTGGGCGCCAGCCAGCCGCCGTACGCCAGTGACTGCATGTAGTTGGAGGCCTCGTGGTTTCCACCGACCACGAGCGTGAGCACGGGCGCCGTCAGCTGGCCACAGTAGTACCTGGTGGTGGAGCACAGGTCAGGTATGCAGCAGTGCTACTTGGCGGTGCAGGCGCTCATATCTGCAGCAGTGTAGGCGTGGGTCAGATCTGTGGCTGTGCTACCTGACAGTGGACGTGGGTCGGGTCAGCAGCTGCATCCACAATATTACATGAGATGATTTGTTAGGGCAGAAACAGCAGCAAATGCCATAAATTGCATGCAGCATGTGCGTGACATGAACCGAGTTATTTCAAATGAATCTCCAAGGTGTCATTTGCAAGGTTTTATTGCTCACAGCATTGGTAAATATTGCAATGATTTTTTACCCATTCCAACAAAAAAACACCTGTAATTTCCAGCCAATAAGACTCAGAATAGCAGTAAGTACACACATTTCCTTTGGTACAATCCAAAGGGCTTAACAAAAGTTTCCATCCAAACAAGCCAACTTTAAGTCACATGCTAGCACACTTACTTGTAAAAGGTACCCATAGTATAGTACTTGGGTGGGACAGCCATGCATTGCAGATCATCTGGGTTTCTGGTGGCCTGGAAGTCTCCGCAGATGATGAGCAAATCAACTTTGATTGAGCGGACTTTCTCCACATGCTGAATAGCTGCATAGATGCCATCAAGCTCACCATGGCCACATCCCTCCACAGCTATGTACATGGCTGATCCACAGTCCTGTAAACAGAGCAGTGCTCAAGGTCAGCACAAATGCTGAAATACCCCAAGCACATTTAAAACATATATTTTTGCACTCGCTGGCCATGCTATTTTTTTATTTCACGCCAAAAGGTAAGAGAAAGTGAGCCAGTGTTTCAATATTCAGCTACTTGGGTGGCATAGATGTTGATATTTTTCTTTTCACTGCACACTTGTCATTGACTGCTGCTCCTCTGCTCACTCAAGCCACCAGCAGCCAATCAGCCAATCAGCACCGAGTCCGTCCGTCAACTGAGCATTTAGGCGCTTCTGACATGGAACAATGGCCAGATGGGGTCAAGCTCAACCTCCAACTGTCTGGGTCTTGGGCCAGAGGACAACAGATTGGCTGCCAAAAAATTGGTATGCATGCAGCAGCTGGCTGAGGGCCAGAATTCTGGTGGCATCAATTTATATTTACACTGTGCACCCTCAACTGGACGCTTATGGAAGACTGGATCATGCCATGCAACACTAAGTGTCAAGTATATGCTACATGCACCCAGAATTCGAGAGTCTCATCCTGGCCCCTGCTCCAATGCAAAATTCCAAAATTCACCGCATAGGGTGTGCAGGATGTCGACATAAGTTTGTGCTTCCCGAATCCTGGCCTCTCTGGAGACCTCCGCACACAATTCTTTGGCGCTAATCAGCTGCCCTTTGACCCCCCAACCAAGACATCTATCCAGTCCAGCACTTTTGCCAAGCCTGACCGCCGCCCAGCTCGTTGCTGATTGGCCGCTTTTAACCAAAGGGAGGGGCAGCAAGCAGTGAACCCCAAGCTGGGTGTGTAGTAGCATGAACAATATCACCACGCATTACACTCGAGAAGCTGAATGTTGAAATGAAGTCACACATCAGCTAATTTCCATCAGCTGTATGCTCTTCAAAGATTACACTTCATTCTACACATAAGTAGCACAAACCACATTTATAACAATGGCAATATGTTAGGCCCAGTCACCCAAAATCCATCCATGCAACAGATCCCTGGCACCATGACACAGGAAACTGTGGCAAAATATATCCGACCGGGGATCAGTGACACAGCGACAAATATATCTGGTGCTGCAACATCAGCGTGCTCAACCTGGGAACAAATCCAGTTTCTGGGGTGGGATTTTGGGATGGTGAGCCGACAGGTTTGATGACCCCGCAGTGGCTGCTCAGCTGACAGCTGAACCATATTCAGGTTGTTTGCTGGAGGGGACTGTATTCTGGGCAATAATGGCGGTTGGTCAAAACAATCAGGAACTATATCTCCTGGTGCATGGTGTGGTTCAAAAAGGACTGTATTCTGGGCTGCAATGGCAGTCAGTTGAAACAATCAGGAGCTCCTAGCTCTTGGTGCAACTACTTCCATCTGTTGACAGCAGTAGCTTTTTCCTCCCATAGTGTGTGTGCCAAACTTATGCATTTCAGCAGCTATACAGCATACCTCTAACCATCCAATGAAGCTATTACAATTTCAAAATTCAATGCAGTTTGACTCAGCCTGTTTATTTAAAATTAACTTTGAAACACAAAAATCCCTTGAAACTTGTTCTCTGCATCCTAAAGTTGGTGGTGAGTGTGGAAACTAACTAAAAGTTACTTAGAATTACTGAAAGTTTATGACCACTCAAATTTACAGCATGGATGTGCTGAAATTGTTGCTGTGGAGGATGCATTACCTCCAGACATGTTTAACACACTGTGTAATTTTGCAGTCTGGTTTGGAACCACATCATCACTGAGGTGATGCAGTCTGCAAGCTATGGCAAACAAGTCAATGAGATCTTTAGGGCCCACCAAATCCTGCCCCAAATAGGATCCAAACTATGCCATTTGGGTTAGATTGTGTGAGCTTACTTGTCCCAAAACATATCATTTGCCATCAGATTTTGTCACCCTAGCAATGTCACCAATCTTGTGCATCACAAAATACATTATAATGCCCTGAACAGTCTGATTCAATTACTTACACCCCAAAATTTTGATAATTTTCCCAAAATTAGAAGTTGCACCCTGCCTTTGGCTATGCCCTAGAAAGATATCAAAATCTACAATGGTCTGCAGACCAGGCAATGCTAATTTGTGTCTCTTAAGTCAGTTAGGGCAGTTTTAGATCATGAACAGCAGCAGGCATTTTGTACTCATAAAATCATAGATGTAAAATAGCACCATCGTGTGATGATCTGAGTGAATTATAACAAGCAGCCATGGTATTCTTATTCTTTTGCATTTAATAGGACTCTCAAACCATTTTTGCATCATAATTTTCCTTTAAATCAAAATGGGCAACTCACTGGTGAAATAGACAAGTTTTATGGATGCTGGCAATTTTGAGAACATCATTTGCCAACATGGATATTTACATGCTGCCACTGCTCTTTGAGATCTTAGTATGTCCATATTTGGAGAATGGCAACATCATCAGGACTTGGCAGACTGAACCAGGAGTGGCTGGAGCAGGTTGAACACCAAGCTGTGTGCCTTGTCTATGAAGTGAGGCACCACCCATACCCATACCCATAGGCACCGCCCATACCCCGAGAGGCTCAGAGACCATAGGGTGAGAGGCTTCAAATGCCTCCAGTTGCCATCGCTGCACTACCATTGTCGCAAAGGAGACATGGCTACAGTTTATTAGCCATCTCACAGAGGTGTTGTTGCTGTCTGAAAAAATTCCTGACAAGACACAACTCAGGGGTGACAAGAGGACACCAATAGAAAATAAGAAAACCACACGCTAGGACTCTTGTCAGTCATAACTTGTTCCACACAGGTTGCCAGTGATTGGATTGCTCTTCTGCTCCAATGCCCTTCCATGCCAGGCTATATTGTTTTTTATTTGCCAGCATCAACTACCAAGAGATGTAGAGGAGCCATACTCATGGTGCACCAGATAACCACAGGTAACCTGGTAATCAACCCTGATGAACTATTCCAGCATGACACTAGGGAACACAGCACTCATGGATCAGGCTGCAGGCAATACATGTCATGCCAAAAATGGCTGGTCTATGTCATCCCTGCCAAATATGTTCATTTCTTAAGTAAAAAATGTGAAAATTCGGAGCAATTAATTTAGCCTGATCTCAGTCCAAAATACACAGCTTTAAGATTCAGTGCACCAGTGCTGGATAGGTGATCAGCATGACAAATGGATTTTCCCCAAAATGGCTTGAGGACAACCCTTCAAACTTGACAAGCCAACTGTAAATTGCACTACCACAAAAATTGGGTATGTGGGTAAACATGGAATAGCCCACCAGCTGAGGTTGTACACTTTCCAGCACAAGCACATTCAAAACCTGTTCAGACACACAATGGAGACATAGATACCACAGGACTTGACCAGGTTCATTGGCAAAGGCCCAGGCTCAGATTGTAGGCCCATATAACCAAAACGCCAGTTCTGATCAACACGTTTGTAGAAGGCACCTGATAGTTCATTAGTTGGGCACCTTCATACGCAGCACTGCTCAGGACCCATCTGATCCTTTCGTACCTTTCCTTTCCGATCGTCGCATCATATTCTATAGCATTGTATAAGTTGTCACACAAGCCAATCATAGGACGCTGTATATTTAGAAAATGTGCAAAGCCTCAAAGCAACGGACGTACCTCTCACCCTGAATAGGCGGCTGTATCTGATTCAACACTTCAGTAACACACTTCAGCACACCCAGTAAGGTAAGTGCTACATCGGCCCCCGAAACTTCAAAACCTTACCGGGCAAATACCAGCGAACGAAACGCGGGGATCCAGCGAACCTCACGGACATACCGAATAAGGTTGTGCCTAAATAAGGTGTCGAAGTACATATGGGGTGAAATGAAATTATCACATGACGTCATGGTAAAGGCTTTTAGCAAAGGAAACACAAATTTAGCGTCACTGAAGCGAAAAGTTCGAGGTATGAGGCTCTACAATCATTATCTGCTGCTGTCCCTGCCTCTGACTGCGATCTGCATTAAGAGATTGCGCTATGCCTGTTGTCGCAGTGGGTGGCATCACGCGAATCAAACGTAAAAAGCTGCTCATCGTGGATATAACAGCTGCCCTTCGTAAACGCATCAGCTGCTCGTGCTGGCCAGTCGTATTTGCGGTTAATGAGCCGTGTAATTTACGTATAGGTTCACGATTCATTTCTGGGTGCTGCAGAACGGTTGCGCGTAGACCGCTGCTTTCCCGCATTGTTCAGTGAGACAAGATTGGCCTTGTAGCTAACGTCATGTAACCATGTACGGGTCGATGGCGTCATAAATTGGCATTCAGAAACGCATAGGCGGCTCGTGTTTGGTGTATTGAACCCCACATGCTTCAGAACGTCCGGTAACCCAAAACCCAAGGGTGCACATAGACTGCAGTGATTACGAGTGCTGGCCCATTATGGTCGCAGCTATAAGCCGCGATCACATACCCCACGCGTCGCCCTTCGTGTCGCCAAAACATACATAACCAGCGATCAAGGGCCCTAGCGTCGACGCCCTGACCCAGCTGCATCTCGGTGACCTCAGGCTGGGTACAGGCCGCGCACGTGCAGCGATAGCAGGCCGGCCACCGCGCTCTGGAAGCCGCTGTTGTAGTCGGTGGTGACCTCGTTCTTGACGTAGTCGGAGCGCACGTCCTGGTAGTCACCGTTGGCGTCTGGGCCGCCCACCAGAGCGCCGTTCAGGACCTGCGGGTTGGGCGCAGCCGAGTTGTACTCGTTCCAGCCGCAGGCGGCCGGCAGGTCCGGACAGGAGCTGGCCTTGTGGTGCGGCCGCTGCGGCGGGTTGGAGCCGAAGCCGACCACGTAGCTGCGGCCGGCGTCGCCCAACATCAGGTTGATCTGTTCCTTGGCCAGCTGGCGGTACTGGGTCGGGCTGAGGCCGGCCTCGGCCGCCTCCAGGCAGATGAGCGCCGCGTTGGCCGCGTGCCGCAGCGAGCCCCACTGCTGCAAGAACAGCTGACCCTGCGGCGTACGCGGCGCGCCTGACACCAGCCAGTCGCAGAACTGACTGACCAGCGCGCCGTACTGCGCGTCGCCCGTCAGCTGGTACAGCAACACCTGGGCGCCGGCGTGCTTGCCATCCCAGGAAAACTCGCTGGCGCGCTGGGAAAGGGCGCTGAACTGCTGGAAGTGTTGCTGGGCGTCCGTCAGGTAGCTGGCCTCCTGCGTAGCCTTGTAAAGCCAGGCGGCAGCCCATGTCAGCTCGTCCCCGTAGCCACTCCAGGACCTGGCGACACGAGCGGACAGCGGTCAGCGGCAGCAGGAACATATAGGTATATGGCTGTGGCCGTAAATATGTCATCATACACTCGCACACCAACTTACGTGCATAGCTGCATACATAAATCGAAACTGTGCCACGGACCGCCCGGAGAATTTCAGAATTTCGTAAGCTTCGTTTGGCTGTCACCAATCGTCTCTGACTTCCAACAGTGTTTCGCAGAGTCAGCGGTAGCCCACGGTAGCACTGCCTCCGAACGGCCGACAGTAAACACTGCGGACGTCCTACCGCACCGTCCCGGGAACACCAACCGCACGACGGAGCGGTTTCAGCGCCGTGCTCACCTGTAGAAGGTGGCGGCGTCGGTGATGCTGTTGTGGTACTCGCCGCGGTACGTGTCGGCGAAGCTGTACAGCTGGCGGGCGTGGCTGAGCAGTACGTCGGCGTAGCTCGGGTCGGACGGCCGGAACACGAGCGAGGCGGCGGCCAGGGCGGCGGCCGTCTCGCCGGCCAGGTCTGAGCCGGGTGCCGAGGCGGTGATCTTGTAGGCCGGCCGCGACATGGTCATCTCCTCGGGCCGGCCCCACCAGGCGTGGTCGATGTCGCCGTCGCCCAGCTGACGGCACGTAAAGGTCACACGACGGGAAAGGTGCGGGCACACTAACAGGCGAAAACACTGAGAGGACTCTTATAGTCATTGAAGTAATAATCGTCGGGTATCGTAAAACTGAGATTTAGTAACTGCTGTATGAATAAATACCAAAGCAGCGCTCTCTAACACGAGGCAATCAAAACAAACTACATCTTTGGTGTAGCTGGCGAGTTAAACCGCTTCCAGTTACCACGCACCCTTTCTGCTCCACTGGGCCCTCCTCACCTGTCCGTAGAAGGTGGTCGGCGCCACGTGGCACTTGACGAAGTAGTCTGTAGCCCAGCGGATGGCGTCCAGCACATACCCGGTCTGGCCGGCCGCCGCGTACCCGTCGGCGAAGTCGAGTGCGCCCCACGCCAGCACGGTCGTCATGCCGGCCATCGGGAAGCCGAACTTGACGTGGTCGCCGGCGTCGTAGTAGCCGCCGGTGAGGTCCTCGCCGTTGTCGCCGATGTCGCCCAGGGCAGAGTCGCCGCGCCAGGAGACTCGGTTGCCGGCCGGTAGCGGGCCAGACCGCTGCGCCTCGTAGAACAGCAGCGACTTCATCAGCACTTCGTTGTAATCGTACGGCAGGTCACTGGTCGGGATGGTGGTGCCTTCTGTGGTTGCAGCGGTGCTACCGGCGGTAGTTGCAGCTGTGGTACCGGCTGTAGTCCCGGCGGTGGTGGCGGCTGTGGTACCGGCGGTGGTTGCAGGTGTGGTACCGGCGGTGGTCGCGGCTGTGGTACCGGCGGTAGTACCAGCAGTGGTACCGGCCGTCGTACCCGTCGTGCCGCCAGTCCCGGTGGTGCCGCCCTCAGCGATGCACAGAACCTCACCGTTCAGGCGAACGCTGGTGACCTCGGCCTTGCTGCTGAAGAAGGCGTTGAACAGCACCTTCCAGCTGGGCGCCCGCCGGCTGCACGCTGTTGTAATCCTTGCTGGTGAGCGTGAACACCATGTCGTCGGTGGTCGTGGCATCCGCCACCCAGATCTCTAGGCGGTCCAACGGCCGGTCGAACGTGAGCTCTACGCTCCAGGAGGACACGGCGCTGCTGAAAGGCAGCACCAGCTTGTTGCTCGAGCCTTCGTTCCACACGCTGATCTCGTCCAGCACGCCAGAGCTCAGGCAGTCGCCGCTGCCGCCCGTCACCGGGCTGCTGGTTGTGGTGGCGACGGTTGTGGTGGCGACGGTTGTGGTGGCGGCCGTTGTGGTGGCGGCCGTTGTGGCGGCGGTTGTGGTGGCGGCGGTGGTGGTGGACGCTGTGGTGACCGGCGTGGTAGGCGTCGTGGTGCCGTCGCATAGCTCAACGCCATTCAGCTTCATGCTGACGACGCTCGCCTTGGATGCGAAGTACGCATTGAAGGCGACCGTCAGTTGACTGCCGGCTGCCTGGACAGAGTTGTGCGACCTGCTGGTGAACGTGTAGACGATGTTGTCGTCCGTGCTGACATCAGCCACCCATGTGTCCAGCCCGGTCAGCGCCTGGTCAAACGTCACCTCCACCGTCCAGCTGCTGACGTCGGTGGGGAAGGTGAGCACCATATCGGCGCTCATGCCGGTGTCCCAGACATTGTTCTCCACCAGTGCGCCCGCCGCTAGGCAGAGGCTGCCCGGCGCGGCCGTCGTGGCCACCACGATCGGGGTGCTTGTGCAGAGCTGCACGTTCGACGTGCGCACGCTGACGACGGCCGGCGTCGTGCCCTCGGCGAACACGATGTTGAAGTTGATGTCGAGCGTGGCGCCCGCCGTCTGCGCGCCGTTGTAGCTCTTGTTCTTCAGCACGTACCTGGTGGGTGACTTCCAGATGGGATTGGCCAGCCACGTCTGCACCGAGGTGACGTCCGAGTCGAACTTGACCGCCACGCGCCAGCTTGACACGGTCACCGGGAAGGTGACATGCAGCACGCCGCTGGCGCCCGTCGACCACTCGCTGGTCCAGCTGACCACGCCCGTTCCATCGCAGTCGGCGGCGGCGGCCGGGCTGGCCAGCGCCGCTGCCAGGCCGAGCAGCAGGGCACAGCCGGCCGGCCGGCGGCACCACAACGCTCCCAGACCGATCATCAGGCACTGGCAAAGAGGCGGAGGGTGACGTGATGGGGGTGGCCGAGCTGGGCTTCAGCAGTGCGGCGGAACGGCGGTGTGAGCGGCCGGGGTGCTCTCCGAGGCGAGCCTATGGCGAGTGTCTAGGCGTATGACTGTTGTCCCATCTGGTGCCGATTTATGTACCCGCGCAGGTGTTGCTGCACTGCGTCGGCGGGCCCTCGGAAACAGCCGTGTCAGCATGCCACTAAGGTGTCCCGCCCCATTGTCTCCGTCCTGTCCCGCACTTGCGTGGGTCGCCGGTACCGGCGCCGTGCTGCCGCCGGCGTGTTGCCGGTACTCTATTCTTTCTCCGCCCCCTCGTTCGAAAAAGATGCTTTTCGCGCGTGTGATGCAATTAGGCGACGGGACAACGTCACGTTGACGACACAGACCGTCGCCCCGTTCGTCAACCACGGAAGAGACGTCATAGTACTGACGCACATCCACGTCTGCTGACGTCTAATCACCGGCGACAATAGGGCTTCGCGTCATGGGATATGCCAGCACAGGGGACACACACACACACACACACACACACACACACACACACACACACACACACACACACACACACACACACACACACACACACACACACACACACACATACACATACACATACATACATACGCACACGCACACACGCGTGCATACAAAAATTGCGGCCAAGTGAAACCGGCCGCTGAACGTCAGGCTTCTTTCCATCAACCATACGCTTGAAGTTTTTGAAGCCTGACACTAGGACTCCTGATCTACCCTGGGAAAAGGCCATGGCCTATGCTAACTCGCGTAGGCCATACTCTCAACAAAGGAGTATGGCCTACGGCCTATCCGACCCACGTAGGCCACACCCCTTTGTTGAGAGTATGGCCTATGTGGGTTGGATAGGCCGGAAAAGAGCCAGGCACTAGAATATCCTGCGTATCATATAGCTCAGATGTATTTGATGCAAACAGATATGCATCCAGAGTCGCCGCGGCTGCAACGATTACCGGCACTTTTGTGGCACTTTCAAGGTGTGCCGACCGCAGACCAGCGTCGTCTAATACTCCCAGCATTGTCAGCTTAGCTCCAGTACCGCCGATACCTGTTCCGCGCCGGCTGGCAGCACCGAGACTGCGATATGATCGGATCGTACATGGGGTGCAGCGGCTCCCACTAGCGCCATCGGATCGTATATGGGGTGCAGAGGCTCACACTAGCGCCGTGTGTACCTGGGGCGGGAGGGATCACATGTTCAGGGCTCCAGTAATGGCGTTAATTCGCCGGTTTACTTCGGGGCGTGCTGACACGCGCTCGGGTGGGGGGTTAAATTGAGACCCGAAGGTTTTCTCGGAGTGTTTTCCGGACGGCGCGGCGTAGCGGATCGTCTAGCATCAAAGATTTAGATGTCCCTTTTAAGGTTGCTGAGATATGGCACGTCAAAGTCAGGCCATGGTTTCAGCGAAGGCAGTTTCTAGGGAATCATTCAATCCAATCAAACAACGGAGTGTTAGACGAAGTCAATCATCTCTGAGATGCTTTCTTATGCAACACAACAATTGAACAGACAAAAAACATTGACCTAGGGTCAGGTATGGAGGTCATACCAAGGTCAAAACCAATCTGTTTTATTACACTCGGACTTACTGTATGGCGTAGTTTCTGCTCCTCATTTCGAATTAATGGTACCAGGAGCCGTATTATACACCTCAAATGGACTTCTTAAAGGTCACAATAGGTCATTGGTCTAAAATCACCCAGGTCAATGTTTTGTTTTTAGGAACATGCTGCCTAACGTAACCATTGTCGCTTATCCAAATGCAAAACTCAAAGCAGCCTTGTACCATTTTGGTCACCATGACCTTTAAAAGGTTTAACAAGTTCGCTGCCCTTAAATGAGCATGTGACATTTTGCTCAGAAGAGTGACCTAGATTCTAGGGGCCCTTTGGAGACCAATCTGGAATTTGACCTTGTTTGGCCCTATTTGACCCGAAGGTCATGACCTAGGAACCTCATCCTTTGAAATAAGTGAGCTCACGTACAGGTCAACACACCCTCTGAATTTGGTGTCTCTAGCTCTCCTAGTTCCCGAGGTCTCAGGGGGGGGGGGGGCAAATTGACTTCAGCCCGAGCGAAGGATATCCCACTGGCAACCCGGGTGCGTGTTAGAGGGTCAAAAAAGGTCACTGACCTTAAATGAGCGTGCGAAATTTTGCTGAGAACAGCTACCTAGGTGCTAGGGCTCTTTGAGGACCAATCTGGGATTTGACCCTGCCTGACCTTATTTGTCACAGAGGTCATGATCTAGGAACCTCAAACTTTGACATAAGTGAGTTCACGTACAGGTCAACCCACCCTGTGAATTTGGCGTCTCTAGCTCTCCTAGTTCTTTAGATCTCAGGGAGGGGGGTCAAATTGATCCCCAACCCGAGCGAAGGGTATTTAACCGGCCACCCGGACGCGTGTTAATGACCGCAACAATAAGCGTGAATATAACGGCACGCCGCACGACAAACTTGACAGAATTGAGATGAGACTTCAGGTGGTCGCTTCAGCCCGCAAACATCGCTATGGGAAAAGAAAACCTGTGGTCGGCAAAGGCGGGCCTTACCTTTGCCACGATGAAACCTAACACTAGATTGGCCATCAAATGGCGTGTGGCAACACTTATAAGCGGGTATTTTGGGCGATCTTCGCGCATGGAGACAGCGTGAAATGACTGGCAACCACGCCCCGCGCCTCGCGCGCGCCAGACACATGAACATCGCAGCGACAATGCTGACGACGCCACGCCGCACAAAGGAAGGCACATGTCAACCGTGACGAGAAAAACGATGCGTCTCTGCGCGCTAGCCGATGTGGCACGAGGTGTGACGACGCCAAATGCACCTTGCCAAAGGGCATTAACCTCGCTAGTCTTATTTTGACGTGAGGGCATTACAAAAGGAGGGTGATTGCACAGATTATGGTAATTTAACTCATATTCATCACCGCAGTTATCACGACACAGAGAGAACCAAGGGCTGAAGCTCCCTTCCATCCCAACTCGCACATGCTTTCCAGTCACTGTCGGCAGGACTTCACGTGATGTCACATCCACCGTAAACCCCCCGGCGGTCGCATCGAACTCGGGCTTTAGCAACAGGCCGAAAGCTGAATACACAGCCGGCCATTTCGAGCCCTCCGGGGGTGGCCAGCACCCTAGCGGAGTGGGCCCAGTGATGCACCCAGAGTGGCGGAGTGATGACCGCATGAGGTCCGACGAGGGTGCGGGGCGCGGCGAGGCTCTCCTCGACTAGCGGAGCCATGCTGTGAGATTTGGGCGGCCACATCGAGTGAGTTAAGGTCGCGTCGCCAGTCTGGTTGACGAGTCGCGTGCGGAAATTGGCGCGGATTGGTGCGCCGATTGGTGCGGAGAGGTCCGTATCAATCGGCAGTCAGTCCTGACCAGTCTTGTCTTGGGTTAGGGCGCATAGCCTCCTGGGCTCAATCGTCCGTTTCAGTTGTTTTCACTGCGTCCCTTTTGTATTCACATTTTCCTTGCTGCTTTATTTTGGTATAGTATAGGGGCTAAGCATGGTAAAGGAAAATGAAAGATTTAGCCACGGGATGGATCCTGGTGCAAAGGATGCATTGGTACTCAGTAGTTAACAATATCTCGAGCTACAGAATTAGGAGTCGTTGTATCTGCATACAAGTAAACTACTCATTTATACCAACAGGCCGGGTCCCCTCGATCACCTCACCCGTTCCACACTCAAACAATAGCACAAGATCTCGCAACTTCAGCGGCACACACCACATGAATCGCGGTGACACACACATTTGTTTGGCAACTGGGGTGCTGCTGCAAAGTGCACGTCACCTTGTGATAAATTGCAGCAACTCATTCTGGCAGCACTCTGGCACGGAATCTGCTCTCCATGCGTCGCTTTCAAATATCCACATATTGTTACCTTACCAATCAGTTCGCGTCTATGCTTCCGTTCGCTCAGTCCGACAAGTTGGTCGCAGGTCTTTCATCATTTTTCAGTTCGCTACGGGGTCTTTCCTGTTGCTCGCTACGGGGTCTTTCCTGCTAAACTACAAAGAAATATAAAGTTATAGAAAAATAATAAAAATAGAAGCGAACTCACACACGCACATGCACACACACACACACACACACACACACACACACACACACACACACACACACACACACACACACACACACACACACACACACACACACACACACACACACACACACACACACACACACACACACACACACACACACACAGTAAGAGAGAAAGGGAGAGAGGGAGAGAGGGAGAGAGAGGGAGGGAGAGAGGAGAGAGAGAAAGAGAGAGAGAGAGAGAGAGAGAGAGAGAGAGAGAGAGAGAGAGAGAGAGAGAGAGAGAGAGAGAGAGAGACGAAACACACCGTAGCCATATCACTTGGTGGATCAAAACGAAAACAAAAGGAAAAACGCACGCATACACATGATAGACTACACTTTTACAAGCTTCAGGCTTGTCATGCATGCTCGCGCAGAAGTATGCACTGGCACCATAGTTATCTCAAAAGCTTGCAAAGACGTAATACTTTAAACGCTTCCTCAATAAGAACCGGATAATCATTGCCAGTGATTTCATGCAAAGTGGCGTTCCATATTTGACATATTTCCACAATACGTCGTCGCTGACGCGCAAACAATGGGTATTTCACTACATATGTTGTGCTGTTCGGGGGGCATACGCAGTTCTCACAGGTAGGTCTTGGTTCTCGATCCATAAGGAACTAATGGGTATACCTTGTATGTCCTAGTCGTAGTCGGCATAGGATGATTTCTTCGCGCCGGTTGATCCTCATTGAGGAGCCCCATTTACCCCGTTTACATGGGCAGCTGGGATTCGAATGGAGCCGGGATCCGTCCTCGATCCGAACTATCCGGCCCATGTATACACTCAGGCGCCGTTCCGCTGACTCGAATCGTGCGCCGGCGGAAATCGCTTCCCGTGAGAGGACCATCCGTTCAGGAAGGGATTTCGTTCGAATTATCGGTCGTCAGCTGTCTAAAAAAAAAAAAACGCCTGGCGCATGCAGTTCTGTTCAAGACCATTTCAGCTTTGTTTGGTGTAGCCGCCTTTCCACGGGTTTTTAGCTATTGCTCAAGACGATGCAAGAGTTGTTGAACGGTTGAATTACCTACCTCATGGCTTGCAAAGACACCCATCACAAAAAACACCAAGGCAACATATGTAATCACCAGTACAAAAACAGGTGATGATATGCTCCACAGGCATGTTCTCCGTGCAACATGTGCCATAGTGTTAGGTGTTGCTTGATTTACGCATTGTTTTCTTCCGCATGAAATAACAAATCGGATTTAGCAGAGTACTGATGACAGCTATTCATCCAGTGTTCACATTTGCTTTCTTGATGTTTTGACACCATCATTGGGAATTCTGGTCCTATCATTCAACATAGTTCACATTCCGAGCTGACAGCAATGATCTATATTTGTTGATCCTCCGTATCATGCAGGAATTTTTAAGTTACCTTTCTCATGCAAATTAAACTGACAAGCAACCGACATCCTAACTGGAGGAACGTCTGCAAAAACAATCCTGGGGCCAACGCCCCGGGTCGCCGGGCACGCCGCCCAATAACGCCCAGGGATCCTGAGCCGGACTGCCCTCGGACCTGAGTGGCGAACGGCATGATGGCGACGCTACCCGATGGCGCGCTAAATGCCTCCATTGTTTAAATATCTAGTGGTTTATGTTTGTCCTCGTGACGCCTGTTACGTTAAATGGTCGAATTGTGTCCCGGCTGTGTCCGTGTCCGCAATTATGCACGGAGCGCATCTCTTTCTTGGCACGGCAAATACCATAGCGTGCACAAATATATGTATTTCGTAATAGCGTACAATTTCTAAGGACAATTACCAGGCAAGATACATGCTCTACAAAGCCTCGTTGGAATTTTAGCGGCGTCGCGCCTCGAGGCAGGCGTTCGGCGCGGTGCCGTCGTCACCCGACACGGCCGCCCGCGGTCCAGAGCACATGGCACAACTGCAGCAGGCCGGCGCCGCGCGTCGCGGCAGCCCGCGCGCCGACCGGGCCTCGCCAGCGCCGGCCCGCGCCGAACCGAGCGCCTCCGCCGGAGGCGTCAGAGCGCCCCGGTCCCGGCGACCGGCCGGGCACCGTGCGCGGACGAGGCGAGTGCTGAGACAGTGAGAGGGTCGGGCGGCTGCCATCCACGCGCAGAGATCGGGCGGGCCGCCCGCCGCCCGGCAGCGCGCCGCCCGCCACCGTGTGGTCTTGCCTAAAACATGGGCGGAGTCGGCCGGGCCGCCGCCTCGCCACGCTCTCCCGGCACGTCACGCGGCGTAACAAACGCCAATTCCAGTGTCCGTCGGCCGTGCGCGCCTGGCCGTCGCTACTTCTTCATGGACCAGAGCGGGTCGAGCTGGCTCAGCGGGTCATTATCCGGAGCCGCGGTGACGGCGGCGGCAGGAGGCGGCGCGGCGGCCGGCTCCGGGCGCAGGTCCAGCTCGAACGTGGCCGGGTCCAGGCAGGCGAGGGCGCCGCCCAACGTGGGGGCCGAGCTGGGCCGGGACGCCTCGCGCGGCGCGGCGGCGGCGGCGGCCGGGGCCGGCGGCGGCGCACCGGCCGGCAGCGACGCAGTGGAGCCGGCGCCTGCGCGCGGGCACGGCGTCAGAGTCACGCACATCGGGTGGCGCGTGTCGGACATCACATCCACAAGTGGCAAACCTCTCACAGGAGCGAGCACACGGCCGCTGGAACAATGGAGACCGACCCACCTACCGACGACCTTACGGCCACCTGCTCACAGACTGAACGGTGCGCAAGGAGGCACAACACCACGAAACAACGACAAGCGACGACGCTCGACCGCGCCCGGCGCGACGCCCACGCTACGTACCATGCACGGGCGAGGCGGGCGAGGCGGCGGCCGTCAGCGCGCCCAGCCGCGCCTGCAGCTCGCACACGGTCTTGTTGGTGGCCAGGAAGTCCTCGGACGGGTGCCGGCTGTGACCCGAGTGGTGGCTCTGGCCCGGCGGGTTGTCGAACGTGGCTCGGCTGGTCAGGATGCCGCCTGCGGACGGCCCGCCGACGGCGTCACGTCCGTCCCACTCGCCACGCTCGGTCGGAGCTCGCGCCGCGCAAGCTCATCAACCAGAACAAAGATCCCACGATCAGCGAGAGGAGACGCCTCCACGCTCGCTGTGCGAACACGGCATTAATCCGCAGTTAACGAACGCTCGCTCAGCGCCCTCAAAACGGGCAAAACGCGTCTGTGGTCCGCCAGCGGACGCCCCACTCACGCTTCATGAGGAAGTCCTGGGCGGCGTACAGCAGCGCCTGGTAGGCGAACAGCAGGTGCTGCTTGTCCTGCAGACAGTTGCGGCGGGCCGTGTTGAGCAGGCAGGCAATTGGCATGGGGTCGACCAGGCCCGAGCCGGCGTTGACCTCGGCCAGCGCGGCTGCCAGCAGGCAGAACACGCCCGAGCGGCCCACGCCACCCGAACAGTGCACCACCAGCGGACGGAGCAGCGAGCGCTGCTGCTGGTGGTAGTGCAGTACCTGCGGCCCAAGGGCGCCCGGGTCACGGTCCGGGGTCGGCAGGGACGGGCGTGCACACAGACAACCTTCATCATGACCAGTGAGAATTTGCGGGACAAGAACTAATATCGCCATGACTGATGCGTTATCGTAGCTGAGATGATGGAATGGAAGCGAATCTCATCAATAGCTTTCATAAATAAAACATGACCCAAACGAACTGTTTTAGTTTTCTTTTACCCATAAATAGGCTTCAGCATCGTCCTCACAGGCTGCTGGCTGTCATGGCAAGCGGCGCCAGCGGAGACCACCGTAACCAAACGCACAAAAAATGACTTTTAAGCCCCATCCCCACAAACTACCGGCCTCACCTCCGACACAAATTGGACAAGCGGGGCAGGGCTCGCGGGCAGCGCGGCGCGCGACCAGCCGGCGAACTGCAGGTGAATGACCACGCGCGACATCTTGGTCTCCTGGTGCAGCAGCGAGATGATGCGCTCCACGCGTCCGTTGGTGGGCGACTGGGACTGCAGGGTCAGCTGGAGCGGGCCGTGCTGTACGGGCGCGCCCCGCTCCGTCGGCCAGTACACCTGGTCACGCACACAGACAGATCGAGGTCAGCCGGCGGGCACGGTCACTGGCGACGCCTAATATCTGCAATTGGACGAACGGACCGCACATGGACGAACGGACTGCACACAGTTGGACGAACGGACCGCACATGGACGAACGGACCGCACACAGTTGGACAAACGGACCGCACATGGACGAATGGACCGCACACAGTTGGACGAACGGACCGCACATGGACGAACGGACCGCACACAGCTGGACGGACGGACCGCGCACGGGAAGACTACCGGCCGCACCGCGCACTAGGCTGGACCTCGCCGCCGTGTGGCGCGAAGAGCGGCGACGCCCTCAACTGGACCCCGGCCGCTCGTCCGACACAAGCAGCATTTACTTTGAATGTCCGGCCCCGACTCACGACCACCTATAACGCGACTGAGCGGCCGACCTGGATCGCCGTCCGGGGATCGGGACCACACTCCTCTCGCGTCCCTTCTCACACCGAGACCAACCGCGGCGGAATGGCACACGCACAGCCTCACGGTCTCCCCAGAGTCGCCTCCCTGCTACTCCACGAAGCACCACAACCCCCTGCCAGCGGCGCACACACCTGTCCCTCGAGCTCGGCGTCGGGCAGCAGGCAGACCACCAGCTCCACCTGGTGGTGCCACACCATGCACCAGAAGTCGGTCTGAGTGACGGCCAGCGGCGCCTGCGTCACCACCAGCGCCGGACTGCCGGCCGTCAGCTCCGGCAGCCGGCTGGCGTTGATGTAGTCGTCACGCACCAGCGGCACCGGCACCAGGCTGCTGTCGAACGGCAGCACGTCCTGGAAGCGATTCTTCATCGGGTAGCAGCGCGCCACAGAGATCTTCAGCCGCCGGCCGTCCACCTGGGGGCCGGGTCGGGGTCAGGCGCGTATCGAAGGGCCGAGGAGCGCGCTGGGTCGCGCACGGCGACCGCAGCGCCCGCTCAGCCGTGGTTTGCGTTAGACGTGGTGAAATCGTTACGGAACAGGGTTCTCTGACCGGCCGCTACTGTGACCAGCATGTCCTGTAGGTGGATACCACCAGTGGTTACCGCGCCATAAACAAGATCTAACCCGGTATGAATAATTTCAGAAGCCAGACCATTGACACCAGCACGAATAGCGCGGACCGTTTGACCATAGCCAAGACCTGCAGGCTCAAAAGCAGGCACAGCACAAACCAACGGCGTCAAAGGCAGGTACTCTGCCCAGTCCAGCACATATTCAGCATGCTAGGAGGAGACAGCTGCGGCAGAGCGCTAACACGTGAGTCGCCGTACCTCCTGCTGGTCCGTCAGTTCCTTCCACTTGCTGTCCAGCGGGGTGGGCCCGTTCAGCGACTTCTTAGTCAGACCGGCGACAAACTTGTCGAGTCGCTCCACCTCCTGTGGCCAGAAATGGAGGTCAGACCACCGCTCTGCAGCCTCGCACAGTGTTAGAGACATCGACACGCGGTGCCCGCGAGCACCAATATGCAGTGTTGGAAAAGTCAATGTTTCCTGGTATAGTGTAGATTTTGGGGTAGATTTTGGATTTGGGATTTTGGGTAGATCTCACCCCAGGAGATTTTGTACCCCAGGATTGTGACTGGGTAAAATTAAATATATTGGACTCCACCATGACGCAACAAAAACAGCTTTTTAAAAACCCATTTAACATCTCTGTTTCAGGACAAAATGAGACCAAAAGGCGCAATAGCTTGAGACTTGCTGCTTCCATCATGAGCCATGTATTGATATCTGCAAGAGCACAAATCTTGCACCCATCAAACTTAAATGCCCAATAGCAAGCAGCCTGTGTTGCCACCTAGGTATACGACAAATCATGTATGGAAATGTATGGAAACGTAATGAGAAAAATAAAAGTTTGTGAATGTTGAATGGAATCGCCTTTGAACAATGCCGGGAAATGGGGAATGAGTAACAGAATCGCACCGGTCTGTAAATTAGCAAGGCTCTCACCCCCTACGCCCTATGCAGACCAACTCAAACTGGAACATGACTTAGCCTTCCATTGACGACGGAGCGCATCAGTTGCCAAGGATGCAACGAACGGTGATAGAAAAACCGCACACCCAACCACCCAACACAGACGGCCGCCTACTCACGCGCCATCACTGTATCATGACAGTGCAAATAGGAGAATCACTCTGAATGAACTGTCCGGTGACAGCCATCTCACTCCGGAAAGAACACTAGGACACCAGACTAACATGAGTCCATAACTTTTGCCTGCCAAATTAAGGAAAAGGATTTATTCGGACAAAAACATCAACGAATTGAAACATAAAATATCGTATTTCGACATGATATCGGTTAAAGCGCACCAAAATCCATCAGGGGTCAATTTGGGGGGTCAATCTCACCTTCTCTCGGGTGGGGGTCAATTTCACCTCCTTAGATCTAGGAAACTAGGAACGCTGGACACCAAATTTGCAAGGTGTGTTGACCTGTACGTGAACTCACTCAGGTCAAAGTTTGACGTTCCTAAGATGACCTTCGGGTCAAATAAGGTCAAACAAGGTCAAATTGCAGGTTGACCTCCAAAGTGCCCTCCCGCACCTAGATAACTGTTTCTAAGCAAAAGGTTACGTGCTCATTTAAGGGCAGCGATCTTGATTGATCTCTTTAAGGCCATGGCTAACAAAATCATACAAGATTGCTCTGAATTACGTAAGTTGTTCAGTGCATTAGCGAGGAACGTTACCCACCTAGATAAAAAATTAATTCTTATAATACAAAAATAAAAAAGATAAGGATTAGTAACATTTCTCGGAAAAACCAGGACTATACCAGGACAGGCTTCTGCTTTTGTTTCGATAAAGGCATGTTGCCCAAAAAATCAATGTAACTATATCTTCATTCTCCTGGTTTTCCCCGAGGAATAAGGCTAATACTAGGACAGCACTAATCCAGGACAGACTTATGTTTTTGCTTCGATGAAGGCATGTTGCCGAAGTATTGACCAACTATATCTCCATTCTCCTGGTTTTTCCCAGGAATAAGGCTAATACTACCGTCTTATAAGACTGCTCTGAGTTTTGCATTTCAATAAGTAACGAAGATTTCGCTAGGCAGTATTTTTCTAAAAGTAAAATGTTGACTTGGATCATTGTAGGTCAATGACCTATTATGACCTCTAAGAAGCCCATGGAAGATATATAATGACGTTTTCTGCTATTAATAAATTCGACATGAGCACCAGTAACTATCACATACAACAAGCCCCATAGTAATAAAACAGGTTGGTTTTGACCTTGGCCTGACCTTCATACCTGACCTCAGGTCAACGCTATTTGCTCATTCAATACTTGTGTTGCCTAAGAAAGCACCTCAGAGATGTATGGCTTCGTCTAACGCTCCGTTGCTGCATCAGATTGAACGATTCTCTAGAAATTGCCTCCGCTGAAACCATGGCCTGGCATTGACCTGCCATAGGTCAGCGACCTTACATGGCACATATACATTTTTCACACCGAACGATCCGCTATCCAATTGTCTACAGCTAAGCAAAAATTGGCGCGGCTACGTCACGCCGTTCGGGACTCTTTCTGGAGAAACCTTGGGGGGGGGGAATTTAGCCCCCTTCAGCCGATCGCGTGTTAATACAATGTATCACCCGCCGGAGTCAACGGAATGACCGACTCCGATCCCTTTTGGCTGCCCTGGACGGGTCTGCCAGGCAATGTACTTGCGCTGGCTACGTAAATCGGTTGAGAGTGCTGCCTGTCCCTTTTATTCGGCTGGGACGTGCAGGGCCTCGTGTGCTGTCCGGGAGTTGGAAGATGGAGGGCATTAAGGTTCAGCCGTTTTTAAAACCAGCACCTGGTGGAGCGTGAGTAGCGTGACTGTCTGTGGCACATTCATTGGCATTCTTTTGTGTTCAATTTTTCCCTGGTCAGCTCCAAACTTATTTTGTGAAACTGCGCACGCTCGCTCAGCGACTTGTTGGTAGCTTTGGGAGAATCGCATAAGATGCTCACTGTTTACAGCAATACCTTGGGAGGAAAATACTTGCCTAGATCCTTGGTTTGGTAAGCATTCTCATAAACTGCAAACCCATATATATGCACGTGTTCTTCATATTAGTCTGAGACTGTGTTGTTTCAGTGTATCATCTTTAACACTGATGTTTTCTCTCATTCGAAGTGCTTGTACATGAATTGCTGTATATGAAAAGTGGCGCTTTTGTTGAGTATGACCCATTATACTGTTAGCTCTCAAAGATAAAACTACTCCTCGGCCCACTTCACCACAGCGTGATTTGTCTGGAGCGACAAGGCCGTAACGCAAGGACGCTATACGTGACAAATCGTCGCCGTACGTATTTTTGCTCCGCCCGCAGCGAAACCTAGACACTTTTACTTCCCCATCGAGTACAAAATCTGCACGAGAAATCCATCACGCCCCCCCCCCCCCCCCACCTCCCAATAAACACATAAAAATGCTGCGTCATTAACACTAAGGGCGCTGCAATGTCATGCCAAGCAGCTGCAAACCTATTCTGCGAAAGAACGCTGATCCCAAAGCCACGCCTGACGAGCGTTGTCAGACATAACAAATAACAGCAATTCTCTTGTCCTGAATAGGGTGGCCATTCAACCTGCACCTGGCTTCCACGAACACGTTGCTCTGCGCACCATTGTTCCCTCCCACTCCTTTCTTTGAGACGTGCCCGGAAGAACAGGCGGCCGCCTCCGCCCCAGCCGGGCGACCATTCAGCCTGCACCTGACTTCCGCGAACAGCTCTCTCTACGCACTGTTGTTTCCTCCCCGCCTCACAAACACGCCCGGCGAAACAGACCGCCGCCTGGGCCTCCGGCGACAAGCCGCACCTGCACGAACAGCTGCAGCTTGTCGGCGTCGCCGTACGGGTCGCCGCCGGCCGACAGCTTGCGCCGCTCGCGGTCGGCCAGCTGCCGGCGCTCGCGCTCGGCCTGCGAAGTGACGACGCGCGGCTGGAGCGCGGCGGCGCCGGGCTCGTCGGCCGCGCCGCCCGCCGATAGCAGGTCCGGCCCGGCGCCGGCTGAGCCCGGCCGTCGCTGCGGGCTGCCAGACGCCACCTGCCGACGCACGGGGAACGTTGACTTGTTTCGTCTTTTCTTTATGCATGCACAGCACTTACATTAAGTAAAACCTGACGGAAAAAGAACTTGACGACACAGAGCGGATAACAATGAAGACCAAAAGGCTGGCGCTTCGTATAACATAATTTCGCGGTTTGCAAAACAAAGGACTGACAAGCACGTCACAGATGTGTAGTTCCTGACTAAACATGATCTCCAAAAATCCAAGCGAAGTTGTCATTACACTTCAAGGAGCAGCTAACGTTATGACACGCACAGGCAGGCAGAGTCGCGACTGATGCAGCGCGGCTAGAAAGGGGTCCCTTGGAGGCACCGCGAGGGGGCTCCCTTGGAGGCAAAACGAGGGCTCTCTTGGAGGCACTGCGAGGACTCCCTGGGGGGGGGGGGGGGGCGGGGCAGCACAGCGAGGGCTTTCTCGGAGGCATCGCGGAGGGGCCATCCTTGGAGGCACCGCGGAGGGACCATCCCTGGAGGCACCGCGGAGGGGCCATCCTTGGAGGCACCGCGGAGGGGCCTCCCACGGAGGCACCGCGAGGACGGGGGCACCAGTGGGGAGCGTTACCTGCAGCACCGACGAAGGCGCGGAAGCCGGCTGGGCCACCGCCGCCGCCGGGGCCGGAGCCGGAGCCGGAGCCGGAGTCGGAGCCGGGGCCGGGGCCGGTGCCGGGGCCGGGGCCGGAGTGGGGACAGGCGCGGGGGCCGACAGGTCAAGCCCGGCCAGCAGCTCGGCGCTCCGCGACATCGGGTCACTCTGTCGAGGTCAGGTGAGCCGTGTCAGTGTCCGACCGGTTCGGACACAGACGGCCGACGGCACAGGTCTCCGCGCGATCGTCGCGATCGTAAGGATGGGTCACAGTCAGCGGAGTAAGGGTAAATATAGGGTGGCTTTGGTAGTGGGCAAATAGCGAAAACATGGCTTGCTACCAGCCAAAGCCAACATTAGCAATATTTCGAGCCTTGAGCCGCCCACCGCATCATTGACCAACGTCTTCTCATTCCGCTCCCAATGCGAAGTAACCTGAGCAGTTACTGTACGTCGGGTGTGCCAACAGCACAGACAGAATGCACAGTGGTTTACTCCTTACTTTGTTCGCGGCCACTGACTGCTGCGGCTGATTCTGCTGTTGGGCAGGCTGGACAGCGTAGGGCTGCTGTTGCTGTTGTGGCTGCTGCTGCTGGGCTGGCTGCACAGCGTGCGGCTGATGCGGCTGTTGCTGCGCGGGCCGGGCGGTGAGCGGCTGTAGCGGCGCCGACTGGCTGGCGTGGGGCGCCGCCGACGGCAGCACGTACTGGGCAGTGTTCAGCACTGGAGCAGACACCGCACTGTGCGCCGGAGAGCCGACCCCAGCATGCTGCTGTTGGCCGGGCACCTGTTGCTGCTGCTGCTGCTGCTGTCCCGGCGTTTGATACTGCTGCTGCTGCTGTCCCGGCGTCTGCTGCTGCCGCTGTCCCGGCGTTTGGTACTGCTGCTGCTGCTGTCCCGGCGTCTGATAACGCTGTTGCTGCTGTTGTCCCGGCGTCTGATACTGTTGCTGCTGCTGCTGCTGTCCGGGCGTCTGGTAATGCTGCTGTCCCGGCGTATGATAAAGCTGCTGTTGTGGCCCACCTTGTGCGACACTAGGCTGCTGCTGCTGCTGTTGCCCAGCGGCCTGGCCGATGACAGGATACTGTTGTCCGGTGGCTGAGTACTGCTGCTGTCCGGGGGGCCGGTACTGCTGCTGACCAGGCACAGCATACCCTTGCTGCAGCATAGGCTGGTTTTGCTGCTGTCCGGCACTGGGGTGCTGCTGTTGTCCGGCGCTGGGGTACTGCTGCTGTCCTGGGCCAGGGTACTGCTGCTGTCCGGCGCTGGGGTACTGCTGCTGTGGATGACCCGCAGCAGGATGCCGCCCGCTGCTGACATGCTGCTGCTGTCCTGAGGCATACGGCTGCTGCTGTTGTTGCCCGGGGGTGGGGTACTGTTGCTGTGCAGCAGCGGGATATTGCTGCTGGCCTACGCTGGGCCGCTGTTGTTGGCTGGCGGCCTGCTGCTGCTGTCCCCCGGCCGCGTACTGATAGCCATACCGGGCGTAGTACTGCGTCTGCGCGGCCGCCATCTGTCCGTTCTGCAACTTCTGGCCGTGCGGTGGCTGCATGGCGTGGCCGGCCGACTGCTGGCCGGCAGCGGAGGCGCCGGCCGCCTGCGACGCCGGTGGCGGGTACGGCCCGTACCCGGCCTGGCCGCCGCCGCCGTGAGCGGGCGAGTGCTGCGCGCTGGCCGGCTGACCGGCGCCGCCGCCCGCTGGTCGGCCGGAGCCCGGCGGGACGGCGCCGTACGCGCTCGGCGGCGCCTGAGACGTCCCATGCGCGCTTGACACCGGCTGCGCTCCTCCGTAGGGTCCCACCACGGGCTGGGGCGCCCCGAACACGCCCGCCATTGGCTGCGGGCCTCCGTGCGGATTCTGACCGGCTTGGCCCATCCCGTACGCGTTCTGCTGCGGCTGCGCGCTCCCGTACGAGTTCTGAGCGGACGCGGCCGGCCCGTGCGACCCCTGCGCCGGAGGCATGACCGCGTACGGGCCCGGCCCGGCCGGTGCTCCCGCGTACGCCGCCGCTGGCCGGCCCGGCCCCCCGGCGCCAGGCTGCTGTGCCGCCGAGGGGGACGGGTAGCCGGTGGCCAGGGCGTAGGGCGCGATGCCCGAGGAGTGGATGGCCGTCTGCGCGCCGGCCGAGCCGACCAGCCTGGGCGGCGTGTACAGCGGGCTGGGCGCCGCGCCGCTCGAGGCGCCCGACGTTCCCGGCGAGCTGTGCGAGTGGCTGGAGCCGGTCTGCGCCACGGACGCGATCGGCCGGCTGGAGAAGCACGCGGCTCCCTGCTGCAGCCGGCTGTCGCCCGGCGGACGAGAGAACGTCTGGTAAGGTGTCCACGAGGTGTAGCCACCGCCGCCGTAGAAGGCCAGGTACGGGTCGCTGGTGTAGCCGTACTGGCTGGCGGCGGGCGCCGAGGAGGCGGCAGCGACGGCGGCGCTGGACGGAGCCGAGTAGCCGGGCGGTGAGAACGGGCCGGCCGGCGCGCTGTAGCCTGCGCCGCCCGGGCCCTGCGCTGCGGGATAGTTGGTGCCGCTCTGACTCTGAGCTGGAGGGTAGTTGGTGCCGCTCTGGCTCTGAGCTGGAGGGTAGTTGGTGCCGCTCTGACTCTGAGCCGGGGAGAAACTGGTGCCGCTCTGATTCTGAGCTTCAGGGTAATTGCTGCCGGTCTGACTCTGAACTGGAGGATAGCTGGTGCCGCTCTGATTCTGAACTGCAGGGTAATTGGTGCCGCTCTGACTCTGAGCTGAAGGATAGCTGGCGCCGCTCTGACTCTGGGCTGGAGGATAACTGGCGCCGCTCTGGCTGTGAGTTGGAGGATAGCTGGTGCCGCTCTGACTCTGAGCTGCAGAGTAGTTAGCACTGCTCTGCGCTGACGGCGGGTAGATGACGCCCTGCACCGCGGAAGGATAGCTGGTGCTGCTCTGGCCCTGAGCTGGGGGGTAGCTACCGCCGTGCCGCGGGGACGGTGGATATCCCGCACCACCCTGTACCTGCTGCGGTGGGTAGCCGGCCACCTGACCCGGCGACGGGGCGTACCCCGCACCGCCGTGACCCCTGTCGGCCGCTCCTCCACCGGCCGGTCCAGTCTGGACGGCGTACCCTGCGCCGCCCTGCCCGGCCGCCGCCGCCGCCTTGTGGCCGGGGCTCATGTACTGCGCCATCTGCGCCGCGTAGCCGGTCGCGTCGGGCGCGGCCGGCTCGGCGGCGCGTGGTGCCGACGCCGCCGGGCCGCCGGCCATGTACTGCGCCATCTGGGCGGCGTAGCCGGCGCCCGGGGCGGAGGGGGCCGACGCGCCGCCGCCGCGGCACGCCGGGTCACTCTGCTCCGAGCCCAGCGGTGACGGCCGCACGCGCGGCGGCTGCTCGCCGGCCCTGTAGCCGGCTGCTAGGTAGTCGCGCAGACGCGGCCCGCCACCGCCGCTGCCGCCGACGCCACCGCCGCCGCCGCTGACGCCCACGCCGACGCCGGACGGCGTCAGGGTCGACACGCGCTCCTCGTCTTGCACTTTGCAGACGCCGCGGGCTCGCGTCAGTAGCTTGCTGACGCTCTCCTGGCGGCACGAAGACCGCGGTCTCAGTGGAGTGGTGCATGAGGTAGCATCGGGAAATACCACTTCCGTGGTCGTCTGCATCATGAGCGAATACAGCGTATCTTGAGAAAAAAAAACGAGTACAGCTTCGTCGCGCGAGCGGGGAGTTACTTTCAATTGCAAAATTGTAAACTGGAAGGTCGATGGGAATGGTTTTGTAGTGACAAATGAGACACGACCGTGGATTACACCATCTAGCAGGAATTTGTTACACTATCTAGCAGCAATGGTTCTAGAAGCAGCTTCATGACTGAAATTGCATACCAACTGATCACACCATTCACATCATGCCCATGTGGTACAGCTTCCAAATCTCCGTTTTCTTCGCTCACCTGCAGTTTGTGGTAGAACTGGACACCCTGTTTGCCCTTATCGAGCAGTTCGTCTAGGGCGCGGTACGAGGTGAGCAGGTCGCAGACCCGTGCCTGGTGCTGTCCCAGCACCTCGTTGACGAGCTGGCGCGTGGGCGCGTACGCCGCGTTTACCTCGGTCAGCGCGCGAAGGATGTTGTCCTGCGCCGTCAGGTTCTGCTCAATCACGGCCGCCTGTGGATAACCGGAGATACGGGTCACTGCGATGCGACACTGCATGTCGCATGATCACGGCTGCCTATGGATAACCGGAGATACGGGTCACTGAGATCCAACATTGCATGTCGCATGATCACGGCCGCCTGTGGATATCCGGAGACACGGGTCACTGAGATGCGACACTGCGTGTCGCTTGATCAAGGCTGCCTGTGGATAACCGGTGATACGGGTCACTGAGATGCGACACTGCATGTCGCTTGATCACGGCCGCCTGTGGATAACCGGAGATACGGGTCACTAAGATGCGACACTGCATGTCGCTTGATCAGGGCCGCCTGTGGATAACCGGAGATACGGGTCACTGCGATGCGACACTGCATGTCGCTTGATCAAGGCCGCCTGTGGATAACCGAAGATACGGGTCACTGAGATGCGACACTGCATGTCGCTTGATCAAGGCCGCCTGTGGATAACCGGAGATACGGGTCACTGAGATGCGACACTGCATGTCGCTTGATCAAGACCGCCTGTAGATAACCAGAGATGCGAGTCACTGAAATGCGAAACTGCATGTCGCTTAATCAAGGCCGCCTGTGGATAACCGGAGATACGGGTCACTGAGATGCGACACTGCATGTCGCTTAATCAAGGCCGCCTGTGGATAGCCGGAGATACGGGTCACTGCGATGCGACACCGCATGTCGCTTAATCAAGGCCGCCTGCCCGCTGTCGGGGACACGGATCACGGGACCACGGGAGGTCACCTGGACGACACTACTGCAAATGGCAGCACTGCAGACGGCAGCACCACAGATGGCAGCACGACTGACAGCGGCACTGTTCACGGCAGATGCAAAAGTCAAGTGATGGCCCCATAGGACACAGACACGAACAATGACTGGGAGAAAAAAAAAACATTACCGTCTCAAGTGGAGTGGTTTCATGAACCCACCTGAGCTTTGCTTCAACGCCACTTTGCCTCAACACTACAACACCCTTTCTTCCTTGATTAAATGGTTAAAACCATCCATCAAATAACAGTAAATGACACACATCACATGAACGAAGTGCACACATCATTCGTACTATTCCACTACATAGAAGCAGCGTAAGATATGGCCATAAACACCACCACTGAGTCAGTTTTTTCCATAACCTGTAAGGTCGACTAACGTTAAGAATCTTACACGTTTAACACACTGCACAACGTCAGTTATCTTAACAGAACTTGAGCACACATAAGTGGTGCACAGCAATATTGGTAGTCAATTCTTGTACCAAGCCGCTTGTGAAAACATGGCATGACACAGGACCGCAGGAGCTATTGTACAGTGCCCGTGCCGTGTCGTTCCGTGACATGTCGCCAGTGCATGGTCCATTTTGGCACAACCAAGAATGCGAGTCCCGTCAGCACTGGTCACCGCAAAATGCGTCACGTCGGGGATATGAGCTCGGTAATTGCGCGTGCTCAGTAATAACCACGGCTACACAGCAAACGCACTCGGGCAGAATAGAGAAGAAATCAAGCGCATCGCCGTTTAATTAATTGAGTGCATCAATTGGAAGCAGCACTAAATGGCTTATGGCGAAGCTGCCATGGCAACGTTGGTGACTGAGGCCATTTCCAATAAGGAGAATCACACAATTATATCACGCACAGCCAACAGGTGCGCATCGCAGAATAGCATAATTACGATCTCACGTCTAGCGTCACCTGTCTCGCTTCTTTGCACTGAAGTATGCGCCTGCCACGTGTTAACCCCCCAACCAACTTTCCTAGTCGAGCTGCCGTGTTCTCCCCACGCCAAGCGCCACTGACCGGCAGACCACGCACCTGTTTGCGGTGTTTGTCAAGCTCGCGCTCGATGAAGGCGTCGATGTCGTCGCCGGCGCGCGTCACCACCTTCTTGGTGATGTCGTCGCCATGCACAGCGTCGCGCAGGTGATTGCAGAGCATGGAGCGCTGTCCGCGCATCTGCTCCACCTGCTCGCGGGAGGGGAGGGGGTGGTCGGATGCAGCGCCCGACGCCGCTCTTTCCCAGTCGCCGGAGGGGTGCCACACGTCAACTGCGTGCACTTCGCACGATAAATCTATGCCTCATAAGTCAGGCACTCCAGGAACACTTTAAACCACTCGTGGGCTACCTTCCGGGCACCTTTTCGTTTCAGCGTGCGTCCGGTTTGTAAAGTTCGTAAGTTTGCGCTCGTAACATTGCAAGTTGGTAAGGTTCGCACCACACATCTTAACTAAATGTTCAGACAGTAGTTACGCAGTACCCCTTCCTAATATTAAGCAATCCCGACGTTAAATCCAACCATGCCTCATTTACACCGTAGAGTCAGAAGCCAGCACATCCTCAAAGAACCTTCACTGATCAGTCTTCAGTAAGATCTTGCCCGTGGTATATCACGCACTTTCTAACGCCACCCTTCCGGTCTGTCTCCACTCACCTTGTCGACTATCCTCTGGAGCTCGGCGATGGCGGCGGCCGATTCGGGTTCCTGCGCCACGGACGCCACAGACGGCACCTGCGACTGCAGCGCCTCCAGCGGCCCCGCCAGCAGATTGAGGTTGGGCAGGTGGGCCGAGATGGCGCGGTGAAGGGCCGAGTCTGACTCGGCCGCGTGCGCGTACGCCTCGCGGTATTTGGTAAACTCGCGGCGCAGCTCGGCTGTGATCATGGAGGGCGGCCGGCAGCCGCCCATCGCCGCCACGTGCTCTTTTTCCTTGCCGTCCTCCTCCTGCCGTGGCGGCAGGGCGTGTCAGAGGCGGCACACGGTCGGCGGCGCACGCCAGTACTCTTCACGACGAGAGCGAAATACTCAGTCACGTCTAGCATGCGATCGTTCGAGATTTGGGCGCGCAGTACCGCGCGCTGGCCTTCCATCTGGACCCGCCGCGCAGGATTTGCGCCAGCCACTGTTGGTCACGCGCAGCCACGTCCGGCCAGCCGGCAGCGCTCACCTTCAGCAGCGTCTCCAGCTCGTCCAGGTTGTCCTGCAGGTCGACGGCCATGCCGGAGAGGCGCGACATGACCTCCGACAGCTGCGCCACGGCGCCGGGCCGCGCGTGCAGCGAGGCCACGCAGTCCACCAGCTCCTGCCGGCGCCCAGCGGCGCGGTCAGGGCCGCAGAACCGCGGGCCAGGTCGGGTGGCATTGTCCGTTTCAGTAGATGGAAATGACAGCCATGGATGCTACATACTGACACAGTCGAGACGGGAGGCGGACATAAAGCAAACTGAGAAGCAAAGATATGGTCCCATCTTTCCAATTTCTTTTGATTGACGATTAATTATTTTTTTCACTGATGGTAATGAGGATGATGGTGAATACTTCGTATTTTCCGCTGGTTTTTGCGTGCCACATAAAACAAGTGTCGAGTAGTTACATCAATTCAAAGGGATTTTCTCTCTTACCTAAAACCGTGAGGATGAACGTCAATCCAAAACAGACATATCTTTTCCATTATTGAAGACAGCAAACCCCACCGCAGAAGCTTACCTGGGGCAGCTGGATGCTTGACGAACTCCCCGCCGTGAACGGCTTCACCAGCTGAAAGGCACAACCAACCTGTCAGGCACACGTGCTGAGAGAGGGCAACAGACGGCAAAGAGCAGCGATCCCCTCAGACGAAGGGGCGACGTTTAGGCCTTCGGACGACGGAAATCCACTCAGACAACTGAGATCCCCTCAGACAACAGGAGTACCTTCAGAGAGCAGGGCTTCGCTCCGACAGCGGGCTAACCGCAAAGAGAGGGGATCCTCTAAGAACTGGGATCCCCTTGGGGAGCCAGGATCCCCTCAGAGCGTGGGGATGCCCTCAAAGAACGGGGATCAGTCACGCTCTATCATGGCACGGCGAAGGTCAGAGCTCACAGCACCACACATGTTTCAGTAATACGTAATACACTTGACGGCAGAGCATTGTGACAGGTCATGTAGCCCGCAGTCGCACCAACACCTACGCGTTAAATCATTGCAGCCCCACTCTGTAAGGCATTGCCCCGGCCGTTACAGTATTAGCATGACTATCAATCGCACCAATCGCACTGAGGGAGGTCGATACGCAGACGCCACTGAGCGTGGACGCTGCCATCTCGTGGAGCCCCTGGTACCTTTCTCACCGGGGCGGTAGCTGGCGCTGCCGTGAGGCGGCCCGGCTCACCTCCAGCTGATGGAGCTGCAGCGAGGAGAGCATCACCAGCAGCTCCTGGTCCTTCTCCTCCACGTGGGTCATCAGTGACCGCAGCAGCTCGTCCTTCTTGGCGCTGGCGGCAGGACGGTGGCTGTCATTGCCTTACCGGAGACGTGCTGAGGTTGAACCGTGTAAAAAACATGGTAGCGGGTATTTGGATTGATGTATCCGCGAACTAGAACAACGTGACTTGAACGTTATATCACTGATCGTCAGTTCCAGCACGGCTAATGCGTGAGAAAAGCCTGCTCCTCCGGCACCTCCAGACCAGACCGATTCCTGCGTCTCGCCCCCTCACCCTTCCCCTCCGCCCCCCCCCCCCCCCCCATCTTCGTCGCAGAAGCAGGTCGAACAAATTCGATAGACGGGACCAAGTGGCTCTCAATTATTCGAGCGCCGAAAACAGCGTGTTGTTTCGGTCTGGCCATCCCGATACACCGATCAGTTGGCAGCTTGCCAGAAGTCGGCCCGGCGATGAGCAATAGTGCCGCAGAAGCACGTTGCACAACGAACCTTGCGTAACGAAACTCCTGCCTCCTGCATGGCAACAAGACCGGACTCGAAGGGACCGGTTGCGACTAAACGTGCATTACCGGGGCGGTGCGTTGAGGCGCAGGGAGCTCCTCTTGGCCTTAACCCTGAGTCCAAAGTTACCGGCGCAAAGCACTCGGACACGGCGCGTGCCGAGGCGGTGGCGGCAGCGGCGGCGCGTGCGGCCGCATGGTCACGCCGCCGACCGATTACCCACCTGTAGAGCGAGGCGTGCTCGTGCGCCTCCATCGGGATCAGCTTCTGGAAGATGTCCGGTCCCGACACGTCGCGATCCGTCAGGTCGAACGGGATGCCCTTCACTAGCGAGGCGCCCTGGCGAGCAGGGATAGACAGCGTGTCAGGTGGGACATCTCCGCCTAGCGAGGCGCAGCAACAGGGCACGCGGCGAGACGCCCGCCTTCGGGCAGGTCCCGGTGTGTTGTCGTCACAGGGGATTCCGAACGCTGCCGAAGCGCGTGGCTATCATGCGCTTACACCAGCGATCCCAACTACGCACATGATCACGGAACGTTGCCCTAACGCTAAACCTCCGAGTTGGCCATTTTGCAGGCAATTCTTTCTCCATGCCTTTGGTGTCAAAGGTTATGACACCTTAAAGACTTACAACAAATATTTTCACGTGAATCGTCGACACCGCTCAATAAAAATCGCGGAGGCAACATCAGGCCTTCCTCGGAAGCGTGTTGCGTGCTCCAGATAACACAAGACACGACCTTTCGCCTTCAAAGGCCAGCCACTTACCTTGATTTCGGGAAGTGACTCGATGGGCGGCACCTTCTCGTGGTAGATGAACTCGTTCTCCTTCTTGGCGTTGTTCAGTTTGCCGCCGACCACGTCCATGATGAATGTCAGGCACTCGGACACTTGCTGTCCGGACATTCGCAGCGTTAATACGGGCGAGCAGTCGATCGCCACAGCACCGCACGCCAACGTGGTAACAACGCGACCCCCGCATAGCACCGGGAAGCACTAACATGTATGCATGTATAGATGCGGGCAACACTCTGGATGTCGGGACGAAAAATAGCGCCCAATACCAGATGCGTAAAATCCACATAACGCCCATTACCGGATACGTGAAACCCAAATAACGCCCATTACCAGATGCGTGAAATCAAAATAACGCCCAATACCGGACACGTGAAATGCAAATAACGCCCATTACCACATACGTGAAATAAAAATTGCGGCCATTACCGCATACGTGAAATGCAAATAACGCCCATTATCAGATGCGTGAAATCAACATAACGCCTACTGCCAGATACACGGAAGCAAATCGGTCCGAGCAGGTGCAAGTATGATGCGTTTTCAATAACTCATTTCTTCCCTCATTGTTAAGATAGCTATTTGGCAAGAACTTTGAAACAAAGGCAGCCTTCTTTCAAAACCATGGCTGAGCTAAAACTTTCAGCAGCACTAAAACGACTCCGACACCGCCGACAGAGACACTCGCCCAGCCTCGCAGTGCGACCCTGCGCACCCCTCCCCGTCGACATCCCTGCGCCCACCTCCGCACCGTCCCCGGCCACACCCCACCGCTGCGGCATCGCCACCCCCGCCCCCTCCCCACCGCTGCGGCATCGCCACCCCCGCCCCCTCCCCGGGGGACGCCCACCTTGCCCTCGGCGCCGCTGACGCGCTTGGCCACGCCGGCCGCCTCCTGCAGCCGCTCCATGGCCGCCTGGTAGAACGTGATGCGCTCGCCCATACGCTGCTGCTCCTCCGACTGCATGCCGCGGTACAGCAGCGACACGGCGTCGTACAGCGGCGCCTTCAGCTCCACGTGCTCCACCCATTGCTGGCGGCGGCCGGGCGGGTGGCCGTGAGGGCGGCGGTGCCGGGTGGCGGCGGGCGAACCGAGGCCGGCCACACCGGCGCGGACACGCTAGTGATTGCATGCAGGCATGCAGGGGTTCGACCTAGGAGGATCACAGTCCTCTTCCACAGTCTCAGGACTTTTGTTCTCAACGCGCACTTCACGGACAGCCTTCACGGTCCAGATAACACTGCTCAAAACACCATCACAATATAAATGAGGCCTATTGCATCAAAACAGCGAACCCGCGGTTGAAAGAGCGGGTACTCAGCGACAGCTTTGGGCGCCTTCCGATCTGCGGCTACGTGGGAGCGGCCTCATGCCTACCTTCATTCTGCGGTCTCCAATGTTCTCCGAGAGGTACTCGCCGGTCTTGAGCGCGTTCTCCAGACATCGCCGGGCGGCCCGGTGGTAGTCGGCCACCTGGGCCGCCACTTTGGCTGGGAACACAGAATCACTCGTCACACAGTGACCGCCCACCGCGGAAGCGTGACTCCGACGTGGGTGGTCCCCTGACCTGGCCGCTCTGGCTACGTCAGTAACATTCGTCTGTCCGCCAGCTTTAGATACTGGGCCTACCGAGTAGAATACCACATCGTGGTGCGCGAAAAATTCAACTACTAAGTGGCATGCCTAGTTTGGATGAAGTACGCATTACACTCAGCACATTACAGTACACATTACATCTTCAGTACTACAGTACACAGTACACATTACATCTTCCAATTTGACATCCATTACAAATGCCAACGTAAATCAAAGCCTTAGAGCGCAGCGTCCCTTCGACGACTCAGCCGCTCACCAGTGATGATGCCCTTGCGGTTGTCGACCATGCTCTTCTCGAGGATGCACTCCTGCGCCTGGGCCAGCGCGATATCGATGTGGAACTGCATCATGCCGCGGTTCAGGTCGGAGCCGATCGGCTGGCTCAGCTTCTCCTGCACGTACTGCCCACACCAGGCGGACGCGTCAGGGACCGAGGTGGGCGACGACCACGGTGCCGGCCCACCCCACACATACTGCCCACACCAGGCGGACGCGTCAGGGACCGAGGTGGGCGACGACCACGGTGCCGGCCCACCCCACACATACTGCTCACACCAGCCGGACGCATCAGGGGCCGGCGCGTGCCGAGCTGGGCGGCGGCTACGGTCCCGGCTCACCCTACACGTACTGCCCACACCAGGCGGACGCGTCAAGGGCCGAGGTGGGCGGCGGCCACGGTACCGGCCCACCCCGCACGTACTGCCCACACCAGGCGGACGCGTCAAGGGCCGAGGTGGGCGGCGGCCACGGTACCGGCCCACCCCGCACGTACTGCCCACACCAGGCGGACGCGTCAAGGACCGAGGTGGGCGGCGGCCACAGTCCCGGCCCACCCCGCACGTACTGCCCACACCAGGCGGACGCGTCAGGAGCCGAGCTGGGTGGCGGCCACAGTCCCGGCCCACCCCGCACGTACTGCCCACACCAGGCGGACGCGTCAGGAGCCGAGCTGGGCGGCGGCCACGATCCCGCCCCACCAGAGGAGTTTCCAGATTCTGACCAGCACCGTTCTTGCGGCAGCGCACGTACAACAGAGTGTAAGCCCCATCGCAGGCCATAAAAATGTGAAACGCTTCTAAACATTCCGTCTTCCAGCATGCTTCCACTATGGCAGTCTGCATATCCCACACTTGCACATGCTCCCAAATGCTTCGGGGGCACCCACCTTCTCCATTTCCCGACGACCAAACCAGACCCTCCCCCCCCCCCCTCCCCCCGCACGTCGCGTGCCGCACCTGGAAGGCCCAAACAGCACACTGGAAGTGTGTGCAGCTCATCTTCATGCCGTCGGGCGTCTGCCGGGGGTCGGCGGCGCCCAGCGCCGTGTGCAGGGCGCCGATGTTGTACATGATGGCGGCCATCTCGTACGACGGGTCGTGTACCACCACCGTCGAGAGTGAGTACAGGTCCTGCCTGAGCACGGACGGCCAGCACCGGCACTGATAAGAACGGACGGCGAGTACAGGTGCTGGCAGAACAGTGCGAGAATGATCAACTTTGAGCATACAAAATTGATAGCATATGGACATTCAGGAATCATTCCGGAACTATCATCGCCACCTTAGAACAATACATGCCCAAGGCGTTTGTACCAATCAGACACCGGACAGGTTCGTCACAACCTTCATTTTGCGCTATGGCTGTGGCTAAACCTGCCAGCCGCAGCAGCACACAGTCGCCTCCTCGGGCAGAAGGGCACTCTCACCACTGGAACACGAGGTCCTCTATGTGCCGCTCTCCCAGCTCGGGGAAGCGGCAGGCGAGCGCCTGCAGCTGGCAGAAGTAGCGCTTGAGCGTGGCCAGGCCCTGCAGGTCGGGCGCCGGCCGCGTGGCCGTGGCCCGGAGCGTGTCCAGCTCGTACATCTCGGCCGCGAAGGCGTTCGGGTCGTCCCCGTACTGGGTCACAATGCACTGGCCAGAGAAACGCGCACATCAGAGGTGGAGATAGGACAGCTGGGATGTACTGGTGCTGCAGTGGGGTATCACTTGGCATTGTGTGATGAGCTTTGGCATACATATGGAATTGGTGCAGTCCTGAAGCCTGCTACTGAACCATATCAGTGATATCATACAGAATGAAGTCATATCAGACACATGCACAGCTCAATGTGTCTCAAATACCACAGGTAGCTTTGATGATACAACCTGGAACCTGGGAAGCAGGATCCATTTTAGGGATCCAGGTAGAAACGTTGCTGGTACCTCGAGATCCAGTCCGCGATGCCTCACAAAAATGTTATTACGTGACCATGTAAAACAGTGAACACCACTCACACGTTTGATGAAGCTGGAGAGGGAGGCCTGCTTATGAACCTGCTTCAGCTGGAAGCTGACCATAGGTAGGCGCGGCATCGCCTCCATCGTTGTTGATCTGACTGGTTCCGGGTTCAATTAAAACTGGTGCAAATCTGTGAAGTGAGGTGAGGGAGCATCTGAGCAACAAAATCAAACTATGTGTTGTATAGTATAACTCCATGTACAGAAAAGCTAGTGGAGAACTTCTTTCACCATGGTAGATTTTATACTCATGCAGTATGTTGCAGTGGAGATAGCATTGACAATGCTCAGGTGGGGTGGCGTCCATTTGCCCACCCCTCTGCTCACCCCCGACGGTCCTTCCTGGAACACCGAATTGCGTGGTGTAGCCACGTCAAACTTTGTGCAACTGCAGACAGATGGATCAATGATCTTCTGCCATTACAAAATTAGATGAACCTTGTAAGGCCACTGAGGTATGGCAGGTCAGTCAGGCCAAGACTGTGAGGACAGGCAATTCCTATGGAACCACTCAGCATGATGTGGTAACAGGATGTTGGATGACCCCATACATCTTTGAGATAGTTTCTTTAACAGCCAGACAAGTTAATTTGGATTACAACTACTTACATAAGCCTCAGTCAGGTATGAGTGTCAGACTCGCCTTCCATTATTCTTTATTCTTTCCAACCCATCTTGAATTTTTTGACTGCAGGGGCATCAGCCAACATATTATGTTGACTTCATTAAGGTCAAATGAGGTAGCTGCCAATACCTTCTGCTGGTTTAATAAGGTCCCTGACCTGAAATCAACACCAGTAATCTCTTGATCAGAGGAGGCATCTAGATAACAGATGGTTGCATGAGGCCTGAAGCCCTTTGGACTGATCCAAAGTTTGACCTCTATTGATGTAAATGTCATGACCTAGGAACCTCAAAATTGGACAAAACTGAGTTCAGATACAGGCCTACACACCCCATGAATTAGTTTTTTTGAGCTTTCTTAACTTTTCAGATTTTAGAAGGGTTAAATTGACCCATTCCTATCAGCCTGTAATGTTCAAACAGCCAACAGCAAGTTAGCCAAAGTTCTTTGTGTAACATTAAATTAACAGTGAACAACACTCATTTGGTATGTGTGTGGGTTATCTGCCTATCATTGCAGGAAAACTAAAAAACACATCTGAGCTGCTGGCTACCATGTACACAGAGATGGAAACAGTGTTGTGTGTGTGTGTGTGATTGGGGCTTTACAACGCCCTCAACTGCCGAGGCTATATGGCGTCACCCGCCTTTCACCGCAGGGAATGAAACCCCCTACCTCTGGTTTCCCGGACAGACAGTGGTTAACGCAGTGAGACAGTGTTGAAAGACCTTCAAAGGTATTCCCAGAATTAAAAACAATGCTAATACATGCTTACTATTCTTTTATTGTTGATGATGATGATGTATGATATATATATATATATATATATATATATATATATATATATATATATTGATGTTTATGTATATATGTATATGTTTATGTATTGTATCTTTTATTGTATTGATCTTTTATATTAAATTGGTGTTATCTTTTCACTTTTTATTTAATCATTTTGTGATTATGTAGGTTATATATTGCTATTATGTGAAATTTTGCATTCACTGTTGATGCAGTAAAAGAAAGAGGATCTGAGAGTTATTGGCAACTATACAAATAGATCTTGACAGACTGGCCATGCCCATACCATCATCAGTTAAAAGATGACCAGACAACTTTGAAAGATCATTTCAAATGTGGCTATACATCTTTAAATGTGGCTATACTCTTTCGAAGATGACCAGACATTTTATAGAGTTTACTTAAAATATATTTAAATGTTTGAAAATGCTAACAAACTGTATGTTTGTACTGTGACAGTCATAGAGAGTGAGCAACCAGCTGTAACAGCACCTCACTTACATTGTTATGGTGATGACAAAGTTAAAGAGAGGTCTGTGTATAGCCCAGGTTCCCCTAAAAGCTCTTTACAGGCAGACGCAGCACCCACTTCAGCATCACTTACTCTGGTCTGTGTAGATAAAGCACAGCTACACTCTATTAGTATTTGGTATGGTCTGTAGATTCTGGTATGGTTTTAAATATTAATTTCTTCTTATGTGAGCTTGTGATACTGAAACTGGTTGCCTACAACTGGTACAATGCAGATGCTGGTGAATGGTACTAGTATCAATACACCATACTGGTATTTGGCAGTCTGTTGGAGAAACCTTGATATAGTTCCACACATTAGCTTTCTTGAAATGAGAGCTTGTGTCACTGATGGTGGAAACATGGTTTAACATTTTAAATTTGGAGAATTCAAAATGTTGGTGGTTACAATTCATGCCATGCTAGGCCATCACAATCTAATTGTCCTGTACCATGTGTTGCGCTGTCCAAGTTTTTTAAAGTGAATGTGACACACATTGTTACACTTCTTTTATGGAGCAACAGAAGCTGCAATGGTGAAATTAGAGCTCAGTGGTTATGGTGCAATCAGGATTTGAACCTTAGCACTTCCCTAGTATGAGCCTAACATATCAGCCACTTTATCATGATGCACCCATATGCAAATGTTGTCAGTTTATTATAAGAAGTAGTCAAAGTATAATCCTTCCTAACAAATAAAGCATGCAAAATAGCAGCCCATGTGTGGTCACCCTCCCCATCCCAGTCAAGAACATAGGTAGGAAGAGTAAATAAATATAAATTATTCAAGTAGAAACCATTCACTTTTAAGGCTTTGAAAGCAGATGAGTTCCAGGCCTGGTATTCTGTTGAAAGCTGATGCAGCTAGTAATAAGACATTATTTACAAAAATCATACTAATGGCATTGGAAGCCTTACAATCAAGTGACCTCTATTTGGAGAGTACTGGTGCATCTCCCCAGAAATACTGAGGATACCACAGCTATAAACATTCTGGTGGCTGTGAGAACATAATGGCTTTCATAAAACACATGCTTACCACAGATCCACAAAACCTTGAAGCCTTAGCTTGCGCAGTGCCGGTTCAGATGCTCACACAAACTGCGTGATTCGAAAGATCTGGGTCTGGGTCATTCCGGCATCCCCTTGCCTCCTAATCTTGTTGCCACGCTCCTGACCTTGCGCCCCGAAGCGCATGCGTCAAGAGTTTTATGCCAACTCGATCACAGATTTCCAAGCGACCATGCCGTACACTTCCCTTAACCCCAAACTGAATGTACTGACTCCCAACCTCTTACGCGCGAATTTGGGACAGGGCGGACAATGACCTTGGACCTCGGGCAATCGGAAAGGTTCGTCGCCAAGGTTGGTAATGAGCGTACCTTTAAGCATACAACTCTGACGTCATCAGCGAAAATATGGATTATCCGTCTCACTTTGAGAGCTTCCGCCTACAACTTGTTTGCAGTCTTACTGAGAGTCCAACGAGCATTTGTTATCGAAGCCATTAAAACGCCTCTCCCCTCCTTGCATAATGTGATACATGAGACATTTTCTTAAAAACTAATGATCTTAAGGGGCATTTTATGCTTACACTTGGACCTCGGACGTGCGCGCATCGAAAGGTGTGTAAGGGTACAAAAAGGTGTGCTTTCAAAGGAACTACATATAAGCTCTGCTGTGACATAAAAACAAAATTGACTCGAATAGTCAGGAGCAAGGGAGGTTCTTCCCAAGTTTCGGGAGCAAAAAACAAAAAACAAAACAAAACAAAAACGACAGCCATTTTTTATCATTTTGTCCCATTCAACGCCCGCAGGGCCCATTCTGGATGCTCAACAAACCCAGGAGCCTCAGCCTCCTGCTCTCTTAGTTCCCGCGCCCATGTAAAGTGAGCTCGTACCACGAACCCGATGTGGTGTATGACCTCCACGTGAAGGTGATCAAGGAGAAACGGAAAAAAAACAACTCTACGCCATTTCCGCACTCTGTATCATGTCCCGTAAGGGACTCGGACACTTTTGGGGATTTCGTTGATGACGAGAGGTTGAGCGAGTCAATGCAGCCGAACCCATCCCAGAACTGACCCCAAGCCGACGTCTCCATGGGTTCGATCCGCGATTCTTCCAGAGCTCTTGGACGGACCAAGGAAATGAGGGAGGGAGACTGTACAGTCTGTCGACTACAGAGGATTGCCACAGGCTGATTCGGGCTTGCCCGCATGGCATCAAACACACAAGACTAAGACCATTCAACATCAAACTGTATAGGGTGGACGGATTTTTTCCCATATTTTCGGGGACTGGAATAGGTTCAGTATTCTTTATTCACGCAGCGCCTACGAGCACGGCATGGACTGATCCGAATGCGTGGGTAAGTAAGTGTTCTGCCCCCTGCAGTTTTCTCATTTATTGGAACATCCACAAACCCACACAGGTGGGTCAGAGACGTGGTAATCCGAAGGGCGACAGGTGGTCAATGCTTTGATACTTACACCCCGCACTACAACGGCACTCACGCGCACTTCGCGGGTAGAGGGAAGCCTGAAGAATTCACATGTATCCAAACAATGTTCTCAGGAAACGCACAATTTAACAGGTGGCCAACAGTCTATAGCGAACATGTTCACGCATGAGACACCTATGTGCACTTCATTGCAAGTTTCATCGACCACGATCGCATTCTAGCCAAACTTTGTAGCATTTCAAGAGCAAATGGTCTCAAAATGTTGGTCACTTGCACCTGCTTACACATGGAACGAATGAAGAAGCGCTCTGACAGAGACCGAAATGCAGCCCAATGGCTAGACTTCACTCCGTTTGACAACAAAGTGCAAGAATAACATTAGGGGTAAACCCGAAAAAGTGGCAGACATTGAAAAGCTGGAGTGAATTCACAGTGAAGAAGAATCCCAAACAAATCAATCCAACAAAGCAAACTAAGACCACAATGTGCGCGCCTTGCGGATACACCATCCGATAGTAAAAACACACGGCTTTTATCCCAGATACAACAACGAGGCACACGATGAATGTGAACGTACCGTCAGATGCAAACACAGCACACGAAATCTTGGAAATGCGACCTCCGGTGACATATAGTACGCGGGGCACCGCGAACCCAGTTGTGTATTGAAGGCTTTTAGCATTGCAGTCGGCCTTAAGCTATGAAATAAACTGCGCACGAGCTTTTTGATACATTCAAAATAGTTGTATTGTACAGCCGTTCAGAAATCGTATTGCCGGTATCTTGATAGCTAGCCTCATTTCATACATCCCCATCACGCACCAAACCAGGACCTAAGACAACGTCATCCGAGTGAAATATCCTGCACCACATCTCGACCTTCTGGTAAACGTCTTCCAGACCCATCCCTGGCGCAGTACATACGCTCACACATCTTGATGAGCACGACAAATGCCCTCACTGTGGATCCAGCTCTGGCCGAAAGTCTGGACAGTCCGGTGCCTCATCGCTAACGCTATCCGCAATGCATCAAACAGTGCAGGTGTTAAAACTTGTAATGGTCGGATACCGTCCCAATGGCTAGACCACAGCGCGTCAGCCGTGGTGCAGTCCCGAGTACGTTATGATCCACGTCACCTGCAATGGGCCACATCATTAAGACACATTCTCCAGAGCAGTCCAGGAGGCGCCGCGCGGAACCGGCGGCGTATTGCAGCCAAGTAGAAAACAAGACGTTCCGGATTGTCTACGGCCTTCATGGTCACTTTCACCCCAAAACAGGGCTCAGATACCTGTTCTTTACATTTCCTGCATTAATTTACACGTACCGACGTTCCCGACTTAGATATTTCCGTCAGTCAGTGCAGCATTTGGTCAGTGTAATTACCTCGTAACCATGAGGCCGCAAAAGGGTATAACTGCCGGCTGGACGCTACAGGAGCAAAAACACCAAGTGGGTCACAGTCGCAGGAAGCCTGGTTGATCAGAAAGATCAGCGTAGTATAACGGGAGCTTGGGGGTATCTCACTTCATAAGTTATAGCCATCCCGTTTGCTTAAAATGTTCACAGAGTATACTTTTCCCGGATGCACAGCCCAGGCGTTTAAAACGGAGGCGAACTTCTGCCCTATGTCCACAGATAACTGACGAAGCACAGACATAGGGCGTATCCAATTATGGCCACGCAGGTGCGTACAACGTCCCCGCCTGTATCGTCAGCGTCGCTTAGCCTTACGTGACGGCGGTGCTAAAAGTCCGTGACACTATCAGCCGGCTACAAGCTCTTATTCTCACTGTTGAGCATCGCCTTTGGCGGGCTTTGAAAAATCTGTCTAAGCCTCGTAATAGCTTTCAGGGGATATCCTTTTTGTCAAATGCATGTCTGTGCCGTCCATAACAAAAAAAGAAAGCACCAATGATGGGGCTTTCCGCGCTTTGGTACCACAGGGACGTCGCATACCACGCTGCACCTGTTGTCTGGAGGCAACACAATGTAAAATGCAACCGTGGTAGAGTGGCCATAGCCAGTGACAACTGACGGGCAGGCCGCAGGCGTGGTGTTCAAGGACGGAGCTCTGGGGCACGCAGAACAGCCTAATAAGCGAGCCCAAAAAGTCGGTCCACTCTGCTGGACCAAACAACCTGATAAAGAAGAAGGGACAAACCGAGCACTATTCAACGATATGTTCTCATCTGCAAAAAAAGCTATTCTCTACTTGCTGACGTACGGGATGGGCGGACCTGATCACAAAGCGCAGAACTGTGTTACATTCTGGCCTTCGTAAAGCACAGGGCTAAATTTATTTTCGAACGCAATTCGAGTTGCACGCCATATTAAAGCCATCCTGCATGCACCGCTTGATATGGCATGCGACATGTCACTGAGATTAGTCCCGTGCCAGAGATAGCCGCAACAATATAACTATATCACAGGATTTCGCCGGAAGTCACTCCCAGATTGTACAGCTGCAAAAAGCAGCATTACTTGCGATTTGTTAAGTTCACATACCCCTTTTCAACGAGAGTTACCAACGAACATGTAATTTATATCCAGACGCATTCGCGAGGCCGACGGCCTGAGCGGCATTCGTTACACACACACGCCAGCGTTAATGAGATGGAGGGCGGGGGGACAAACACGAGGTTGCTTACCACTCCTTAATGGTACGGGCTAGCTCACAATCTGCTTCATGGCCGGTGTAAGCGCAAAGGGCTCACACAAATGTCAAAAAAGAAAAATTACCGCGAGAAAGGTACTGTGATCAGCACTATCGGAATCTCCCATATAGGCATAAAGTAATAACATACATGGTCTAGTGAACGCCCGCTGGCAACGACAGACATCGTTGCTGCCTGCTCATAACGGCAAGCACTAGCTTTAGAAAATAACTTACAAGGAATCCAGCGAACGACGTCATTAAACCTTCTTTTACTAGCTCGGAGACTCCTCCGAATTCGTCTTCATCGACGGCCTGGAAGCTTTGGAAATAGACGTAGACCACAGCAGTGCTAACGAGGAAAAATCTGCAACGACGGATTGTTCCAGTGTTATCAAACATGCAGCTAACAACAGTTGACCACCTCAGGCAGGGATGCAGTTCTCACTGAGTAGCTCAAGTAGCCATTACATCTGAAACGCTCTTCAGCCCAATAACTACACTAAACTCTCGCATTCCACTACACTCCCATTGAGCAGTTAGGTCCAGGAATTCAGAGTTGGTAAAAACGACATCTTCCGGAAAAGTTACACAGCATCAAAGGTGTGCAACAGCAGCATAAGAGGAAAAATGTTATTTAAAACTCACAGCGCCAGGCCAAGGAAACCCTGAAGCGGCAGAACGCCCCACACCAGGCCAATGATGATTCCCAGGATCTGACGAAGCCAGTAGATCACGTCTAGGAATTCATCCTGAAACAGGGCATAGGAAGAGATGTAGAAGAAATGCAAGGGTGGGGCCAGGAGCATTGAGAGGCAATGTGGCCGCGAGCCCAGAGCATGGTGTGGAAAGGCAGAACAGCCATGATAAGTGCCTGCCAGATCTGCCACCAACTTGTAAGCTTTGTTTGTATCATTTGCCAATCCAGAAGTGACCATACCATGGGCTTGTCTTACGGAAGACTAAAGGGATAAATTCCCTGTTAGTCCCATTTGCCTCTCATTGAACTTGAGATGTGAAAGAGATAATGGGTGGGTTTAGGTCACAAGAAAAAGCTAACAGCATTTAGATATTAGGCATTAATTAGTTTTTCATAATTATAGCATGATTTGTAGCACCACTTAAGTGTTACATTTCCTAACCTTCCTCCCATTCCCTTGTTACACTTCTGTTATGCTCCATCAAGCCCCCTCCCCCTTCACATGTAACATAATCCATGGATAGGCCCAGTGGACCTCAGATGGATCCCAAACAATCTTTGATGAGGCTGTTGTGGCCAAAGAAATGGATTCAGAACAGTGCAAACCAAGGAAATATGTCCACCCGCACATGTTGGCATAATAGAGCATGACAAAAGAAGTGGTGCCTGTTAAGACATTAAGTGGCAAATCAATCCCCTATCAATGTCAATAAGTGTCATGCCTCACATGTTGACAGCATACAATGGTGAATATTAGGTTTACTAGACATACTAATTCTTACCTTATCTGGCCACAGACTTCCCTTCGAAACAGCTTTCGCAAAGGTTCTTGACACTGAGAGTTCTTCTGGAGGTGTTTCAACCTTGCTCTTCATTTTGGGTCTAATGTACCTTTAAGATGTGATATGCAAAGGTTAGTGATGATGTTCAGAATTAGCCCTGCCCTTCTTAAGATCTAAAGCCTCCTAGTTTCTGGGCTACATGCCTGTGATGATATGCATGCTGATTTGTGTTGACTATTTTTGTTTTTAAGGCCATCCATGCATGCATAACATTGCAGCAACATCATTCAAATCTTGCCACACCACTGGCCAGGCAGCACACAGGGATGGAAAGACTTCTATTGTTCAGTCATGCTGAGACCTGGAGTCTATGGGCATGATTTCCAAATAAAGTGGTCCCCAAATGGCTCATGAACAATGTTGAGAAAGCTGTGCAAGTTGCAATCACAAACAATTTTATGCTACATAAAATGAAAAGTTAGACATACTTTTTCACTTACTAATTTTTAGACCTAAGACTTGTATTCAAGCAACTTAAGAAGAATACTATGACCGAGCATGTAAATGCAAGCAAGCATATTAGGCTCCAATACTGAATATGTGGAGCACCATAAAAACATATGCACACAACAACATTTGGCCCAGCAAATAGTTCCAGCCTAGCCCATGCTGCTATCTTTGAACAAGTTTGAAGTATTACAAGTAAGTGGCAAATTTATGCAGCTAGTTTGGCAATACAGCAACTTCATGCAGACATTCCATGATGCCATCAATCAATGACATATTGAGTAGCACATTTCCTAATTAGATATTGTTGTCTAAAGCAGCTTCTTCCACTTAGAAGTACAAAAAAGCCACTGACTTAATTTCATCACATCTGTTGATTGCATCATCTTATCTTGAGCTGTCTCACTACAAATCTGAGCAATGCATAATATGGCCAAATGATGGCTAAGCACACAAAGAGTAGGTAGTTTCCTTTTTATAAACCAATCATCAAGCTCTGCAACAAAAATAGATGTATCCAATGCATTGAACACTTTGATCAACTGCACCACTTATCAGAAATTGACGAATTTATTTCAAAAATCAGCCCATGCTAGCAGGACAGGAGATTTTCCACACTGACTACTGCCCCAATATCTTCATAATCTACCAACTAACAAGTAAATTATGAAGCTAAGACTTATCACCAGTTTACCTTTGAAGTATCACCAGACAACGGTGATATTTGAGACCTAGATCTACTTAGGGCTTCAGCTTGCTTTGAAAGAAATAACCCTGGCACTGCCCGCACTTGCAACCTCCTGCCCGCCAGCTGTAGCAACCTCCCTCTTCGTCAATGCTCTATCTCAGAGTTCCCCGCCGGTGCTCTGTAGTGAGCATTAATATATTTGCCACTTGACCTCGATCATGCGCAGTAATCGTCTTTGGGTCGCCAAAACAGCGAGGCGTGCAGCTTGGGACACTGTCCTAAACTGCTGTTTAAACATGGTCTAAGCTGCTATCTCGAGTGAAGGCAGCCAAGAGAAGCTTCACGTCATAAGATAAAGTTTTAGAGTGACAACGCCCCATGTTCAGGCATTCATCACATGTTTTTTTGCCCGGAATATTCGCCTCCTACTTAAATTTTGCTTAAGTAGCAACGATGATATCTATTTTGGAAGATGTTAAGTGAAAGCAATCATTCCTACTACTTTTCATGACAGCTTAAGAGTTTTGGCATCGACTAAGACCTATTGGTCTGTGACAGTCGTAACATCCTTTGCATGACTTTTTATGGCTTTAATTTTGGGGTCCTGCTTTTTGTGCTATAATTCGGGTAGCTGTGACGTATGTCACCGCGTGATGCAACCAGTCAGCTGTAATCGCCCTGAACTGTAAAGCAAAATTTCGAGATTGTGCGCCGTTTCTGTCTGTTCTAGTCTCTTTCTGTGACAAGCCACATTCCGTGCGACGTCTCCTTGTGTGGAGCGGGTGGCTGCGGGAAATATCCGGTATTGAAGGTAAGTTGGCTTACATTTTCGATATTTAAGGAGCACAGTATCCTCATAGTAAGGATTTTCAGGGTATGGTGTTCCTATGTGTGTTGACTTAGCACAGCCTTGCCTGGACTGATGAAATGTCATAAAAGTGGTGGATGACTGGATGCAAAAATATATCGTACACCGAACATCTCCGGCGTCGCGGCAGCACCACGGCAATAATTGATCCACCACCCGTTTTTGGCACATAGTGGTCTAAGGCAGCTTAGGCTGTCCTGGGGTTCAGCCATTGTCTGAAACTTGGATGTTTTTAGCCCCAACACATTTTGTTCTCCACAAACATACACTGGGAAGAATGTAAAGACTTGTTCTCTGTGAGCAACATCAGATGGAGGCAAGCTGTTCCTCCAACTTTGACAGCATTGTGCGTGGCACTCATGACTGAACGAGGGATACTTCTTGTGGGTTACAGCCAAATCTCTACCGTTTCACACAATCGTTCCTTGCAGCACATTCGGTGTCCAGGTCTGTTGCTGCTCACCAGCACATGTTTAACTCACCTGCTGGCCTGCACCCAATACAAACAGCATCTCTTGTTGGACCGGGGACATATTGACAAATAAGTTATTTTTCATTCTTTTTAAATCAGACTTGTTGAAGTTTTATTGCTAACTATCAAAAATGGATATTGTATAGAATGTATAATGGTGACATCAAATATCATCCCAAACACACCCTCCAGTACATGGAAAACCAGGCTTGGTGAGTCTCCAGCTCTTGGGAAGGATTTAGAATTGGAGAGAAGACATTCTCCATTAATAAATCCAACCCTAATATGTGATGAACATGCTCAAAAGGGTCATCAAACTAAAGTATGGAATTTCTCTATCCACCCGCAGATGTAACACCTCGTTCTTCTATTACACATTACACGGAGCATCCTCACAGATTCATGATCTGAGTATAAAGCTAAAGCAGGGTTTCTTATTCTCCATTCCACAGAACTTTTACTTGTGTATTTATATGATTATTTACATTTTTGAGATTTTCTGTTTGTTTTAGCCAGATTTTGCCAACCAATATTTTGTACCAAATCTTATATGGTCTTAAAAGCAATATCAAAACCCATAACCTACGGCGGCTGTCGTTGAAGCCTCCCATTGCATGCACGCTGTTTATGTAGCCTACTGACCTTGTTTTGGAGGAGCTGAGCCGCATGAGGGGTGGTGATAGCATGACTGGTTGGTGGTGTGTATAAGGACAGTATATAAATTTAGCACAGTTGTTGTTGGGGAGGGGTTCGCATCCTATTCAACTCAATAGGGAGCTACACACTTGTTCCCAAATTAAGTACATCTAGGTCAGTAAAAGCCTAGGCATGTATCACATCGCCGTAAAATCATTCCTCCGGGTGAGTAAGATCATACCTGGGCTAGAATGTAGCCACACTAACTACAATGCCCCAGATGCCCCTATTTATATTGTGACTTGCATGGTATTTCAATCATAAACTTAGCATTATGTGCCCCAGGGAATGGCGCAACAGGTGCTCACCATTTTAAGCATCTGCTCCTATCAGCTGGGGACTGACACCTGTACAATGGAATTATCAATATCAACAATAACAAGACCACCAAAAAAATATGAGTATTATTGTCCTGCCCAGACAACATATGGTGATAAAAGGAAGTATCTGATCTTTTGGGGCCTGTTTCAAAAATGTGCTCTAGTGAAACCTCAAGACTAGTCACATCCTATGAAATAAATGGTAAGTGCCACTGCAGCTCCATCAAGGGATTAATAATGGCATCAATTTTAATAATTGTTTTTCCTCATCATGCTGTCAACCAGTGTTGGAAATTCCAAAAAATTTCCTGGAGCTGAGTACATATTTTCTATAGTGGGGTACAAAATTATCCAAGTGCTGCTGGCCACCACAGTTTTATTTAGGTAATCTTGGAGAGATAGCAGTACAGTGGATGGTACTGAACAAAAGTGCCACTTGTCATATACAGCAATTCATGTAAAAACACATGAAATGAAAGGAAACATCAGTAAACATGGCACATTGAAACAACACCATTTCATGCTCTGTACAATGAAACACATGTGCATGTACAGGGGTTGGCTTTTTATGAAGGACTCTGTGTATACATCCTCCAAAACAGAGGGTAATTATGCATCTGGCCCATATACTCTCCAAAATGGCGGGTGGCTACATACCGTGCTTATACACCCTCCAAAATGGAGGGTGGGTAGGATATGCACAGCCAAGAAAAAATGGTACACAAAAAATGCAAATGAACATGCCACAGGCTGCCACCTATTCATGCTCCACCAGCTAACTGGTTTAAAAAAACAGCTAAACATTCATGCCCTCCACCCTCCAACGCCCGGTCAACACACGAGGCCCTGCACGTCCTACCCGAATAATAGACAGGCAGCACTTTAAACCAATTTGCCGAGCCAGCGCAAGTACAATGCCTGACAGACCCGCGTGGGCCGGCCAAAAGGGATGCGAATCAGCCACTCCCCTGACTCGAGCGGATAATGCAATGTAGTAATGGACTTTGATGCGCTTTAAACCAAGATCATTGTGACATATGATGATTTATGTTGCAATTAATTGATGTTTTTGGCCTAATCAACCTCTCTCCTTAATTTGCCGGGCCAAAGTTATGGGTTCACGTTACTCTGGTGTCCTGGTGTTTTTGCTGGAGTGAGGTGGCTGTCTCCAAACAATTTTTTTGGCTATTTATAGCAACGTTTTTCGACTTAGAAGGGACATTTTTGTAAAGCCTGAATTGCCAGCTTTAATTTCACACCCTTAAGTGACAAGTTTGACTTGGTTTAAATCCACAGCTTTTTAATATAGCATAACATTTTTACACTCCGGATACGAGGAAGTGGCCAAAAATCCAACCACATGGCGGTTCTGGATGAGTACAAATAAATCCTTCTTCATAATCATGATGCCCATCTCTATACAGCTTCCCTCCAAATGTTTACAAATCTGTTCAACGCATGAGCGCGAGCAGAATATTTATGCTCAAATCAATCACGGGGAGGCGAATCATTATAATCAATTGGAGAGTTTTGCTATGTTCAACCTCCAACCTGAGCTGGGAGGCGGGCACAAGCCGCTGAATAGTTGACACGTTTCCGACGCTGAATAGCGAGTGATTCTCTTATTTGCATTGCCATGACACAGTGGTGGCGCGTGAGTAGGCGGCCGTCTGTGGTAGATGATTGGGCGTGCGGTTTTCTATGACTGTTCGTGGCATCCTTGGCAATTAATGCGTTTCGTCGTCAATGGTAGGTTAAGTCATGTTCAAGTTTCGGTTGGTCTGTATAGGGCATGGAAAGTGAAAGCTTTGCTAGTCTACAGACTGGTGCGATTCTGGTACTCGTTTCTCATTTCGCGGTATTGTTCAAAGGCGATTCCATTCAACATTCACATACTTTATTTTTCACATTTCCATGTATATATACCTAGGTGGCAACACGGGCTGTTTGCCATTGGGCATCTTAATCTGGTGGGTGCAAGATTTGCACTCTTGCAGATATCAATACATGGCTCCTGATGGAAGCAGCAAGTCTCAAGCTGTTGCGCTTTTCGGTTTTATTTTGTCCTGACACAAAGAGGTAAAAGGAGTTCTTGCAAAAGCTGTTTTTGTTGCATCATGCTGGAGTACAAAATCTTTAACTTTACCTAGTCACAATCCTGGAGTTCAAAATCTCGTGGTATGCATTATACCAGGAAACGTCAAGTTTTCCAGCACTGCTGTCAATACTTTATAACAGCACTAGGGATGTTCCCTGCAGTTGCAATCACTGTCAGCATGACAACTGTGCGCACCACTGCTGATGCATATCAAAGAAAGTTTGTGATTGATCTGATACGCAAGGGCCTATTATTGATCTGCTGGCTGTTTAAAGTTTGAAACAATAAATCTCCGGAATCATATGATACCCCATTCCCAAAGCCAAAGTGTGCTGCAAAATGAGCCACTGTGGTAAACGCAGTAGGGGAGAAATCAAAGTCATAGTATGGCATTTTGTTGCATATTTTTGTCCAGATCTAGCTCGTTTTATTCTGCCGATTAATCTTTGCTTCTAGGCTGCGATAGTCAGCAAAAACTTTGGAGTGTTGGTATATTATGTAGGAAGCTTGGAAGGAATGAGCGGTCACAGTAAATGGGAATGATCTGCTGCGCTCAATTAGTATATTTGTTTGTCCATATTAGAAGGTCCCTCCTCTCGCTGCCGTCCTCTCCTACACATTTGCTACAGGCGAAATAGACTGTCATTTACATTGAAGGAACCAACATCAAGCAGTATGTATCTGCGACCCACGCATAGAACAGAGACGTGACTTGTGGCCAGAAGCATTTGAGCTGCGGTTGAAAAGTGGGCAACAAAGGCCGATGTCAGCTTGATTATGGCCCGCAGTCAAGACTTCGCGGACCTGTTCGAGCACCTTAGGTTTGTGTGATGGTACTGGAGAAGTTAACAGTTGCTAGATCTCTGCCGGGCTACCGTCAATAGCAGCTTCTTGATCGGACTGGCGGATACTGAGCAAGAGGACATCCTCGGAGTTAGCAAGCGTGTGGCTGCTTTGGGCGCAAGACTCATATTTGGCTGCAGCGAAGTCGAAGACTACTGTTGTGGCGCCCAAATGGGCACGGGGGAAAATCTTCGCCGTGACCGTCGTTAGTCTTTCATCACTGTGATGTCTTCGTCAGAAGCGATTTCCAGCCGTTGGCCAATCGATCCTACCAAACTGGCGATTTCCAACCAGTCGCCAGGTATATGCGGGCTTTGGTGGTCACCATGCAAATATTAGTGATGTTGAAATATGCACTGCAGTTTGGATGCTGATATGAAATACAACCGTGTGTTGTCTTGCTTTGGTGGAATAGAGTAACCAGGTATATTCCTGTCATCACTTTTTGAAAGCAGCGAATTGTAAAACGTTGCTCTCCTCTCGCCAGTTTTTGGCTTGCTCAATGTTGCATCGGTGGCAAAAGGTCTTGATGGTCAACCTTCGAAGTTCGCGCTCGCACTGGCATGGGTTATCGACTGAGACAACATCGTTGTTTCGCGACGTTCGGTTTGCCTCTCGACTGGGCTGGCCGACTGGCCCCGGTCCGTCAGCCGTCCGCCAGAGTGCCGGTCGAAGTGGAGCCGACGCGTCGCAGAGGCCGCTCGGAACTGCTGCCCTGACCCGGTTTGGCCTCAGGTTGCAGGACGCCATGCTGATCAAGGTGAAGACGCTGACGGGCAAGGAGATCGAGATCGACATTGAGCCGACCGACAAGGTGGAGCGCATCAAGGAGCGCGTCGAGGAGAAGGAGGGCATCCCGCCGCCTCAGCAGCGGCTTATCTTCTCCGGCAAGCAGATGAACGACGAGAAGACGGCGGCCGACTACAAAGTTCAGGGTGGCTCCGTCCTCCACCTGGTTCTGGCCCTGCGCGGTGGAGGACGCTGAAGCGAAACTCGTCTTCCAAGATCGGACGATAGATGCCTCTGCCGGTGGGCATGCGTCGGCTGATGCCGCATGATTGTGGTGCGGCGGTTTTTGCGACACATTGAGAAGCCGTTGCGGCGAGGTGCTGCTGGCGTTGCGCTGTGATTGGCGCTAGTGTCAAGAGAGGAGAGATGTGATGTCCTTCTGTCGACCTCGTTCTGTGCCGCGTAATCGCTGCGACCACCCTGATCGCGTTATGTCGCTATACATCCATGCCATTTAATTTTGTTTTATTGTTTCTTAGTCGGAAAATACACTGTGGCATGTGTCGTCTTGCTTCTCGTTCGGGGACAGTGGATCGAGCCGTTAAAAAGCAACATTGAACTGTGGGTGTGCGAATTATTCGCGCCAAAAATAGGTGGCTATGAGGCTTGGGGGCATAGAACATTCTGGTAGCATTAGTTATTCATTCCTGATCGTGCAACTTTGAAGTACCTGGCTTTGAAGGACCCGGCTTCTGCCTCATACGTGGGCGGTCCAGTGGAACCGTGTGCCGACTGTCCAGCATTCATGTTGAGCAGATTGAGCCTGTGACGTGCCGTGGGCTCGAAGCGTTACGTAAAGGGCCAGGCGTCGAATTACGGATCACGTCGGTACATCTATACTCAAGTGGCCTGCGGGGCGTCGATATCTGGGCGACTGCCGTCCCTAACTGATTAAATTTCCGGCTGCAACATGGCAATAGCCGTCCCCCCATCTTTAGCCTTCAAATGGCAATAGCCGTTCTCTCATGACACCCCTTCAAAGAGCGACACTTCCGACTGGCGTCCTTCCTAGTCTCTCACGACTTACCTTCTTGTACGAGGTGCGTGCCAGCGCGAGCCTGCGTCCCTCTGGTGACGGCATCTGCAGCCGAGCGCGGGTGTAGCGGGGTATGACCCCCCTTCTCCCCAGCCCTGAGAAGGATAGGGTCCAAACGCGGGGAAAATAGTTTGTTGACGTATTTCGGTGGTGGGTTGCGTCAGCTTTCACTGCTCAGCCCCCCCCCCCCCCCGCCCCCCTCCAACTCATTTTGCGAAACCACGCCGCTGCTACGGTATCCCCACAGCTGACCGAGGCGAACGCAGGCACTGGGGCTGCGCCGGGACAGCCGTCAGCTGCGTAGGGCCTCCCCGCTCACCGCACTGCGCCATGTTCTCCCGGCAGCTGACCGATGGTCGCCAGCAGTCGGCGTCGGGTGGAGACAGGTTGTGTGCGGCAGCGGCTGACCGCGCTGTGTTAGTGGACTGTCTGTTGCAGTGCATCAATGGGGCTGTGCGGAGCTACACCCACTCGATGTTAATGACGCCAGTCCGCTTGGTGTTACTGATGAGCTTGCAGTAATAGACCCCAGAAGTGCAAATTTGGAAAAAGTTCTTCAGTTCTCAGTTCTGAAACGCAAATCCGGTGAAAAAGGCGTCCCGGTACCATCCTCGCGACGCGACGGCGACGGCGATGGTCGTCGGTGGCTGTGAAGCGTCATTTTACTCACCATTCATGTCCAGCAGGGATATAAAGACAATGTTCATCGTCCCACTCATGACTGTCCTCCCTCCTCCCCCCCCCCCCCCCATGTGGCCAGCGTCGCCACAAGCCTGCGGCGATAGCCGTCCCACCCAAAAATCACGCCCGCTGCGCCTTCTGCGTTCCAGGTGCGGCCATGTGCGTCTCGCCGCGGCCGGCCGGCGACGGGCCGCCGCCGGCCGAGCCGGCCTCGTGGCTGCCGCGCGCCGCGCTGCCCGAACGTCACTGGGTGCCGCTGCTGCGCGCCTGCCTGAATCGCGTCACGCCCACCAACTGCACCGTGCTGGTGGCGGCGCTGCAGGCGGCCGTCGGCGGCTCGGCGGCGGCGCGCGACGATACGGTACCGCTGCTGGTGGACGCGCTGATGGCGCAGGTGTCGCTTAGTCCGCTGTACGGGCCGCAGAATGCGGCTGTGTGCGGCGCGCTGGCCGCGCTCCGGCCGCCGGCCAGCGAGGCGACGCTGCTGGACACGCTGCTGGCGCGCTGCGAGGCGGCGGCGCTCGACGAGACGGGCGCCGATCCCGCGACGCGTCGTCACTGCGCCGCCTTCCTCGGCGAACTGCACGCGGCCGGCGTGACGCCGCCGGCGCGGGTGCGGCGCTGGCTGGCGCAGCTGCAGCCGGCCGTCGACATGTCGCCGGCGCGGCTGGACGGCCTGTGCGCGCTGCTGGCCACCGGCGGCGCCGCGCTGGACGCCGAGGTCGACGCGCCGCCGCTGGACCGTCTGTTCGCGCTGCTGGCGGAGCTGGCGGTCGAGCCCAGGCTCGACACGCGCATGCGCTGCCTGCTGCTGGACACGTTGGACCTGCGCGCGCGCGGCTGGCAGCAGCGCGCTCATGTGGCCCGGCCGCTGCCGCTGGCCGAGCTGCGCGCTGCCGAGGCGCCGGTGCGCACCGAGCGGCGTCGGCGCCGCGGCCATCGACGTCACCCGCGCGGCGTCGACGCCGGCGGAGGCCACCCGAACGTCTGAAGGGTGACTGCAGGCTGGCGGAGCGGGAGCGAGGCGGTGCGTTATGGTGGACCAGCTGAGGAACCCGCAGCAGTACTGCTGCAGTGGGGAGCCGTCTGCGCCGCGGCTGGCTACCTTCCTGGGGCCGGCAGCGTTTTAGTCGCCCCGGGCTGCGTTGCTGCTCACTTGTCAGTTGTGTTGCAGCCGGTGATACAGTTCTCTCACGTCACGGGTTGCATTTGTCAACACGTCTGAGCACCTCCACGAGGCCTCACATAATTTACGCGAGGTACCCACAGACGGTGTGGAACTGTCAGGGAACAGAACCGCTGCAGAGTGCAACGACCATCTCCTGTCGACTACCGAGCGGCACGCTTATTTGCTGTTTGCAAGAAGTGTCCGATAGAGCGAACACGATCAGCTGAGTACTTCGCTAGCACTCACGCTCAGTGTGCGCACGGTGTGTGTGTGATGACTGTGCAACGTAAAATACAGAGTTTTATTCTGCTCCGGCGACAGCATGTGGTTTGTGTTATCCCCCCCCCCCCTCCCCACCAATCTGCGAGCCGCGCTGTAGGTAAAAGAAAGGGCATCGAAATTTTAAAAGGGTCTCGTTTCGTGTCATGTCGCAGGCTTGGCGCCAACGTCTACAAAACTCGGAGTGGATTGTGCCTCCTCCCTCTCCCCTGCGGTGAAACCCAGCCCGTAATCGCGCCATAAGCGAAGGTTCACAAAATTGATCGAGGGGGAGGCCAACAATCTGATCCCACCGTAAACAAAAATGAGTCATGACTGACACTGGGGCAAGATTTCTCCGAAGTGGTGCAATGCTCTGCCCATGCCCAGCGCGACTCACGTCATGTCATGGGCGCGTTCGGTTGGGGGAAAATTATTCAGCAAGTAATTATCTTGCCGATAATCATCCACGGATATTCTCCATTTGCGTTCGGCACGTCCGGACACTATTCCCCAGATTCGTTTCTCATGCGCTATGCAAAGCCAATGGTCACAGCTATTCATAGCGACAACAGATGTCTTGAACCTGCTCACAAGATTTTCCGGGATTCTCTCCCTTAAGCAAAAAAAGGTCACAGCTATCCATAGCGACAATAGATTCTTTATATTGACCATGCCCACAAGATTTTCCGGGATTCTCTCCCGCATGCAAAATAAGTTGGGGTAATTTCCGCATTGGCGGTGCCGAACGCCAAGCCGGAAAATTGTTCATTTCATTCATTTCAACATTCCGGCAATGTTCAAAGTTTATCTGCCGGCCGAACGTGCAATATGTCTGCGCCAGGCATCGACCCCGCTAATGGAATTGAAGGTCGCTTTAGTTCAATGGTGCGGTCAGCTGCATACACTGGATGGGGGGACACTGTTTGGGCTCTGAAAATCAAAGTGTGACTAAGGTAATGATCGGTCGGGCTCAGTCATGATCTGGAGCCAGCTGGTCCGAATGGCAGGTCACATCCATGCAATCAGTAAATAACACAATTTGAGAGAAGGCGATGCTTCACGTCAGTTGCGCTCCGCCGAATCCGCCATCCTTGATTAGAGCGTCGCTGGTTAGTGGTCGTGCCGGAACAGCCTCGTGGCGTCAGGATCACGAAGTTTGACAAAATTTAATTGACTTGATGTGTGAAGTACACTTGAGGGTGTACTGAACTGGGTGTATCACGTCTCTAAGACTTTAGGTTACAGACCTGAATTGGGGGAATCCTGCTGGAATCTGAAGGGTAAGCTGACGAGAAAATGGCATTTTGGGTGGGGAAATCGGTGAACGTGACAGTTCCGAAAAATGGATTGGACAAAAGCACGTTTCGAAAAAAATGAACAAGTGTTTCCCCTGCCCCCTCCCACGGGTACACCCATGGACACATTACATATTTAAGGACCGATGACTCAAGCCACAGGTCAAGGTGGGGATCACTACGGTTTCTTCGGTTTTCTTTCCAGCTCCGAGCAGCACCGCAGGTTGAGTGACGAAGTATGGAAACGTTGGGGGGGGGGGGGCGGGGGGGGGGGGGTCACGTCAGCCGTCCACTGCCGCTCCCTACCTCTCTGGTTTGGGACCATTATAGCCGCAGCCAAAGGAGATCGGGGGCGTACACCCCCCCCCCCCCCTCCACACACACACACAGAAGCCAAGTGATTTTGTTTTTTTAGCACGCTAGATGGCCCATGACAGAGATGTATTGTAAGGCATCGCCATCGGCCTGTCGTCACATGCGCTATCATATCCATCCTGTTCTCCTGTTCACTCTTGTTAAGACCTTGGCCATTTCGCACGGTCGCCACCGCGTTGGCAGTTTTTGGCAATAGCTCCGAAAAAACACGGAACACCTTCAAAGGATCCTAAATTCCAGTCTAAGTGTTGTTTCCGGCCGGCAAAAATACGACCACATGTTGGACGTGCGAGATAAGCTGGGCTGGCTCAAAGCCCACCAGCTTAACAAACTCCGTTCTCCTAACTTTCCGCTTAAAATTCTCAGTACCGGTGATGTACCGGTTCGATCGCCTGCCGACCCCGGACTAACTCGTAACGTCGTTCTCGGAACACACAAGACGCTGGTCTGGCTCTTTCACGTGTCAGAACCGATGCCGGTAGGCACCGCTTTTTGTATAAGGTGCACAGCTTAATGGGCATTCACCTTAAAATAGTTGGAATTTTCCTCTTGAGTTTCAAATGTAAGCTAAGTAATCTTTTAGTGGTTGTGATTACATGCTGAGTTTATTTTGAGCCTTTTTACAGATCGACATCGACATGTTTGTGAATGGTGATGACTGTTTTCTTTCGGCTTCTCCACCCTGGATGCACCCTTATCCTGCAGAGAAATATCTGATGATGTTATTATTCTCCCTGCTCTGGGTCACATTTCATAAAAATCCTTCTGTTGAATATTTCCTCATAATGTGTCACCCCTGTCGGCTTCTGAATGCGTGTAAATGGAACCCCAATAATGAGCGCACTTACAGCAAATGTTAACTACGTTAACTACGTTGCTAACTAACGTTGCAAACTACGCACAGCACGCTGCCTGTGACGTAAGAATGTAGGTGTGTGTCATTGGGGCTTTACGATGCACTCAGCTGCTGAGGCCATGTGGCGTCGCCTGGCTCTCACCCCGGCAGGAGGGGCGGGCGCCGCTGTGACTTGAGGACATGTCATGTCATTGAGGCTTTACGACGCACTCAGCTGCTGGGGCTATATGGCGTCGGCTGCCTCTCACCCTGGCAGGAAGGGCGGACACCGCGGGGAATCGAACCCCGTACCTCTGGTTTCCCAGACGTGCAGTGGCTGTGGCAGGTACCTCTGGTTTCCCAGACGTGCGCCCCCCCACAGCAAACGCGTTAAACACTACACCACCGGCACCCGTGACTTGAATTATCGGCTGTCTATCCATGTTTACAGACCATTGCGCCATGTTCGGCAGCATTATTGTAGTGAAGTCCAAATTTGCAGCGAAATGTAGTGACCATGTTGATAAAGGTACACAGCAAAATTTAAACTAGTTTAGAGTTGTAAGAAAAAGAACAATGTGTGCACATGACCTGTTTTTATTATTTGTGTATTACAATAGAGGAAGCCTTATTTCAAAAGCAAAAGATGTATAACTCCAAATATGCATGGGTATGTCATCACTAGGCACGGGCGCTCTTTCCGTTAGCATCCCCAAGCAGGATTGACGATGGTTTGTACCAACTGGTATTTTGTGGAAATTAATGTGTTCTGGGGGTGAAATTTTTTGCCAGTTGCGTTTTTTTGAAAAGTAAATCATTGTGATGCAACGTGTACTGTGATTGTGTACTGGGGTCTTGTCCCTGGGTTGTATGTTATACACTGGCGACGATTCTGACGCGAGCCACGTTCCAGGCCAAAAGGACCAAGAAGGTCGGAATCACAGGGAAATATGGCACCCGTTATGGTGCCTCCCTGAGGAAAAAGGTCAAGAAGATTGAAATTTCACAGCATGCGAAATACGTGTGCAGCTTCTGCGGCAAGGTATGTGATGTTTGTGTGGTCACCTATTTATTGCAGCAGTGTTGGCCTGATCAGCACAGTGTGTGCTATCCACCGCATTATGCTTTGCCATGTGGCAATTCTGACACATTTGGAGTGTTTTCAGTTATCCATTTTGATTTGTTATAATTTTGGCTGCTCATAATATGTGTGAGTACATGTCAGACCAAAAGTAGATGTGTTATACTGATAATGCCCTGGTTTGTCATCAGTATTGCTGTAACACATTGATGTTATATGCTTTGTGAGTAGCAGTGTTGGAGGTGTGCAGTTGGCTCCTATTTCAGCATGTAGAGAGCAGCTATCCCAAGTGGCTGTGATGTCACAAATGTACCACCTTGTCCAAAATGCTCTATTTCATGTTGAAAAAAAACACTGAAAGTTTTTGGTAAGATGGCCTGGCCTGAGGTTTGGCACACAGGAATTCAGTGATGATTGGTGCTGCCTGAGTCCAATTTGCAGAGGTGTGATGGTCATGACTGAATTAGGAACTTGGCAAAATTTGCAAAGAATAAAATTACTTCATGTTTTGCAGGCTGCATTTAATCCTGTTTGAGTTACCAAACCCTAATTTCTGAAACTGTTGCATGGTATTATTTTTGCAGAATGGTATTAGTAATGCATCATCCATCTACCAAGTGGGTGTGATTGTGGTCACACCATGCTGTGTGCCATGACTGCTAGTTTTCTTGCTGAGCACCTGGATAACAAATGGCACAATTGTCACATAAGGCATATATTTCCCTTGGATTTGACCCAACTTAATTTTTTCTTGTTACTGCAGCAATGGACCTTGCCCATGCCCAGTTAACTGGTCTGTGAAACATTGGTCAGCTTCATATTTTGAAGTATTTTGAGCTTTATGGCTGGTATGATGCTTGTTATGATATGATATGGTATATACATGAGATGACAATTGCTAGTTTGAATTCTGTGGTTTTATGATGCTGGCTGGCATACTGCCTGTACTCAGGGTTGAGTCAAACAGCTTATGTATTTCCATGCAGTGGCACTCAAGGTCTTTGCTAGATTTTGATTTTGATTTTGATTTTGTCCAAAAGGTTGGAGTGTAATAGCTTCCTTCTGACCCCATAATACCTCCCCATACAGTCAGGTTGCGACACCATGTGCTTGTGCGTGACAATTTGAAACTTGTAAGTTTCTAACCACTTCTGTTAGGTGCATCACAAGGGCTGTGATGTTAATGTAGATGGTGTGGACACACACTATCATCTGAAGTAACAGTCACAAAAATGTTTACAGTTTGGAAACTGGCATTAGCCAGGGAGCAAGCATCCACGTGAAGTTGAAATGCTGGTTTCAAATAATGTACATCTGATTAAAGTCTTTGGGGTCAAGTTCTGTTGAAAAGTGGCAATGGGTGTGTCACATTTCTCTGCTTGTGAGCTGCCCGCATTTCTCCTCTCGAGCTGCCCTCAGCAATCTCTCGGATACTGCTCCGCGCCGCGCGGGCCCGCTCACTACAGCCTCTCCCATTGCAGGAGTCGATGAAGCGGACTGTGGTGGGCATCTGGAAGTGCCACGGCTGCCCAGTGGTGTGGGCGGGCGGAGCTTACACGCCGCACACCACGGCCGCCATCACCGTGCGCGCCGCCACCCGCCGCCTCCGCGAGACCAAGGAGCTCTGAACTGACTCTGACCGACCGACCGCGCTCCGGGGATAATTGAATACACTTTCAGTGAACAAGCGCCGCGTTTCAATTGCCTTGAGGTCGGCTGCGTGCCGTCGAGTTGAAATGGCGGAGCTGCTTTGTGACAGGCGGAAAGATTGTTGTTCCCTGTAGACGCTCGTATTGCCAAACTGTTTCGCTTGTGCTATTCGGCAGGCCTTTCGCGATGGACCCAATTTAGCGTCCGAGGCATGCCTCTGGACCGGAAAGTTTCCACCAGTTCGCTGCAAACCGATGACGTGGTGATGGCAAGAGTTCTCAAAATCGCCGGAACTGCGAAGTGGACGGCCGATCCGGCGGCGTCGGTCCGCAATGGGACTGACCGGGAAGCGAACGACCACATTCCACTGGCGGATACGGGCTGAGCAATGGAGGCCGGGTAGGTGGGCAGCGGCCCAGGGGCGGAGTCGGGCTCGCCGAGTATGTGCGGAGGAGTGGGTCGATGGTGCTCATTTGTCGGCGGCCGGTGGGTGCTGGTCTGGCGCGGTCGACGCGGCGGCTCAGCGGCACCAAGTGGTGGCGCCGCACCAGCCCGCGGGACGCGCCGGTCGGGCGGCGGCTCGGCTCCGGCCGTCTGGCGCCGGCCGCTCCTCCCCTTCCGGGGATAGCGATGTGGGATGTGGGTGAAGGGGATGTGTGGAGTGATCAAGGCGCAAAGCAGACTATTTCGTCCAGTTACCTGTCGCAACTCGTGACAGTTGTCTTGGTCCTTGATGGGTGCTCGTTTTGACCAAGACAAACAGCACTGGCATCGTAATAGTGCATGGAGGATGCCTTGTCAATTGGCTTCTATAACCCCAGGAAAGAGCGGACACCACTTATTAAAGGGAGTGTCCCACCACGGGGGAATGCTTCAAAAATTACTACTGAAAACTCGGGTCAGGGCCGTCCAATTAAAGCATTGGGCAGTGCCGCTGCAGTACCGCCGGGACGCACGGATATCAGCTACAACTATTTTCGGGTCCAAGCTACGCTGCCAACGTTTTGTAACAGTCGTACACTTGTCACCTGCAGTCGTGGTCGTGGCAACCGCCGTGGCACCGCTCCTGGTGCGAATAGAGAAACGCCTGCGATTGGTGCCAGCGGGCAACAAGGAAGGCCTGTCCCCGAGAAGCGCATTGGGTGAAGTTTGAGCCAGTACGTCACTATGGGCCATGTGACGCTTCCATTCCCAAAGCCAATATGCGACTCGGGACCAGCCATTGTGGTAAACGCCTCAGGGGAGAAATCAGAGCCATTGTACGACGCTTTATTGGATTCGCGGGAGGATAGCTGCATGCTTGTATATCTGGAGAGTTTCAAGCTTTGACAGCATCTATTTCATAAACATTTCGACGAGTTAGTGTGTTGCAAACATTACAGCACACGCTGGTAAAAGTGAGACAAAGGCATTGCAATGGGCTCCCAGTCCACCAAATTCGTGGTGGTGGGCTGGAAATTCATTCAGAATTCTCCCTCAGGAGCAGTTACTTCAATTCGAAATTCTGAGCTATTTGGAAGGATTCTGAGAAAGCTGGCATTGCTGATCAAGTCGCACGCCTCTGATGTATCGATGAGTGAAAAGTATTAAAAAAGGTTGCACACTCCCCGTAAGTCTTACCATGGTTTCCATTTTGGGATAACAGGTACACGGACACTATACACTATCACAATCACCGCCGAGCAGAAAAGTGGAAGCTCATCCCAGGGTTCGGATGGGGAAGCAAGAGCGCAGTCAGCTCGTTTGGCTGTGTTTTGTTATCATACAGCCCCCTGTGAGTAGTGCTGATTGTTGCGAAGGCGGGTGCGCATCAGCTCCGGTTCCATTGTTCATCGACATCCACTTCCCACTGCTTCCCTTCCTTACAAGGTCGATAAAGTTCCTTCCCACTGCTCGTGCCTGCACTGCTGAGGTCGTGGGTGTCCCAAGCCTAGATGAAAATTGGGACTTCGAGTTACCCGGGCCGGAAATTAGACACGTGAATCTCTTGATCCTCTGACTGACGCCCTGAACTTAAGGCCTGACTCTGGGTGACACTGATCCATTTGATGAATTATTGGGCGGATTTTAAGGTATAAAACTCAGAATCTTGCCGTTTTTCACAGGCGAACTGTGGACATTTTCATCATGGAAATTGCGTACGGTTAGTATTGCGTCAGCACCACTTTTACAAAGAACACAATGGTATGTGATGATACCGCATCTATAGGGCCGTGTATGCAGAGCATACGGTGGTGGGCGAGGCTGCGGTGACAAGTTTCGTTGAGGTTGCCGGGGCTTACCATTCCCCTCGTAGAAAAACCAGGAGAATGAAGATATAGATACGTTAATATTTCGCCAACATGCCTTTATCAAAGCGAATGGCAGAAGTCAATTCCTCCTGGCTTTTCTACGAGGAGTAAGACTTTTACTATTGTGATATTGTGTGCATAATGTTTCCCGCAAATGTACTTAACAACTTATTACTTTCCCATGAAAAGAGGTCGTTCTAGTGGCTCCGTCACACCAGGTTTTCACACCATTCTCCACCCTTGCACTCGACGCGCGTGCCTTCCTTGGTAAACTTTATCGACCTTGTAATCCCCTACACGACGCAGTTTCTACAGGCAAAGCTACGCGACGCTGCTTGGGACAAACAAACTTAACGACAAACACAAAATTTCCACGTAACACTAACGAACCAAACGTCAAGGTTACCACAGTCACACTCGCCCAAAGACTGCATGACGAGGCTGCTATGACAATTTTTGGGCAGCCGGAGGCGCGGGGTTCGATTTCCCGCAGTGTCCGTCCTTCCTGCCAGGGTGAGAGGCTGGCAACGCACATATACTCTCAGCATTTCAGCGCGACGTCAAGCCCCAATTACGACAACGCCATTTTCAGACGGTATTGCGACAAATCAAAACTGCTGATGGTATAACTTTCCGCTATGCCCGTATGTGACAAAACGCTAGTTGTCGGAACTTGAGTGCGACAAAACTCTGGACGAATCGTGCACACGACTCGATATCTATTAACAAAACCCTACGTAGCACCCGCGTTTCGCGTCAAGACTCCTACGGGCAACACTTCAACGCGCCAAAAACCTTCGCTCATGCTGGCGATGTGGAAACGCGTTGAAACCAGAGAAGATATTTGTGTGCTGCTTGCGCGAATTGGTGTCACAGTACGCCGTCTCAGTTAGGCGCCTTGAGTACGCTCACAAACACATGAATATCCTGAGGATGATGTCTCGCATGACGTATGGTGCAGACCACGGCGCCTTGTCAGGGCTGTATAGAAGACGTTTACGCTCCGTGCTGGACTTCGCAAGTCCCATCTACGAAAGTGCCTTGGCGTCATCTACAGAAGCTATTGATAGCGTTCATCCCGCGTGTGGTCGTATGTCACTGGAGCTTTCTGCACAGCGCGCACGAAAAACCTGCTGATAGAAACAAACGAAGCGTCGCTTTATCGTCGCAGAAGAAAGCTTACTCTGAATTGCGCTATCAAGGTATCCTATTTCCTTCACCATTCAACATATTCCCCATTGTTTCGCGCCTGTTTACTCGATTATTCTTGATAGAGCGGTCTACATCGTCTCAGCCCATGTGTTTGCGCTTGCGAGGTTGTCTGAGTGATGCGAGCATCCACCTCGCCGAGATCACCCAACGCATTTTTGATGATCTGGTTCCGTGGTGTCGCACAATCCTGCCTCTTGATTTAGATCTTCTTCAGGCAAAAAAGGTAGCATACCCGTACAGGAGTTTGCCAGCATGGCGGCGGAGCAAGTCGCGCTTTACCACAGCTCAGTGAAGATATTTACTGACGGCTCGAAGGGTCCCGCTGGCACTGGCTGCGCCTTCGTTTGCGGAGATGTGGAGCAAGGCTTCCGTCTACAACGGCACCAATCAGTGATCTCCACTGAGGTTTTCGCCATGCTAACGGAGTTCCAATATAGCCAGTGTTGTACGGAGCGTGACTTTCTGATTTTAACTGACTCGCTCAGCACCCTTTTATCATTTGACTCAACCTCAGTATCTGTTGGGTAGATCTGCTTGGGACGACCTTAACAATTACACAATCAAAACGTTAAAGTCAGTCTTCGTATGGATTCCGAGCCACGTCGGAACTGTAGGCAACGAAGGAGCAGTCACCGTAGCGAGAGCAGCGCATGTCAAGATCACCCCCTTCCCCATCAACCTGTCGTCGGGCGGCCTGAAGTCGTTAGCTACCAGGCATGTTCATGACAGGTAGCAACATGATTAGCAGATTAACTCACACGTTCAGGCTCATTAAACCACGGATTAGGGAGTCGGAATCGTCTTATCGAAATAAAAGATTTGAGATGGTTGCTCTTTGTCGGCTCTGGTTCTGGCACACCTTCGCTACGCACTCGTTTCACCTATCGGGCCAGGACATGCCACGGTGCGAGGGACGTGGCTAGCATCTCATGGTTGAACATGTTCTGACCTCGCGTGGTCGCTATGCCAGAGATCGTCTGCGTTACTTTGTTCCAGCGTCCCTTTCCCGGCTCCTGGGTCGGGAGTGGGACCCATGCTGTGATGTCGTCGGCATACTCACTTTCTTAGCCCATATTGACTTGGTAATTATTCGTAGCCGTCCAATCAGATGCAGATGCATATGTAAAGATGAAGTGCGTAGTGACAAAAAAGACAGTTCTGACCGAGTGACATGCAGCAGACAGTTTTCGAGAGGACGCGAAATGGCTACGTGGTCGACGCGCCCATAAACCCCTAAATGGCATCATCCTAGAGCACACTACGTTTCCTTCAAAGGAAATGTTTCACACTTGAATATACTAATGTAAGTATCAAATATGATGGAAAAAGTTCATTTGTAACCATTGGTATGACTAAGTTAAAAATACTTTTTTTAATAAACATGCTCTTTAACACGTCATCGTTTGATTGCGTCATGGAACGTGCCAGCGACTCCAGAGTCACTGTCAGTGTGGTCGTGTCAGAACTGCCACAGCAGCGGACGGGTTGGTTTACTTTTAGTCTTGACTTGACGTTAGATGGCCTCGACTTTTAAT